TTCTTAAATTATGTTTAATTCATACAGGGACTGGTTCCAGTCTAGGTTATTACCTAAGTCATACTTCCTGTTTCTCTATGAATTTCAGTCATAGTGGCCGTCCAGTACCCATTTTGTTTTGTGGATTTTGTTTGTTATTTAAGGTAGGACTCTGGACCAGACAATCCAATGATTAAAATCATGAGCATCGATCCACACAACTGGGACACAATGAACTGCATCAACCAGGTCAGTGAGCCTGTAAATAATCACGTCAGAACCAGACAATCCAGTGATTGACATCATGAGCATCGATCCATGCAACTGGGACACAATGAACTGCATCAACCAGGTCAGTGAGCCTGTAAATAATCACATCTGAACCAGACAATCCAGTGATTGACATCATGAGCATCGATCCATGCAACTGGGATACATGAAATGCATCAACAAGTCAGCGAGTCTGACCACCTGTTTGTGGCCTCTAATGACAATCATGGGTTACTGAAGACCAATTCTTGCCGGGATCTTAAATGGGTAATTTTGTGTATTACATCCATGGGCACACCATGGAGTTTATAAGCAAGAAAACTATATATACTTACAAAAACAAACATACATATTCTTTGTGTCAACATTTATTTTCACAATATTATATACATTATTAGAGTTTACACCCTTCATCAGAAATTCCCTGGAAAAATATATGGACATGGGACAATATCTGATTACATCAATTTGCAACCTTGTTCAGAGTAAACAGTTCTCAGCAAACACACAATGGACAAGGAAGTTTTACTCCCTCGCTGCACATACATATTCAATATGGAATTTGTAAAACAATTAACATTTTTAAAGCTAATTCTCTTTCACAAACATTCAACATATTGAAAATTATTTTTCTCAGGATAATCTTTAAAGCAACATGTCCTCTGGAGGTGAACTTCCCTCCTTGTCTGTTTATGATACCATGAATACAGCCACACACAGTCATAACCACCAACAATCCTGAAATAATCCTCTTCCGAGGCAAGCATGTCCACGAGGCCATATCAAAGCCTTGTAGACTTTGGGTGAGTGAGTGAGTGTGGTTTTACTCCGCTTATAACAATATTCCAGAAATATCACGGAGGGGGACACCACAAATGGGTTTCACACATTGTACCCATGTCGGGAATTGAACCCAACCGCCCCAGTAAGGCTAGTTGACACTTTTGCCTCGGGAAGATGATAATAATGCAGGATCTCATAGGATTAACATTTCTTAAATACTTTCAAATGCCCTACCCAAAATTTAGAAGCTAATTGGCACATTCACTATTGGAAATGCCGTGCACCAGGCAAGGCAACAACAAGTACCATCTTTAGACCGGATTAGCCAGATAAGAATAATATTAGTATAATTATAACCACAAAACACTAAAATCATAAACCTCCATATGATGATTATGAAGCCAAATACATTTCTTTCATTAACCAATATTGTCATCGCTATAGGAAGAGAAAAGTCACTATATTTTTACCTCTTCAAATACATGTAAATATATTTTGATGCATCACATCTTCATCTGAAGATTTTAAGTTGTAACAATCATAAACACACAAAAATAAAAAAAATAATGAATCTATTTTTGATTACCAAAAAAATAGTCAAAAAGTCACCAGTAAATAAATGCCAGCCTAACTTGCCTACACAGCTGTTGGTTTATACAAACTGACATCACATATCACCCTGCAAGATAAACATAATATTTACTGCATCATATATATCTAAGATTCTCACTACTCTAATCCTACACTCTTTAACACACACTCATGTGTGAGCAATATTGATTTAGACGACTCAATGAATAAACATGGTAAAGAGTAACCACAGCAACCACTACCCTAAATTCGTGTTTATTCAGAAACCAGACAGGGTTAGTCACACATCTTTCAGAATTTCTTCCAAATTCCCATAAATCATTAGTCGGTGAATATATGTCTGTATGGTCTGTCATTCACTGTATTGTGTCCTTGACCTTCAACAGCTGTGGTTTATGAACATAAAGCAAACTTCGTCATTCGTCGCAGATGCTCCAAAATATCAATATGAGGACATTTAAAGTCCCAGCATGACATGTCCCAGCTAATGTATTCATCGCATTCCTTGGTCATCATTGATCATTCCGCTTTCGTTTCCGTTTCATCTCAGTTTCTAATTTTGGATGAAACCAATGAAACAAACATGACTGCATCTAATCAGTTGTTAAACTCATGTTTACAATAACATGACTAAAACAATATTGAACTTACAGAGAGAAATCATTCTGAATGTTGAGCTTATCTATTCACAAAATAGTTTTATCATTCTGATTATTAGGATTCACTTTTTGATGTAAAGTTGATCATAAAAAAATATTTAAATTTCACATAGAATGTAATATCTTAACAGAAGCTTTGGTTTCCTCTTTAGTATCAATATTAGAGTGAGTGAGTTAGGGTTTACGCCGCTTTTAGCAATATTCCAGCAATATCACGGCGGGGGACACCAGAGATGGGCTTCACACATTGTACCCATGTGGGGACCCGAACCTGGGCATTTGGTGTGACGAGCGAATGCTTTAACCACGATGCTACATAAGTGGTATCAAAGTTAAAATTTGATACGAGAGGTTGAATCCGATCGGTCCATAGGAGAGGCATAGAACATAACTCGTAATAGCCATGGGTGGCACTACGATCGAGCCCAGGAATTGCAGTCTGGTTCGGCAGGGTGGAAACTGGACTTAAATAGTCAGTTGACTCGGGAAGATGTTTCCAAGTACACTGGGAGTGAATATATTATGCATATTAAAATGAATAGAACTGAATGGTTCATGAATTTGTTCTTTTTTTAAAAGACAACACAAACATTTATCATTCCTGAACATTGACACTAAGGAATGTACAGATGGATCATAAATAGAGACATAATTATCATCCAAAATAATTAGTTTCAGTAATATTTAAACTATATTATGGCGGCTTGAAAAAAAACCCTGGACCAGACAAACCAGTGGTTGATAGTATGAGCATTGTCACCCTAAGGCTTCCCTAATATGGATGTCACCAGTAACAGTGTGTGACATGCTGTTGTCATGTCTACAAGCCCAGCCTATGTTACAGTTTCACTGGTATAAGCTTCACCTTGTAATTGTTTGTTGTTTGTATAAGGCTGCAATCGCCAATATTCCAGCTTCGTGTAAATAACCAAGATTGGACCAGACAATCCAGGATTGACATCATGAGCCTCACTTTTATCAGATGGAGCAGTATTAAAAAAACTTAACCCTAAACTGCTCCAGCTTAAAATATTATGAGCAAAACAGAGCATAGTATTTGAAACCAAGACTTTCAAAATATCAGGAATGAATACACTAGTCAGCTGGTGATAAACATGACGTAGCGTTAGGACTCTCACCGTCTCACCATTACTCATAGCAGGAATATGGACAGCCATGCTTCCTTACCACGAGAATAACAATCAGCAACAAAGACTGTGTTCACTACTGTTCATGTTATAACATACCAATTACAACATATGAGATCATAGTAGGACTCTTGAAGGCTAGCAAGTGAGTGAATGAGTTGGGTTTACGTCACTTTTAACAGTATTCCAGTTATACCATGGCGTGTCAGCTTAATGTTGGAGGAAAGCCCGGAGTGATGCAGGCTTCAGACGTTTACCACTTCGGTGAAACCAACGAGCACGGGTATGGTGCTGACAAACCTAGAAACATAATCGGGGCGAACCGGGATTCGAACCCACAATCATAGGTTTCTGGCGTGCCCTAGGGGCACAACTCTGCACAGCGAATCGTGCCACCTTAGACGACTGGGCCCCCTCTAGCAATTAATAAATTATCATATCAAAGAATAAATTAAATGCAACATTGTTAAATATAACAAGGGTGTTAAATCTGTTTACTTCAACCGGTGGTAACTAATTAAGAATGGACATTGGGTGCTTTAGACGACTAGGCACCGGAATCATGTCTTTGAAAAATAGCTCCTTGGTGCTGATCCACATAATACAAACGTTTTGACTTAGCTGCACACACAAGTTCTCACGATCTCACTCAAATCTGATCTCTGATACCTCACTGGGTTAAGATCTGAGAACTCATTTGGAGATACCTCAGGTAAGCCCTGAGTGACATTTGACTAACCAATCTTATTGAATAATGCATGGGTGGTTCAGCCAATCAGAACGCCGTTTCAGAAATTTGATTTGTACAAATGAAACCCACAAATATTCCTTTCGATGGTAACTCAGAAATAACAGGTCATATAAAATAGCCACAACAAAATTTAGAGGCCTTATTTATCTACATTCGGAACCTGTCTAAAGTTCATTTTCGAGATACAGAAATCAGATATGGTCTGAATGATTCAATTATTTGTACCAAGAATTAAGAAGCCTTGACACTGATTCCAAAGGTCACCTGATACGACCTCCGAAGGTAGTGTCCTCAGATTGTCACGCAGAGAGGGATCAGAGTAAGAGATCCAATTCTAATGAGACTGAGAACAGGTTCAAACAACAACAAAACTTTCTAACTGGCGTGACAGCTAGGAAGTCACAAATCACAGATGGTGTACCTATTTGGAAAGAAATGCAATAAAACTGATATACGATAATATAGTTCACCAAACAGACAAACTGATCTTTGGACTGAAGAGTCCATGCAAAGAGCAAGGTTAGATAAGACCATGTTGACCCACTGGAAATATCAAATTTGAAAGTTACGAAATATTTTGTAACAGTGGTATGAATGGTCGAATGTTTGACCAAAAAACCTCTCTTCTTTGATACACTTGCAGTGTTTGACACAGAAATGGCAGAGTGAGTGAGTGTGTACGGTTTAACGCTGCTTGTAACAGTATTCCAGTTTTGTCACAGATGTGAGCTTGATGTGGGAGGGAAGCATGAAGTGATGCCGGTCTCAGACGTTTACCACTTCGTTGTAACCCACGAGCACGGGTATGGTGCTGACAAACCTAGAAACATAATCGGAATGAACCAGGATTCAAACCTATAATCATATGTTTCTGGCATGTCCAAGGGATACAACTCTGCACAGCGAATCGCGGCGCCTTAGACGACTGGGCCACCCGTGCCCCAAAGAAATGGCAGAAATCGATGAAAAAGGCATATTTTTCAAACATCAAAATAAAACTTGAAGCAAGTCGAATAGCAAGATCTCCCCAATGAGAATGTACATATTGGCACATTTTAAGATTACAGAGCATTGTTTTTTTAACATAATTTAATGTTCTTCAAAGTAATTGCTCGTGAGGTGCAGTTTCCAGATTAACATGGGTTTCACAGAAACTGAAAACCATGCACACTGACGTATGAATTTCTAAAGTAGACTTCTTCAATTATGCACATCCTGTGAGCATGGTGTGCCAAAAAAAGGGCCTTATCACCTCTTGTCCTTTGATTCAAGGCACTCAAACACCATTGTCTGTGTAATCAAACATTGTGATTACCCCAATTAACAGTGAGAATATCTAAATTTCAATTAACAAACTTCAACACTAAGACCCTTAACAAGCATTGACAACAAACCGTGAAGCCTTGTCTCCCTTTAAAGGCACAGAAAAATCACCATTTTGATGTAGTAAAAATCCATTTTAGACCTTCAAAAATATAACACCAAAACGTCATCAGCTGAGGCCTACCAAGCAGGATGAGGCCATTAGTCCATCTTCTGGTCTGTAGGAGCGTTTGCTGTTATTGTACAATGATGAAGATAAGGACATTGCTTAGGAAGAGTTCCATGTTTAAGGCTGTGAAAGACATCGGGCAGATATGAGTTTAGGAACTGTCAACACACACTCTGTCCCTTGAGTTCAATTTATGAAGAACTTCCTTGCATAAATTTGCATAAATTAACCACTGTCCTGCAGAACGGATCAAGAGCATACTGTGTGTGTTGTGACCATGTTTCCTATACGCTGAGTGACGGTTCGACACGATTGACCTGAAACAGCAATTGAAATCAATATTAATAACTAGTATTTGCATACCAACATGATGGAAGAAAGAGTGCGGGAGTGAATAGTTCATGCTGACAATCGTATACCTTAGAGGACACAAACATTACTTGCCTGTTTGATTCAATAGAACTATTGTAAATTGTAATTTCTATTCTGGCAATTAATATGTCTACTTTGGTCAGAAATAGATACATGGTTAGGAGTGTCAGTGGTTGCTTTTTAATAATAATAATAATAATAATAATAGTGAGTGAGTTGGGCTTAGCATCACTTTGAACATGTTGAACAGTATTCCAGTTATATCACGGCGTGTCAGTTTAATGTGCAAGGAAAGTCTGAAGTGATGCAGGTCTCAGACATATACCACTTTGGTGAAACCCACAAGCAAGGTACGGTGCCGACAAACCTACAAACTTAAGTCGGGTGAATCGGGATGCGAACTCACAAATGTTTCTGGTGTGCTCAAGGGACAAAACTCTGTTCAATGAATTATGGCACATTAGAAAACTGGGCCACTTGCGCCAATAAAAATAATGATATAAATAAATGATATCAATAAATGATATAAATAAATAAATGATAAATATAAATAAATGATATAAATGATATAAATGATATATATAAATGATATATATAAATGATATAAATAAATAAATAAATAAATAAATAAATAATGGGAGAAATGTTATATTCGGGATCACACTTTCCTAGTAAGGTACAGATTCTAGCACTTTTGGGGGTTGAGTCCCATTCGGGATTCGAACCCACACTCTCAGAGTCGCCTAATCACCACCACATAAACATGACAAAGTAAGCGAGCCACAGAGGCTTGTGTACTAATAATAATGGGCTAATGGCTTCTGACCATGTGAAAAAATAAACGTCAGTAAAACTCTTGGCCAGTGAAAAGTCTGGGAATCTCCATTTACAGCAATGTACATGCCTTGGGACAACAGGACTATCTAATCCACCAAAAACAATCTTTGAAACATACCACTTCCACCGAAGCCGCTTGTGTGTTGGTTAATGTGTTGATAATCTTGATGGTTCCCATGCTGAAAATGTTGCTGTTGTGCTTGAGCGTGCTGCTGTTGTGCACGTTTGTGTGCCTGCTGAGCGCGTTGATGTGCTTGCTGAGCTTGTTGCCGTGCTTGATGAGCATGAGCATGTGCATGTGCAGTGTGCGCCTTATGGAAAGCATTATGCTGACCGAAGTGGTCATTGGCCTCTTTAGTATAGTGATTATGATGAAATCCAAAACCTGAGTCCATGTCTCCGAATGTATTGAATCCAAACATGTCTTCATCGTCATCAAAGAAATCATCAAAGTTGAAAAAACCGCCCCCAAACCCTCCATGTGCCTTCTGATGATGATGTTGATGCTGTTGTTGGTGGTGATGATGATGTGCTCCCTGATGAGCTTTAAAAGCCTCATCAAAATTTTTGAAAAACTCATCAAAGTTGAAGTTGAACCCTCCTCTCCCATGTCCCCCATTTCCTCCATTTGGTCCATCCCCGGTTTCTCCAAACATATCATAGTTCTTCCTCTTCTTTTCATCAGACAATGTTTCATAGGCTGTAAGAAAACAAAGAAATTGTGAACAATAGCTTGACTGATTTATGATAAGCTGGGCTCTAATTACATTACACCAGCAGCATTGAACAAGATCAATAAGAATAAATCATCTGAAGATACACATGGGCCATTTGGCATCCTGGGCAAGTCCATGAAAGCTCTCTTTGTTTCAAGTGAGGAGAAATGGGGTCTAACGTCACATTCAAGATTAGTGTACTCATATGGCGATGTACATGTATGCATTTGCTGTTTGAGACTTCTGCCACTTTTATAGTGATACCCCACTGAGATTCATTATGATCAATCACTGTAATAGCTCCAAATATGTTAAAGTTGCATTATTGAAAGTAAACTTTGAATAAGGACTTCAGATCAAATACAAAACTTTTAGCAGTTTTGGGGAGAAAAGATTATGTCCCACTTGATCATTTGGTGAAATCACTTCCAGATTTCAATCTGAGATCCTGTATTTACATTAAATCAGGGTATCCATGAATTATTTGCCAGTAAAGTGTTGTTTGAATAAGCAGTCTTAAGCTGACTTGGATTGACGGAGACAAGACTCCCTTTTGTTGTTTAACAAGTATGACTATAGTAACTTCATAGAAAGTTTATATTACAAAATACAAAGTAGTAAGAATAATAATTTTACCTTTAGCAATTTCAATGAATTTTGTCTCTGCCTCTGGGTCATCCTTGTTCTTATCTGGGTGATGCTTCAATGCAAGTTTTCTAAAGGCCTTCTTTATTGCCTTTTGTGATGCATCTCTCTTAACTCCAAGAATCTCATAGTAGTCACCCTTTCCATATGTGATGTCAAATATTACACAACTCCAAAGTGTAGATAACAGAACCAACTGGTCACACTTCATTTTGACAAACTGAAAAACAACAACAAAATGTTGATTAGCTTCCATGTACACGCGATACAATTTAAAACATACTGTTATCACTGACATAAACAGATAAGTTGTCTACCTGTACAAATAAACCACCTACATACCTACCTGGCTAAGTTGCAAACCACTTCCTTGTCTCAGACTCCTAAGGCATAACAAAATAACTTGTTGAAACGATATGGCTCCAACATGCCTATCACCACACACCTTCACCAATTGTGTCAGTTGTCTGTTTAGAATAAGAAATTCCAACTAAACTTCGGAATTTTACAAGTAGTTATTTCTTATAGCATATGGTTGCTTCCTTCAGCTCTAGACACATCTTGTTACTGCCACACGAATCTGACATTTCGATGATGAAATAGGTCATAGTATGGTATGCTACATGGTGTTTTTCTTGTTTCGTTTACTCATCAGCAGCGAAACCTTTGATCATCCCAGTTACGTCCATGAACAGATGTTGTGAACTGACATTGTGTACCGATATACATACATCAATATATGTAGGAACACAATGATTAAAAGTGACATCGGAGTTTACGAGAGCATTAATACTAACAGTCATATAGGCCTAGTTAGTTATCAGCTGGTTGACTCCTCCGAGCAGAAGTGTTCTACGCTATGACAACGTCAATATATCATCAACAAATAAGCACATATACAACAATCGTAGCATCAATACCTTCTATTTAGTCCTTCTGTAATGTGTCCTTGGCTATCAGTGACAGTTGGCAAGCATCCGTCTTGCAGCGTTTCATGCGTTTAACTAACGTGACAAGTCTCTATGCCTGAACGTCAGTCATCACTAAAGCGGAAGTACACGACTTTCTTCCTGATTGGTTGATTTTATCCACGTGACCATAATATCCCATCGTGCCGCAAATAAGTAAACAAAAATGGCCGAGGATTTACTTCCGCTCATAGGGCATAACATCGGCGGTGATGATGAAAGTGAATCAGATAGCAATGAAGGTGACACAACCCACGCTGTTTATATTTAGCAAGGAGACGTTGGCATATCAATTTTACACTTGTCACGACATTGCATGGGAAATGTGCGACTAAGTCAACAAAGCGATCCAATTCTTTATATCAAGTTGGTTCAACTCAAACACAGTTATTGCCCTTCACATATCATCTTAGTGTACTAGAATGGCAAAAACAAATGATTGTAACATTTGCGTAGACCGAGAGTTACTTTTTTACTTTCGCGTGGTAATGAAAAAGAGCATAAAGAAATGAAAATCGATTGACAAGATTTTTCCACGCACTCAACATGGTCACGGAAGGCTCATATCGTTAACGTTAACAGTGACATTAATAATTTGAGGCTAGATATCTAGCCCAAATCATGGAATGCAAGTCTAAACAGTAATCTAAGAATATCAGAGTTGTTCAAAAGATTGTGTGTTGCCGTAGCTTATTAAGCTAGTGGGGTCGTCAGCACAGGTACCAATCCGTATATATCGTAGAGTACCCAAGCTCACTACCCTGTTTTGGGATGACATTCATATTTTGTGAATGGATTTCAAACTTCCAATCACTTTTTTTTAGTTTTAATGCCGACCTGCAAGAATTATATTTGGAACTGTGCACCATGAGGGGCTAATAATTCGTGGAAATCCGCTAAAATACCAAATCAATCAGGTTTCCGAAAGCAGGCGATGTCACTCAAATGCAACGGAAGTTTACTGACGAGGCAATGAGAGGTCTCGCTCTTTATTAAGGATGTTTTTCTATTGTCATGACCAGTACAAGCAGCACATGAATGCACGTCACTATATTAGTGCAATAATCTTGAACGAGATGTCAAACCCTATTTCACCTCACTTTCACATTCGAACAATCGAACAACTGTTTTCTAGCAATTTTGAATTTGTTTGAATTCTTTAAAATGGCATATTAAAACATGTCGGTAAAATATATTCGTTGTAGCAGGATCACTCAGGGGACATGAGGTTTTATGCATTCCTCATTAGGGAAAACCCCATTGTCCCTGTTGTATAATCTCTTTATCTTTCTTCCTGCTGGTATAGAGGACATTGCAGCAGAGACAGAAGAATCTGTGGAAGAGGATGAAAATTACAACAACTCTAAGAAACAGAAGAAGAAGAAGAAGAAGGATGATGACAAAAAAAGAATGGTCAACTTTGACAAATCCTTGCCGACTGCCCATTCAGTAAGTGTCATCATTTGATAGTACAGGTTAGACATAGTAGAGGGGAATCAGTATTCCTTGTACAGCTATCAGGAGGTACCATGTATTTCACTCATAACAGGACCAGTGAAGAGGAAAAGGGTTTAGTGCTTAGCCTTACATTATTGCACTGAATGCCATGTTAAAATACTTCTGAATTTAAGAATATATAAACTTTTAAAAAATATTTTTTTTGGACAAAGTAACAATTTCCCAAAAAATTGTCTGCCATTGGTTTGAAATCGTAGATAGAAATTGGTACAAGCCTGCAAGTTTGAGTCACTTTGTCAAATGTTGTGCTGGTAAGATTTCAAGTTTTTTTGGTGAGTGAGTTGGTTTTAACGTTGCTTTGAACAGTGTTCCAGTTGTATAATGGCATGTCAATTTAATGTGGGAAGAAAGCTCTAAGTGATGCAGGTCTCTGATGTTTACAATTTTGGTGAAACCCACATACAGGTGTATGATGCTGACAAAGCTATAAACATGATGAGGGTGAATTGTGATTTGAACCCTATATGCTAGGTTTCTGGTGTGCCAAAGGGACGCAACTCTGCATGGTGAATTGCAGCACCTTAAACCACTGGGCCATCTGTGCTCCTAAAGGTTTTTGGTGATACTCTGTTGTTACCATGATTTAGACCACTGAACATTTTCGCTTGATGTCTACCTGGTCCACTGTTGAATATGCTCCCTTTCCTTGCAGTACCTAGGCGATGATCTGGAAGATGTACGTGGTCGTACCATCCATGACGATGACTCGTGCGTGACGATCCCCCTGCTGGCTCTGCCGGGGGTGGTGCTGGTGCCCGGTCAGACCATCCCCCTCCATCTATTCCAGCATCACATGGTCGCCATGATTAAAAATGTGGCAGAGAAGGACAAAACATTCGGAGTCATCACTTTTAGGTGAGAACTGTCAATTTGTGTATCTATATGATGGATGATGTAAATAATCCAGTCTAGTCAGACAATCCAGTGAATGATATTGTGAGCAGCGATCCACGCTGTCTGGTACGATGGCAAACAATGAAGTCACCAAGTCTGACACCTGATCCATGTGCTCGCCTCTATACAACCAGCATGATACGTTGCATCTTCCCGAGGCAAAGGAGTTAACTGACTGTAAAAGTCCAGCTTCCAACCATCACTGAGGGATTACAGTCTTAGTCATAATATGAACTTTAGAGGGAAAGTTATTACAATTCCTGAGTTCACATTGGTTATTCGTTTGCTTAGTCAGCATGTTAGAGACAACCAAAAACACACATTATTGTTTTCTAGACATTGCTGTGATACATCTTCAACAGCCATTATTTTCAAGACATGAGGTTAAACAGTCAATGACACTAGGATGATTAGGATTAATGGCTGACACCACCATCTGTTGTAGGTAACTATACAATGTTATCAGATCAATGTTGTCTCTGGTTACCTCTGAAACTACCAGGACCAGGACATGACCTCACTTACTTCCTCATTCCTTAGGGGCTGTCGGGTAGCCTAGTGGTTAAAGCGTTCGCCCGTCACGCCGAAGACCCGGGTTCGATTCCCGACATGGGTACAATGTGTGAAGCCCATTTCTGGTGTCCCCCGCCATGATATTGCTGGAATATTGTTAAAAGCGGCGTAAAACCATACTCACTCACTCCTCATTCCTTAGGGGCGGTCGGGTAGCCTAGTGGTTAAAGCGTTCGCTCGTCACGCCGAAGACCAGGGTTTGATTCCCGACATGGGTACAATGTGTGAAGCCCATTTCTGGTGTCCCCTGCCATGATTATTGCTGGAATTTTGTGTAAAACTATACTCACTCACTCTTCATTCCTTAAGTGCTCTGCTTCCTGTTCGCACAGACCCATACATGCACCCACCCACCCAAACGCTCCCATCCAGTTGAAAAATAAGCCCTTGTCACTCATTTTAGCCATACTTGTGTACTTGATCATGTGATACTTCTAAAAGTTCATGAGATAGAAAGGAAAAAGTCTAGTTGTTCATCACATTTGAACACCCATGAAGATCCGAGGTAGAATTATAAGTTTTCAGCAGCCCATTCTTGCCGTAAACATGGTAAAAGGCGACTGGGCTTGTCGTAAGAGTGACTTATGGGATCCGGTGGTCAGGCTTGCGGACTTGGTTGATGCATGTCATCATATCCCTATTTCGTGGATCGATGCACATGATGTCAATCACCGGATTGTCTGGTCCAGACTGGATTATTTACAGACCGCCGTCATATAGCTGGAATATTGCTGAGTGCGGCATTAAACAACAAACAAACAAACAATAATAACTACAACATCTAAAGAAATTAACTTCTTCTTCAGTGTTATTAAAAAAATACAAATACGGACCTATAGTGGGACTACATCACACGCAATCCTACCTAATTCTATATCTTATGTCAAAGTACCGCCAGGGAATGTACTGAAAGTGTTACAGCTGTCATATAACTGGAACATTGCTGAGTGCGGTATTAAACAACAAACAAACAAACTTTGTGTAGCCATAGCGAGGACTTAGACCTGATTTTCATGAGATTGATGTAGGTTTTCAGAGTTTGCATGTTTGATCATAGGTATCAATCTGAACACACCCCAACTCTTTCAAATCTCGGAACTACAGCTGAGATATTCTCCATCAAGGATGAGACCGATGATATTTCTGGCATCTCCACTGTCAGGGTCAAGGCCAAAGGTCGTCAGAGATTTGAGGTCATTGACACACACAGAGAAGTTACAGGGTATGCAAGTCACTTTGATCATCTTGTGGTGTTGAGATATCTCTTTCTTTGTGGATCTTAGATGATTTTCTGTTCACGAGTGAGGTTCTAACAGTCTGTTTTACCATGTTATAGCAAGTATATAATTGTAAACATGTTAATTTATAGTCTTTGAAAATGTTACTTGAAATGTTATTTATGGAACACGGAAATTACTTTATGAAACAATTAGTTTTATTTTTAAAGTTATCTCTAAAAAGTATTGTTATTCAAAAAGAATTGAACAAAAAAAATCAAAATTTATTTTACTTACTTTAAATTTTATTCAAAAGTGAAATTAGCTACAACCTCCAAGGAACATGAGAAACAACTTGTTCTTAGAATTTCATTTCAATTTCCACATTTGTGAATTTTTTTATCAACGAATTAACATCTTTAACAAAATAATTGCATTACTAAGGGCCATAATTAACAACTCTGGATTGAAATTATGCCAGGAAACATGTGAATTGACTTGATCAAGGCCTCTAAGGTTACAAATGATGTATATGTGTTATTTCGATATTTTCTGCAGTTCTAGTGTAATACCTTTGATTTCAGTGTTTAGTTGTAACCATGGTAACATGGATTTCTTATGGATCAAACTATAGAGCAGATACTTACAAGTGAATGCGATGAAAGTTTTTTCTCAAACTCGTAATCTTTAATATTCCTTTTGTGAAATTATGTATTCATATGATTGGCAGAATCCTGGCAGGAAAGGTTCGCATCCTGCCAGAGTGTTTGCTGACGGACAGTTTGAGTGGAGCTCGGCCACGGTCACTCTGCAAGTTCTGCTGCAACCCTGCTGACCAGGACTCAGTGGTCAAGACTGCTGTGGACAGACAAGGCAATGTGCTTGCTTCAGTCAGCATGGTGAACAACTTGCAGGTAAACATGCAGGAGTTGTCTCCCTTGTTGAACTCGACTCCAGACTGCTCTCTCCCAATTGAATTTGGTGATGGAAGTTGGTTTTAGAAATTGTGTTGATGTAAATATGCTAAGTCTTCATTTGTTGTGCTACTGCTCCCTAGGAGGGGAGGAGGGAGGGGTGTTGTGGTGGTGGTGGGAGGGGGATTGGCTTGCGGACAGTATCATATTTTGACGGCCCCCAAATTTATGTAACATTTTTGCATGCCACCCCCACCCATCCCGAAATACATGTACCATTTTACCATGAGCTGTCCCTAAATAATGTACAAATGTATCATCTTTTATTTGAAAAATAGAACTGTGTCATTTTTTCATGCCCCTCTCCCCAACTTTATAGATAAATTTTGGTGGAGCCCCTTTTTTCATGATCACCCCCCCAGGAATCTCACTGGCACCCCTCTTCCCAGGACCCGTGAAGATACGGGTAGAATAGATCTTCAGCAATCCATGCTTGCCGTAAAAGGCAACTATGCTTGTCGTAAGAGACGACTAACGGGATCGGGTGGTCAGGCTCGCTGACTTGGTTGATGCATGTCATCGTATCCCAATTGCGTGGATCGATGCTCATGATATTAATGACTGGATTGTCTGGTCAAGACTCGATTATTTACAGACCGCCGTCATATAGCTGGAATATTGCTGAGTGTGGCGTTAAACAACAAACCAACCAACCAACCAATGAACAGCAGCATAAAAGAATCCTTACAACGAGTTGTGTAGCTCTGGGTTTTCTAGCATGTCAATTTTCATCTGCATGCATGGAATTAATTTGTAAGTTAAATATGTTCATATTTCTGTGATTTTGCTAATGCTGCTTTTAGAGGGGAACTCACTGGTATACTGTTTTATATGCATGTTTATTGGTTCTTGGATGTTGACAAACTGTTTTTGTTTGTTGCATTATTCTTGTTTTCAGGTAAACAAGTTCAGCTGTGCCAATTTTACTTGGTGGCCTCCGTGGGTTTACAAGATGTATGACACAGTAAGTTCTTTTCACGTGTTAAATATAGGTTTTCATTGATAAAAATACTTTTCAAGGTGTATCAGTCAATGCACTTACAGTTTTACCATAGGCTCCAATCACATCTTAACATGCATCTTTGTATCAAGTGAGGTTTTGGTATCTCAAATCCAGGTCCTGCGTCTTTGTGTGGAGTGAGGTTTCGGTATCCCTGATCCAGGTCCTGCGTCTGTGTCGAGTGAGGTTTTGGTATCCCAGATCGAGGTCCTGCATCTTTGTGTTGGGTGAGGTTTCGGTATCCCAAAGCCAGGTCCTGTGTCTTTGTGTCAAGTGAGGTTTTGGTATCTCAAATCCAGGTCCTGCGTCTTTGTGTGGAGTGAGGTTTCGGTAACCCAAATCAAGGTCCTGCGTCTGTGTCGAGTGAGGTTTTGGTATCCCAGATCCAGGTCCTGCATCTTTGTGTTGGGTGAGGTTTCGGTATCCCAAATCCAGGTCCTGCATCTTTGTGTTGGGTGAGGTTTCCGTAACCCAAATCCAGGTCCTGCATCTTTGTGTTGGGTGAGGTTTCGGTAGCCCAAATCCAGGTCCTGAGTCTTTGTGTCAAGTGAGGTTTTGGTATCCCAAATCCAGGTCCTGCATCTTTGTGTTGGGTGAGGTTTCGGTATCCCAAATCCAGGTCCTGCGTCTTTGTGTGGATTGAGGTTTCGCTATCCCAAATCCAGGTCCTGTGTATTTGTGTTGGGCGAGGTTTCGGTATCCCAATTCCAGGTCCTGTGTCTTTGTGTTGGGTGAGGTTTCGGTAGCCCAAATCCAGGTCCTGCGTCTTTGTGTCGATTGAGGTTCCGGTATCCCAAATCCAGGTCCTATGTCTTTGTGTTGGGTGAGGTTTGGTATCCCAAATCCAGGCCCTGCGTCTTTGTGTTGGGAGAGGTTTCGGTATCCCAAATCCGGGTCCTGCGTCTTTGTAAAAGTTGGTTTGACTTGCTTGTGTACTTCTTGAATCAGTGTACCACAGTATAGGCATTAGAGTATTTTAATGAGGTTATGACCTTGGTATTCTAGAAAACTGACAAAATGACAAAATTAGCTGAAACAGATATATAATAATCACAAATGCTTTCTTTAAAATGCTTCTCCTTACCTCAGTTTCTCATAATCACAGTATACTGCCACCGTGAGTATCCCAGGTTAGAAAAGGTCCCCAGCAATCGATGCTGGTCGTAAGAGTCTACTATATAGACCGGGAGGTCAGACTCGGTGACTGTTCATGGGATGTCATCGTACCCCAATGACTTGGATCGTTGTTCACAGTATAGATCACTGGATTGTCTGGTCAAGACTTGATTATTTACAGGCTGACATGATGTAGCTGGAATGTTGCTAAGTGTGGCATTAAACAATAAAGAAACAACACCAAGCAGTATCAAGATAATGTGAACGGGGGGGCACGGGTGGCCCAGTTGTCTAAGGTGCCGCGATTCGCTGTGCAGAGTTGCGTCCCTTGGGCACGCCAGAAACCTATGATTGTGGGTTCGAATCCCGGTTCCCCCAGATTATGATTCTAGGTTTGTCAGCACCATACCTATGCTCGTGGGTTTCACCGAAGTGGTAAACATCTGATACCTGCATCACTTCGGGCTTTCCTCCCACATTAAGCTGACAAGCCGCGATATAACTTGAATACTGTTAAAAGCGGCGTTAAACCCAACTCACTCACTCACTCACTAATGTGAACAGCAAAGTTAGTTTCAACCCTGACATTTGTTCTGACAGAAAAACCTTTCTGAGAAGATCCTGCGTGAGCTGCAGAGTTGGAACGAGGCGCTGCGGGTGTCAGTGTTCCCGCAGGACCCCACGGAGCTGTCGTACTGGGTGGCCCAGAACCTCCCCCTCGATGACAGCATGCGTCTGCATCTGCTGGGCCTCAACTCCGCCGTGCAGAGACTTCGGTGTGAGCTCAGCATCATTCAGAAGGTCAGCATGCAGGACTTTTTTAAAAACAGCTCAACTTTGTCAAATTGTTGGATTATATTTTTGGCAAGACTTTTATAAAATGGTTTAAGGATTCGACATTCCATAAAATAATAAAATAATGAAAAGTAGGGGGAACACAGCAAAACACTTAATATCAATGGAGTTGCCTGGTACAAACTTTGACTACATCATCATCATCATACCATCACATGCCTTCACAATGTTTCCATGTGACTATTATTATTCAGTCATCATGCCGTGACAAAATTCTGTGGTACAATTACCAAAATTCTGCGGCTAAAATTACAAAATTCTGCGGTTAATTCTGCGGTAAAAACATAACCATTTCCCCTTCACAAGTTAATACAAACTCATTTTTATTCCTTCAAAATTCAATTCAGCGATTCAACTCTGGGGTTTGTTCCGCTTTCTGCAAATTTTTCCAGAATCGCAGAATTCGTCTCGAACTGGAAGTCATAAAAAAAAGCTTGTGTTCCTTAACTTTTTATGAGTAGTATATACAGTTGTTCTTTACTCTGATTATGTGTGATGGCATCATGATGATAATGAAGCAAAAGTTTGTATCGGGCAACTTTATTGTTAAATAATATTTAGAGACTGGTGAGTGGCACTGAAAATACGTCTAGTGAATTTGGAAGTACACAGGGAGTAAATCTGACAATGATTAGATTTGTTTTAAAGGGAGTAAATCTGACAATGATTAGGTTTGTTTTAAAGGGAGTAAATCTGACAATGATTAGATTTGTTTCTACACCTGAAAAGTGTTAAAAGGAACTTAGCACTTCGTATCTCATTTTGTTTGTGCCATGTAGAGACCAGTGAACCAGTGTTTTCCTATGATTCGTATGAACCATGAAGAGACCAGTGTTTTGTATGAACCGTATAGACATCAGCGTTTTGTATGTTCTCAGTGCACAGTGCTCTGCTGCAAAGACTGCGGGACTCAGATAACCCACAAAAATGAGGTGTTCAGTATGTCCATGGAAGGGCCCCTCGGAGCCTACGTCAATCCAGGCGGACATGTTCACGAGACGCTCACCGTGTATAAGATTCAGAACCTCGGCCTCATTGGTCGACCTTCCACTGAACACAGTTGGTTCCCTGGGTAAGGGATCCTACTTTCTTTGAATTCATGATGAAAAAGTTTGAATCTGACAACGTCAGTAACTGGTTTGTCCAATCCAAGTCTGACTTCATGCCTGTCACGATATGGCAGACATTAGATAAGAGCCAGTTTTATTATTATAATGATTATGACATCTGAATATTGTCTCCCATTTTACACAAGCAAACAAACAAATTGCAACAAAAAATATTTGAAACATCCAAAAAAGTTGAGGCTTTTGGAGATTACCAGGAATTAGAAAAAAATGTTGAATTGTTTTGTGTACTGTTTTTCTTTCATATTGGATTCAGGGGAACAGTCACACTTTAGTCAGGTATTCATCCATTTGGAGGAGGATTGAATCCAATAGGTAACGGGTTGTCTAAGGCGCCACGTTTCGCTGTGCAGAGTCGTGTCCCTTGGGCTCGCCAGAAACCTGTGATTGTGGGTTAGAATCCTGGTTCACCCCAATCATGTTTCTAGGTTTGTCAGCACTATACCCATGCTCGTGGGTCTCACTGGAGTGGTAAAGGTCAGAGATCTGCATCACTTCAGGCTTACCTCCCACATTAAGTTGACACGCCGTGATATAACTGGAATACTGTTAAAAGCGGCGTAAAATCCAACTCACTTACCCAATAGGAAACAGTTTCAGGCATGTATCATGATGCCGCCATGTTTGTCTCACAACTATCAGAGTATTCCTGCAGAATGCTTTAAAAAAATACTTGATTTATATTTTGTGATGTCAATAATCATGTGTTTTCAGATTTGAAGGTGTTATTGAAGTTTTGGTGCATGAAATTGATTTGAAACCTCCATCATGTGTCCATCTAACACCATCAGTTCCAAGTGAAATTTCCAGGTTTCAAATACATAATAACATCTGCAGATCTGAATGACATAGTCATATGATAATGAATGTCTGGATATGAAATACTCAATAACACCAGTAAATATGGTTTCATATCATCTGTGCAAAATTTTAAGATTTGAAACCTCCAGCTAACACCATCAGTTCCAAATGAAATGTCCGGACATAAAATACTCAATAACACCAGTAAATATGGTTTCATATCATCTGTGCAGAATTTTATGATTTGAAACCTCCAGCTAACACCATCAGCCCTTTGTGAAATTTCCAGGTTTCAAATACATAATAACACCTGCAAATCTGAATGACATAGTCGTGTGATAATGCTTGTCTCCAAATCGTTTATCATTGGATCTTTTCTGCAAGTTGAAGCAACTCCTGAAAGTTATGCCTCCCATGAGAGCCGGTGGCCAGGATCACAGGGTGACTTATTTCCTTGTTTGTGGTATTTCAGATATGCATGGACGATTGTGGAGTGCAAACACTGTTCCAGCCACATGGGGTGGAGGTTCACGGCCTCCAATAAATCTCTCAACCCACAGAAGTTCTGGGGTCTGTGCCGAGCCTCTCTCATTCCCGGAATACAGAACACTGACGATACTGAGGAGGAGTGGATGCCTGTCATGTGATGGTCATGTGATTGTCATGTGATCTTAGTGAGCTGGTCATGTGACCAGCCACTTTGGATGGGACTGATCATCCAGCAAGTCTTTCAATGGAGAATGTTTTGCATCTGTGTTAAACGCTGCTTTTCCAAAAAACAAGATGGACACCAGTCATGTGATTGTCATGTGACTTTTGTAGGTCACATGATTGTCATAAGAGCCACCGGAGAGCCAGTCTGAGATTTGAGACTTTCAGTGACTTGCTTGTTTGCAAACTTCTTGGTGCCCCTGCTACCTGGCAAAATGGATGGGTATTTTGCAACTGATTATTTTGTGACTGATTTGGAAGAAAATGTGATACTTTTGTATTGCCATTGTTTATAAAGAAGTGTGAGAGAGTACAGAAGCTATGAAATCAGAATGTGGGGGAGATTGGTGATAGAATGAGCTGTAGTGGGAGAATGTAACATTGTGATGTTGATAACCAGAGTGTGGGGAATTCATATTCTGTTGAATGTCTATTGCGATTGTAAGTTGAATTGTTTGATAGGCATTACTTAGAAGTTGACGGATGACAAAGCAGACACAAAGTAAACAACTTCTTTTATACTGTTACTGTTGCATTTCGGTAAGATCCTTATACCGTTGTCAAGCAAGACTGAATGAAGAACATCGTATACAGGTTAAACCGAATATATATATAGTAGGTGGAGGATTAACAGTAGAGGATTAACAGTAACAACAATTGCATACATGAGTGGGATAACACCTGTTTCATTAAGTATTAGGCCATCATCAGAGGGAAGAGAAAAGGCTGAGCCGGTAGCATCACAACATATTTCCATATTTAAAAGACATTTTGGAAATTGTATCTTTTTTTCATTTTATTACAAAACATATATCTTTGTTTACAAACTATATACAATACTCATATTGAAATAAAGAAATCTATATTGATCATCTAATATTTTGTAACGACCAAATGGCAATAGTTATATGGCTGCCCCTTTAAGTACTTCCTCTGCTTCTTTGTATTGTAGGATATAACTCAGTACTTGCGATAGCCTGGAGAACCATAGGGAGATATCAGTGGTGTCTTGGGTATGTATTAAAATAAGATCAGTGTCACTTGAGGTGAGGTGAAATGGGGTTTAGCTTCACGTGCAAAATTATTGCACTTATATAGCAATGTGCATGCGAGTGTGGGTGTGTGTGGATGTGGTTGCTTGTACTACTGCCAATTTGAAAGTGCTAGCCCACTAAGATTCCATGTCGCAGTTTAACATGAATACCCCATTCAGACACAGTATACTGACTTCGAGCTGATCAGTCCTTGTTTTTGGCCCTTTATACCAAGCACCAGGCAGGGTAACAAGAAGGACCATCTTTTGGTATAACACGGCCAGGGATTGACTTCCAGACCTTTCGCTTTCTGGGCAGACACTCTACCACTAGACCATGGAGGCAGTCCAATGTTACTTGAAGATATGTTCATAAGATACGTGCCGGAAGTGCCGGATGTATGATAAAAGAAGGATTGTGTGTGTATAATAGCATGATTGAATCAAAGACGATAAAAGTCTCTTTTGAGGATTTTTGTGAATACTTTCAGAAACTATTATGTAATGATTAATTAAGCAGCCCTCTGTAAATGTGTGAATTTGACCTCTGGCATTTGCAAAATGCTTGGATATCCCAGTGATATCATATCACATCTTTCTTCATTTTAGTGCTGGAAGTATTTTTTGACATGTCAAAACGTCAAGATCATCCCCGAGGTTCTAGCCTGAAGAAACGTTTGTTTAGACGATAACTTGAGAAGCATTATTTACTGTATGTCAAGGAAACTTGGTACATGTCATCCTTAGGGCGAGATGCAGATTGGCAAAGGCTGTTAGTTACCTATGTGTAAAGGTCAAGGTCACAATGAAGGTCATTCTAAAATTATATTTGCCATTTACACTAAAATAGCTTTTTCTTCAGACATTAATTAGGTGTTGTGCATGTTGTGTAGTGCTTATATTGTTTGAATACTTATCTGTGACAAGTGATGAATATCTTTTATGTCAGAAGAAGGTAACTGTGACCTTCTTTCAATGGGTAGCATATGCAATTGTTTCGTTGTTAAGTTGAAGTTCACCAAGGGACATCATATTTGATTTATATGCTGAATAGCCCTTTTGAATGTTCTTGGAATACATGCAATTGATACCAAAGGTCAAGGTCATGTATTTGGTATATATGCTGGAAAGTCATCTAGAATGTTCTTGGAGTACTTGCAACTGATACTGAAAGTCACTTTCACGGTCACTCAAAATGTATTATGTTCCTGGTAACTCAAGAGGTGATGACTGCAATAGGATGAACTTTGGTACAAAGTCTTAGGGTGGAATTGAATTGTAAGCATTTGGTCGATCTTCCTTCAAGGTCAAGGTCACTGGAAAGGTCAAGGTCACTGGAAAGGTCATTCTTAAGGTTGTCTGGCTTCTTTGTGTGCTGAAGTAACCCGCTGTGTTTGTATGATATGTTTGTTAGAGCTAACAACCATATTTTCAGCTAGAATTAATAAATCATGAGGTTGGCTGAAATTGAAGGGACAGTTCATTGAGCTGGAAGTGCACATAACTTGCTTATGCCCAATGGAATCTGTTTCGGCAGATAATTGAGACAGATTATTCTCTGGCATTGTAAGCCATGTATATTCCCTAGCGGAAAGTGATATTACTTAGGGGAGGTATGACAAGGACTAAACAATTGGCCTGAGCAAAAATATTAACAACAGTAACTCTCAAAAGCTTTTTGGTGTGCAGGAGCATAATGTGTTGTTTTGTTTCTCTTCAGAAAGGTTAAGTTACAAGATTGGGACAAAGTTTATGGGGGCGGTCGGGTAGCCCAGTGGTAAAAGCGTTCACGCCAAAGGCCCGGGTTCGATTCCCGACATTGGTACAAAGTGTGAAGCCCATTTCTGGAGTCCTCCGCCGTGATATTGCTGGAATATTATTAAAAGCGGCGTAAAACCATACTCACTCACTCACTCACTCAAAGTTTGTGTTCATTGATGTTGAATGTTTGCTGGAACTTTGGAGGGCCAGGATGTCGACAGTTCTGGATGGTTTTAAACCATGCATGAGTAATTTCCAAGTGTGACATCACACATTTAGTTTTTACATGATTAATTCTCAAACCAAAACAATAGAGCTCTACATAGCGAAGCCAACAACGCAAGAGCCTTTTCAGAATAAACTGACTTTGGTCATGTTTTTTAAAAGGCAAGTTGAAGAGAAAGCTTGTGTGTTTTTCTTACAGATGAGTTACAAAATACTAATTGCCAGCTTGATTGGATTAGAAGCCAGTATTTATCGAAGCATAGATTACAGTATAAATACCTCAGGGGTATTCCCCAGAAAGAAGAGCTTCCTGACCTGCTAATGAGCCTGCTTCTGCCCTGTGATCACCGGAGCAGAAACTTCTCTCCCGCAGTAAGGCGAGCAGACACCAGTAAGCACGGGGGTTATTGCTATTGTTTGCAAACAATGCTTCATAACAGTCACTGTCCTGATGCTTTAAGAACCTGTTCAACAGAAAGATGATGGTGATGATTCTGCTGGTTACCATGGTTACACACATGATGACCTTGACCTTTTTTTTGTTACCAGGCAGAGAATTAGGATAAACCGGTTAACGTAATATGAAAGCTCAGTGTATATTAGTATTATTCCTTGGAGATGTTTCAGAAAGCAGTTTTACATGGGTTCTTGACAGTTGCCTCTGTTAGCATGTTTAGCTTTCATTATTGTTTGTTATATGACTGTTTTTGTCACTCTAACAGTGACCTTTTGTGTCTTAGGGATAGTTCTCTGTGGTTTGTTACATGTTCCTCAACATTATCAGTGCCAAAAATATTTAAGTGTGCAAGCTCAGACTCCTCTTTCAGACACATATTCAATAGTGTTTACCACCCGTGAAGATCCGGGTTAGAATAGGTCTTCAGCAACCCATGCTTGCCGTAAATGACGACTATGCTTGTCGTAAGAGGCGACTAATGGGATAGGGTGGTCAGGCTCACTGACTTGGTTGATGCATGTCATCATATCCCAACTGAGTACATCGATGTTTATGATGTCAATCACTGGATTGTCTGGTCCAGACTCAATTATTTACAGACCGCGGCCTTATAGCTGGAATATTGCTGAGTGCGGCATTAAACAATAAACAAACAAACAATCTCAAACTCAATACTGTTTCCGCAAAGATAATCACTCATGGATCCAGAAGGGGTTGCATCCTGGCTCCCCTCCCGTCTACAGCATTTTGACATATACTCTAGTTTTGCAGGCAGGTAATGAAGTGCAACCCCTATTTTCATGCCAGCTTGTTGCAGACAAACAAGCGTTGGCAAAGACCTCATTAGGTGGCCAAGCCGTCTCCCGCTCCATGACCTGACCACTGTTTAATTAATTGTTCATCCGCCTTTGTCACAGAATTCATGAAGGGCGGTGGGGTAGCCCAGTGGTTTAAGTGTTCGCTCGTCACACCGAAGGCCTGGGTTAGATTCCCCACATGGGTACAATGTGCGAAACCCATTTCTGGTGTTCCCTGCCGTGATATTGCTGGAATATTGCTGCTAAGAGAGATGTGAACCATACTCACCCACAGACTTCACGATTGTCTGGTTTTGTTAATGATATTTGTATTGACAACTTTTGTGTCATGTCCAGGAAAAGTTTCACAGTATAGATATGAGGTAGGTGACTTTCTAAAAGAGTCTATGTAAAATTCTAGACAATATGGCGACTAGTTTTTGAGTGCAAAAATAGGGGTTGCACTTCCCTACGCCAAACTATGAACTTTAATACTATGGACATTTTTTAGGTGATATGGTATACTAAGACTTATTGTACAAGACACTGTATTTGCCATATGAAGCCCCAATAAACGCCCCCTGCAAACTTCTAGACCATTCTGAAGGTAATCTTTTCTAAGACTGAAAATTGAGCAGTGTAGGAGTGATAATGACCTAGTAACTATGATCTACCACAACTACAACCGCTCAAGATCTGAAAACATATTTAACTTGTGTAACAGTTGCCCTTTTGTCTATTTTCTACTTACGCAGTATGGTAATATATTTGGTCTTTTGGTGTGTTTTTCACGATCATGGAAAGTGAATTGCCACATTGCAAAAATGAAACCCATTTTGAAAATAAAGCTGTGTCTATGCTTCATATGAACTAGGTCTCCTCATGTGATGGGGAGTGCATCCTCCTCCTCCAATCCATAGGGAATGGGGTGTGTGCAGAATTCTCTTTGCAGAGTTGTCTGCTCCATAATTGTGCCAGGATCTGCTGATCACAGGCCATGTTATATGAAGCCTAGTAGTGTTTCAGTATGTTAACTCTAAACTGAAAATCTACCCTTTGAGAAATGGCCAACGTATTTGTATCCGACATTATTATGCCCCCCAATAAGAGGATATATAATATATTGGTTTGTAAAGAAAGAAATGTAAACAAGTTGCCATGGCTCTACGATGTTCACATGCGAATTTCATGTTCTAACAATTGATGTGATGCTATGATTAAAAAGATACAAGTATATATAGTTTGTCCTTTCTATGTTTTCTGGAGGGCACATGTGGCCCAGTCGTCTAAGGCCCTGCAATTCATTCTGCAGAGTTGCGGCCCTTTGGCACACCAGATACCTATGATTGTTGGTTCGAATCCTTGTTCGCCCAATTATGTTTCTAGGTTTGTCAGCACCATACCCGTGCTCATGGGTTTCACTGAAGTGGTAAACGTCTGAGACCAGCATGACTTTGGGCTTTCCTCCCACATTAACATGACTCACTGTGACATAACAGCAATATTATTTAAAGTGAATTAAACTCAACTCACTCACTCACTCACTATGTTTTAGCTTACCTGGCACAAAGTGCACACCTGTCTTTAACTATTGTCCATACAATCAACTCACAACTGTTCACTTCATCATGCTGACTTGGCAGACATTTTGTATAGATGTCCCGTATCATTTTCTGATGTTTAGCTCACCTGACTGATTTCAAGTGCGCCTATTCAGTGGCACATTTTGTTATCTGTCTTCGCTTCTGTCCTTTGTTAACGTTTGCATTTTTTACATTTCGTCTGAAACTCGTCTATTAAGCTGAAGTGTTGCATGACTGCTCCCAGCTATGGCGTCTCTGAGCACTGCTGATAAAATTACAATCTGATCTCAAACAATGAAAATGTCCTTTTTAGCCATTACTTTTCTGTATCATCACATTTGACATGCAGTATGTGGTATACATGCTGAATAACATATATATTTTGACATACGGTATTTTGAATGCCTGTAAAACTGAAACTTTGCATATTGATCTCAGCTGTGTTGTTTCAAAGAAGCCTCTACAGGAGCCATATTTAAGAACCCATTACTGGCCATTAATCAGCCATCTTTTTTCAAAATGTATTAAAATTTGACATGGTTGTAGTTAGTAGTTCGGCCTAACATATGTGTTCCATTTTGTAATTGTTTGCCTTGATTCAGCAAAATAGTTGCTGAAATGCTGTCATTGGCAATAAAAATCAATGTTCAGTGGAAACTGTCTGAACCAGAATCTCACTAATCCATATTTCTGCCAATACTGGACCACATTTACAGTCCTGAATGTGGTGAGGTGAGGTGAAATGGGGTTTAACGTCGCGTCCAAGATTATTACGCTTATATAGCGACGTTGTCCTGAATGTACTGTGGTAAATAATATTTATTTCTTCCCTTCTATTTTTGTGTCTATTCCTTGTTCTCTGTAGGAACAGGTCTAAGGAATTACTAAATCAGATCAGGTGGATAGTATCCACTGATTTCTGACTCAATGAAGTATGAATGACTTCCCTCCAATTATATAAAGACATTCCCAACAATAATCAAGGACTACAGTGAACACCTGTTAATGTGGACAGTACCCACTGATTTCTGAATCAATGAAGCATGAGTGACGTCCCTCCAATTACATAAAGACACACCAACTGTCATCAAGGAATAGAGTAAACCCCTGTTAATGTGGACAGTATCCACTGATTTCTGAATTAATGAATCATTAGTGACGTCCTTCCAATTATATAAAGACATTCCAACTGTAATTATGGACTGGAGTGAACCCCTGTTAATGTGGACAGTATCCACTGATTTCTGTCTCAATGAATCATTAGTGACGTCCTTCCAATTATATAAAGACATTCCCAACAATAATCAAGGACTACAGTGAACACCTGTTAATATGGACAGTACACACTGATTTCTGAATCAATGAAGCATGAGTGACTTCCCTCCAATTACATAGACACACCAACTGTAATCAAGGACTACAGTGAACCCCTGTTAATGTGGACAGCACCAATCCCACTGAATCAGAAATCAATCAAGCATGAGTGACTTCCCTCCAATTATATAAAGACACACCAACTGTAAGCAAGGACTACAGTGAACCCCTGTTAATGTGGACAGCAATCCCACTTAATCAAAAATCAATCAAGCATGAGTGACTTCCCTCCAATTATATAAAGACACACCAACTGTAAGCAAGGACTACAGTGAACCCCTGTTAATGTGGACAATATCCACTGATTTCTGAATCAATGAAGCATGAGTGACGTCCTTCCAATTATATAAAGACACACCAACTGTAATCAAGGACTCCAGTGAACCCCTGTTAATGTGGACAGCAATCCCACTTAATCAAAAATCAATCAAGCATGAGTGACTTCCCTCCAATTACATAAAGACACACCAACTGTAATCAAGGACTACAGTGAACCCCTGTTAATGTGGACAGTACCCACTGATTTCTGAATCGATCAAGCATGAGTGACGTCCCTCCAATTACATAAAGACACACCAACTGTACTCCACCGAAGGTTGCACTGTAGCATAATGTCACTCGTAGGGCCACCCTTGAATGTTATTCATCTATAAATACACCAGGTCCCCCTGAGAATATGACCCCCGACACACAGCAATAAAACCTATTAAGTCATAAACACGCCATGACATGACAGATATACTGTGTGAGGTGTACTCTCCCCCTCATCTCTACACGGGTATTGACTCGGCACAATGGTGTAACTACATGTGGTACATTCCAGTGACTGCGTACTGGGTGTGTTCAACTTGACGCCCTCAGAATGTGGGTCACCTTGCTCCACCTATCTCAGGCTGCCAGTCACGAATGTTGTATGAAAGGCAGAGAGAAAAGGTAGGTTCTTTTGAAAATGTATTATCTAATCTTTTTGGGTGTAACATTTAACTGGTGTTTGAACCTGGTGTCTGTGTGACTACATGTATAGTCTGTGTGGAGGATACAGGTTTAGTTGCTTCAGGTAGGGTACCTGGCTACTGCTCTGTTTCTTGTTATATATGTTTATGAAATGTTAAAATGCAGTCGGATGTGTGTCTAAGCGTTGTTTGTTTTCTGATTACTCATTTGTTTAAGGAGTGACTGCGTTATGTTGACATTAGTTTTCTGGTAACATAGTTATATATGTGTTGTGAGATATAACCTGTGCTTTGAGATCCACATAGATCTCATTGCATTCAATCTCATGGTCATATCAGTGAGATAAAGTATTGGTTATAGGTGAGATCCTAATGGATAAAGTATTGGTTATAGGTGAGATACTACTGGTTAAAGTATTGGTTATAGGTGAGATCCTACTGGATAAAGTATTGGTTATAGGTGAGACCCTACTGGATAAAGTATTTGTTATGGGAGAGATCCTACTTGATAAACTTTTTTTTATAGGTGAGATCCTACTTGATAAAGTATTTGTTATAGGTGAGATCCTACTGGATAAAGTATTTGTTATAAGTGAGATCCTACTGGATAAAGTATTTGTTATAAGTGAGATCCTACTGGATAAAGTATTTGTTGTAAGTGAGATCTTACTGGATAAAGTATTTGTTATAGGTGAGCTCCTACTGGATAAAGTATTTGTAATAGGTAAGATCCTACTTGATAAAGTATTGGTTATAGGTGAGACCCTACTGGATAAAGTATTGGTTATAGGTGAGACCCTACTGGATAAAGTATTTGTTATGGGAGAGATCCTATTGGATAAAGTATTGGTTATTAGTGAGATCCTACTGGATAAAGTATTTGTTATAGATGAGATCCTACTGGATAAAGTATTGGTTATAAGTAATATCCTACTGGATAAAGTATTTGTTATAAGTAAGATCCTACTGGATAAAGCATTGGTTATAAGTAAGATCCTTCTGGATAAAGTATTGGTTATAAGTGAGATCCTACTGGATAAAGCATTGGTTATAAGTAAGATCCTTCTGTATAAAGTATTGGTTATAAGTGAGATCCTACTGGATAAAGCATTGGTTATAAGTAAGATCCTACTGGATAAAGTATTGGTTATAAGTAAGATCCTTCTGGATAAAGTATTGGTTATAAGTGAGATCCTACTGGATAAAGCATTGGTTATAAGTGAGATCATTCTGGATAAAGTATTGGTTATAAGTGAGATCCTACTGGATAAAGCATTGGTTATAAGTAAGATCCTTCTGGATAAAGTATTGGTTATAGGTCTTTGGTGTTACTACTTCTTGGCACTTTTTCAACCATGGCAAAATGTTACCTGCCCATGACATCACTTGACAAAAACAGTTTAATCAAAATGTATTCATCAGTCATATTCCTCTATAAATCTATGACTATATGACCATGTATAGTTTATAAATCCTTTCGATAAAATACTTGATGAAGTTTAAGCCCCACGTGGGGAGACTTGATTGAATTGACAAAAACATTTCAAATAACCAAAATGTCAGCCATCTTTGACAGTTTAACAATACTCTTTCAGGGCTTCTTCAGCAACCAACTGACCCGAAGTTGGGGCCCAGATGAAGACATGGGGGGACGGGTGCTCAATGGTTATGATCTCAAACCTCCCGACTACTATGTGGAGCCAAATTGTCTCATAGAGGAGAATGTAGAGAAGATTGTCAAGGTGTTTGATTTGTTTGTTTGTTTGTTGTTTAACTCCACACTCAGCAATATTCCAGCTATATGATGGCGGTCTTTAAATATTTGAGTCTTGACTAGACAATCTAGTGATTGATATCATGAGCATCGATCTACACAATTGGGATACGATGACATGCATCAACCAAGTCAGCGAACCTGACCACCCGATCCAGTTAGTCGCCTTTTACAACAAGAATAGTCGCTTTTTACAACGAGGATGTGATGACCTATTAGAACCCGGATCTTCACGGGTTGTCAAGGTGATTGAAAGTAGTATGCTGTGCTCCAGAGGTTGTTTGTGTACAAATGCATATGAAATATTTAAAAGAAAAACCCCAGAAAAAAACAGTGGTATGATGATATTGCTCGCACACACAGAAAGATGTGAGGTTTCCTGCCTTGCACATGTGCAAGGGCCCTAGGCAGCAAGATATTATTACTTGTACAACTGAGTTGACAGAGAAGAGGACTTCAGTTGAAAACCAGCAAAACAATTTAAGTATTTCAGAAAATCTTATTGTAGACCGATGTATGAATGATTGGATGAGTCAATCGTCTCTCAGGCTCGCCTCGCCAAGTTAGTTAGAGTTTCTGCAAGAAAGCTGTGCACTTTGTTCACGCCTCAATGAATAGAACAGTCTATGGTCGAATCATCAGCTGTGAACGTTGTATTCATACGCCATCCTTACACTAGTGACATCCTGTTTGACATTGAATTTAAAGAATGTGCAGTTAATTTATTTATTTTTATTACAACTCATGCATTTCAAGGGGCGGTCGGGTAGCCTAGTGGTTAAAGTGTTTGCTCGTCACGCCGAAGACCCGGGTTCGATTCCCGACATGGGTACAATGTGTGAAGCCCATTTCTGGTGTCCCCCGCCATGATATTGCTGGAATACTGCTAAAAGCGGCTCACTCACTCATGCATTTCAAAATGTATCTGACCCATTCTGCTTGTTGGAAACACAATCTGACTGAGATTAATGTTAATCTGACATTAACAATTTTATTTTTTTGTTTACTGTTGCTGTTACTGTTTCTGTTAAGAATTAAAGTACTGCATGGTAAGTCATTTGAAGTTCATTGATTGATTTGTATTATCTAATCATTTTTTTTTTTTTTTTCAATTTCCTTTTTAATACCGCAGGTATCAAGGTACTAGTATCTGCTTAAATGCAGTTTTTATTTTATCCCCGAGCAGTGGATCCGTTTGCATTCCAGTTATCATTTTCCACGCCCTGGGGAATATACAACCCAAGCTGCCCAGGGGGGCTAGAAGGTTTTTCCATCCACCTCACGTATTGGGTATCCATTCCCTGCTGGGTGAACAGAGGCACATTTGAACTTAGTCACTTGCCCAGGGTGACACCACACGTGTTTCGGGTGGATGTACGTAATCGTGTTTCTTTTGAGTGCACATGGTGTATGTACTGTACACTAGGTGTAGTGACAACACTGTAAGAACCTGTAAACATGGTTGTCCCAAGGCCGAATAACAACCCGGTCACTAGCGGGATACGATCTCAGCACCTGGCTCTTGCCAGCCTGGCCCTTTCGACCGCTTGCCCACTCCGCATTAATATTTTCCTGTTATCAAAACTCAAATGTTCAGCCATCTCAGTCAGAGTTAACTGACTTTGAAAGTCCAGTTTCCACCCTTGCCGAACTAGGCTAGAATTACTGGACTCGATCGTAGCGCCACCAGTGGCTATTACCAATTTTGTCCCTTGTAAGCCTCTCCTATGGACCAATCAGATTCCACCTCTCATATCAGTTCCGTTTGCTTCAAACAAAATGGTGGCGCCCAGTCAGGGCGATCTGATCGATAATCAAGATCTATATTGTGATATAAACAGGTCTTACATCACGAAATGCATCGAATCACGTCAGCACCTTGATTAAAAACATGAAAAGATTTGGAAAATATCTGCTGACAACAAGTTGGCGGTGCACATGTTTTCCAAATCCTGCAATCGACCGAAATCTGCATGACAGTTTACGAACCGGATTTTGATTTCGGTGTGCAATTTTGATTGAACTATGCATAGACTTGTTAGTCCAGCCAAAATGTAACTCCATAATAGCAGCCTAGTTCGGCAAGGGTGGAAGCTGGACTTCTATAGTCAGTTAACTCTCTTGCCTCGGGAAGATGATGTTCAGCTGACAAAAATTGTTGTAGTATGCGGGGATGATCGGCGGTGTGGTTGCTGACATGGACATCACAAACAGGACCGATGTCCTCCGAGTCATCGACAAGGGGAAGGTGAGTTATTTTGAAATTTGATCCGGTCAGGAATCAGATAAAAATTCATTTTATAAAGAGAAAAATTGAGAAAAGGAACTTCACTAAAAGCATGAATGGGGTATTACACTGGTTATAGTGACATCACGGCGAGGGACGATAATGTGCCTTACACATCGTACCCATGTGTTGAACCAAACCCATGTTCTGGGCTACCAACACTTTCACCACAGCACCCTTATACCGTGCGCACATGCAGTTAGGCAATGTTTTACCTGACACAAAATATTGGATTCTGCATGCATAAAAATTGAGAAAAGACCAAAATTAGTTACATTGAGGGATTTATACTAATCAAAGTAGACTGCATGCTCCATGACACTGACATTTTGTTTCTGGTAAGAATTAAATAGCAAGGTTTAATAATGATGATGATGATGATGATGATGATGATGATGATAATTATATATTGTGAGTGCAATTACTGTAAATGATGAAATTATTGCATCACCTGACCAAATTAATGCTAAATCATGTTGACTGCTGGCCTACAATGCATCATAAAATTTATGTTAGTAGCCATGCCCTTCAACTATAAAAACCAATCAGTCTAGACCTAGAATTACTAGATACAGTATGGGGTGATAGCAGTTCGATTAAATAAAATCATTCACAAAATTAACTTCAACTGCTTGACATTTTCCATGAAGTAAAAACCAGGAAATTCCAAATAATGCATATTCAAATGAGACAGTTTGGGCCACCGATGACGATTGTACAGGTTCCAAGTGTTGCGACATGAGTTAGAGCAGTCCTCGGTAATAGACCCAGGTCAGTCCCACTACTGAACCATTGTAATGACGTCACGCTATTGTTGTTGCAGTTGATTCTGAGCCAGGAATTCACTGGCCATTCTGACTGTGCATTTTTGAGAATAAACCTGATGCAACTATATCATAGAGAAGTTATATATCAACCTCAACATGGTTTAAATCAGAGAAAGCACTCAAACTTGTTGATTATAGAAGAAAAATCAAATCACACATTTGGGGCTCGTTGATTCTACTTCCGGAATCATCAGATTGTCATGATTTCCCCATTACTGTATTTGACGTAATAAGCGCCTGGGGCGCTCTCAAAATTAGAAATAGGGGGCTCTTATTAGAATATTATTTTGGTGAAAGAAAACAGATGAAAGATAAATTTCGTGGTTTATGCTGACAGCCTGAAGTGTTTATATGCGACAGATATATTTTTCCAGAATTTAATTGCCCATAATTAAGGGTGTATATAACACACGAGTGCGTATTATACGCGAATAAATAAGTCCTTTGTACATTGATCAATCGGAAGGGATGCAAATTGGGCTTTGTTCAATAGCCAATATATCAGCAAATATCGCCATGGGCGCTTATTAGAGCGGGGCGTTTATTACGTCGAATACGGTACCCCTTCAAACCAAGACGGCTGACAGCAAAAGGCAGATGTAGTCAAAACAGGTCAGGGACACACACACATTCAGTCTCACTCTCTAACTCACTCACTCACTCTCTAACTCACTCCCTCCCTATTGCACAATCTTGTCCAGTCCATCAGTCAGTCATACCTAGCGTCATATGTTTCCAAAATCTGTTATTTCAGAAGCAAGGACTGATTCCCCCCAAAGTTGGGTACGATCATGATGCCATCTTCAGCCTGAACGTCAACAACATCAAGATCAGCAGATACAACCAGTCAGAGGTCGGTCAATAGATCAAACTCTTGTACAGGTCACCCGTTTTAAAACAATACGCCTTTATTAATGTGAAAGTCTCATGGGTGGGTACGCCTTTGTAGAATTGGATAGATCATGATATTGTTAATGTAATCGTTTTAAAAACATAGATAGCGGCATGTAATTCAAGTTTGTTTGCGCTTTAGCCTTGTCCTCCAAAATTATGCGCTTGATCACACAACAAGCCTAACCTCGCTTCGCATCCTAGCAAGCAAGCCTCCGTTTACAGTCATAGTCGGCAAACCTATTCTACGACCATTTTAATCCTTAGACATTTTCCTATCCACAATTAAAGAATGATCGATTGTAGTCTGTACTTTCCTTTGTAGGATTATGGGATTAAAATCCTCTTTCTTTCAACACACCCCTACAATTGAAAAAAAGATATTTTTTTACAATGTGAAACTTGATGTCAAATCAAGGTTACTTGACACGAGTCTACAAGCCATACTCTTGACATACATGGAATCCATACCGGTATTATATATACAACACAGGTCCCCCAACAATCAATGAAAGGATCTCGTATATTCTGTACCCGGCTGGTGGTAATACCAAATCAGCTTGCAGGCCTAGCAGGCCGTGCTAATTAAGCCACGCCTCCTCGTTAGCGCTTTTTTTGGTTTGTTTGGGTTGTTACTAATTGTTATAGTCATTGAGTACCTTCTAATAAAGCTACATTTTTAAAGAGTTCTCTCCCTTGTTCTGTCCAGGATCTGTTGCTGCGGGTTCCCATGCATGAGATCGCTGCTGCGTGTTACATAAAGGATGATGACCAGCATATTCTGGCTCTCAAACATGGTGGGTTGTTTAAACAGAGCATCGAGAGTGATGACGCTGTTTAATGTTTAAAGCAATACCAATCGAAATCATTCCCAGGGGAAAGACAGCCTCTGTGGTGTAATGGATAGAACGTCTGCCAGGATTGCAAAAGGTCGGTGGTTCAATCCCTCACTGTGTCATACCAAAAGATTAAAAAAATTGATTCTTGTTGTTACCCTGCCTGGCACTTGACATTAAAGGGATAAAACAAGGGCTGGTCGGCTCGGAGTCTGTATAATGTGTTTGAGTTGGGTATCCATATTAAACTGCGGCATGGTATCTCAGTGGGCTCGAACAATACAACATGGCATTAGTCTTGACAAGTACAAGCAAGGTGGACCAGTACACACACAGATGCACATTGCTATATAAGTGCATTTCACCTCACCATCCTGGTTAGAATTGGTCCCCAACAACCGATGCTTGTTGTATGGCAACTCAAATGATAACGTGTCATCATACTTCATTGGTGTGGATTGCTGCTCATTATATCAATCACTGGTTTGTCTGTTTGAAGTGTCTTACTTTAGATTTGCTGGGCATTCTGGAATTTGTGCATGTTTTAATCATGTTAATTCAAAATCAGTGGGTGGCGGGGTAGCCTAGTGGATAAAGCGTTCAGTCGTCACGCCGAAGTACCGGGTTTGATTCCCACATGCGTACAATGTGTGAAGCCCATTTCTTGTGTCTTTTGCCATGATATTGCTGGAATATTGATCAAACCATACTCACTAACCCATAATTCCATGTCATTATCGACCGCCTCCGTGGTCTATTGGTAGAGCGTCCGCCCAGAGAGTGGAAGGTCCGGGGTTCGATCCCCGGCCACATCATACCAAAAGACGTTAAAAGATGGTACTTGTTGTTACCCTGTCTGGCGCTCGGCATTAAGGGGCTAAAACAAGGACTGGTCGGCTTGGAGTATACTGTGTCTGAGTGGGGTATTCATGTTAAACTGCAGCATGGTATCTCAGTGAGCTAGCACTATAAATCGGCATCAGTCCGGACTAGTACAAGCAGCCACACACACACGTGCATGCACGTCGCTACATAAGTGCAATAATCTTGGAGGCGACGTTAAAACCAATTTCACCTCACCTACCATGTCATTATCTTAACAGTTCATCAGGGGGCTGTCAAAACATTGATCATTAAATGGAACAGATAAAGAATCTGACCGTGTGTCCTTTGCTATCATATATATCAACACAAGTTGATAGATGTTTAAAACTCAAAGGCTTGGCAAACAGTTTAAACATTTCCTGATGAGTGATATGTCCCATGGAAGCCAGTTTGGGATGACAAATTTGCAACCATTTGTCCTTTTTTTAAAAGCGATTTCATATTATTTGATAGTGTAGTTCATGACTATCACAGGCGGATTCAGAGGGGTGTCTGGAGCCCCCCTTTTGAAAACCAAATGTAGTATGTTATAGACACTCTCCCCCCACCCACACACTGAGAGAGGATTTGGCTATTTTGGACCCCACCCTTTCAGAAATGCTGGATCTGCCCTTGACTGTGGTAATATACCAAGGCCAAATAAAAACACCCATGCTAGAAACACTGACACGTGTCAATATAGTAGGGATTTATTCATTTTATTATTTAATGTCAAGATTCAATCAACATCAATTCAATCAAATGAAAAGATCAAATGACTGAGGCAATTTCTGTTACAAGACATAATACCTGTGAAGATCCAGATAAGAATTGTCTTCAGCAACTCATGCTTGTCGTAAGAGCCGACTAACAGGACCACTGACTTGGTTGATGCTCATGATGTCAATCACTGGATTATTTACAGACCACTGTCATGCAGCTGGAATATTGCTAAATGCAATGTGAAACAAAACTAAACAAAACAAAAAAACATACAAGCATGATGATGATGGTTTCAGTGAAACCAATTTTATGATTTAATATTGAACAACGAATTGTTGACGGATGACAAAGTAGGTAATGGAACACAACTTCTTTAATACTGTATAGGCGACGTCTCGGTATAGATCCTTATACCGCTGTCAAGCAAGACTGTATGTTCAATATTGAACAATCACAATCTTCATTTTCAGTATATATTTGAAGTACCGTATTCGACGTAATAAGCGCCCAGGGCGCTCTCAAAATTAGAAATAGGGGGCTCTTATTAGAATATTATTTTAAAAAACAGAGTTGAAAGATACATTTCGTGGCCTGAAATGTTTATGTACGACAGATATATTTTTCCAAAATTAAATGCCCATAAATAAGGGTGCGTATAACACACAACTGCGTATTATACGCGAATAAATAAGTCTTGTGTACATTGATCAATCGGAAGGGGTGCTTATTGGGATTGTTCACTAGCCAATATCATAGCAAATGTCGCCGTGGGCGCTTATTAGAGCGGGGCGCTTATTACGTCGAATACAGTATGTATATTTTGTTTTATTTTTTACAGGAACGTTGGAAGACTGCAGTTTGTCTGTTCTGTACTGTAACTCAAAGGTAAGAAGACTCCGTGACAAATACCTGTCTCTGAATCCGGGACCATTTGCTCCAAATACTAACCAGATTCTTACACAAAAATGAGTGGTGTTTTGTCACCTCAGTTGAAATTCATGAATATTCATGGGCCAAACCACCCTTTGAGGCCACGAAAGATAGTTTGCCAATGAATATGCATTAATGTCGCCGAAAAGTTCAGTGTCTCAGGGGGCACGGGAAGCTGAGTCATCTAAAGTCTGCCTGAGGTCTGGGTTGCATCTTAAAATATCCAAAAATGTGTAAAACTATTTCCATTTTGGTATTTATCCTTTGTTTACATTGGTTGTATGGCTCCAGCAGCTGTAGTCGAAGCGCTACAGAGAGCTAGTGATACAGTGACATTAATATGTGCAGGTATTTAGTCATGCACCTCACTGTTGTAGTTGTAGTAGCATTATTTTTTTATCTTTTTAATTACACAAATTAATTTATCATACCTCCGCGTCAGAATGATGAGATCTGATTGGTTCACATGATCTTGATAAAATAGGACGTATCCCGCCTTGGAGGGAAAAGAAATTCTCAACGGGAGAATAAATCCTTTATACCCCACCATGAAGATCACAGGCTGCACGTGGATTTCTCAGTGGGAGAATAAATCCCTTATACCCTGCTTTGAAGCAAAAAGCTGCACGCTTTCTCTTAGTACATGATAGTCACGTGATATAGCACATGTAAACCTTAGGACAATCGAACAGCTGTTTTCTGTCAATTTTTAAAGAATTTGTTCTAATATTTTACAATGTCATATTAAGACATGTCGGGAAGATACATTCATCGTAGCAGGATCACTTTGGGTAAATGGGTTTTTATGTGAATAAAACCCCATGTACCAGTGACTGATCCTGCTACAACTTATAATGTAAAACGCACTGAAAGGCTTGGTTTAGGCCAGTCTGCTCTGATTTCAATATTAGCGTGTTTGTCCACAAACAAGAAATGTCCAGTCAGGTGATATGCAAATTAGGTTGTGGCAGTGGTATGACGCTAAGTCTTCACTGCACTGGAGTGTTGTCTGGTCCCTTATGGAACAAAATCAAGATCAGAATAACAAGGGACAAATTCACTCCTGATAAAATTATTGTGACTATATGACGATCTTGATCAATATCTGTGTTCTGATTGGTTCCCATCAGCAAGCAGCAGAGGAACTGTGCGCTCTGATTGGTCAGTGTTTCCAGCTGGTGTATACAGAGGCTACTATGCATCTCTTTATTCCTCGTAGTATTGGAACCTCAAGCAGCAGTGGATCTTCTGATGGTAGGGGTGTTTGATGCAGTATTCTGTTGTATGATAATCAAACGTTTTGTCAAACTGATTATGTTCATTAAATTATATGATATTCTATTTATTAAACATCTGAAATTGTATTAGTTAATTGTAGGGTGAGTATTTTTGTGTTCACTGCCAGCATCCCTGAAGATTTGTTATGTGGGAAAGATACACAGAACATCTTCAATCATTCACTATGGAAGGTACACTTGCTCTGTGCAAGATGAGTTAGTCGAGTGAGTGAGTGAGTGAGTGACAGTAATGAAGGCAGAAAGGGAGACTATGGAGGGAAGCAGGTGGGAATGCAGGCAGGCAGGGAGACAGTGAGATAGGGAGGGAAGGAGGCAGGCAGGTGACAGGGAGGGAAGGAAGGAAGGAGGGAGGGAGGGAGGGACGCAGGGAGGGAAGGAGGTAGGCAGGTGACAGGGAGGGAAGGAGGGAGAGAGGGATGCAGTTAGTGAGGCAGACAGGTATCGAGGCAGGCAGGAAGGAAGGCGGGAGGGAGGCAGACAGGTATCGAGGCAGGAAGGAAGGCGGGAGGGAGGCAGACAGGTATCGAGGCAGGAAGGAAGGAGGGGGGAGGCAGACAGGTATCGAGGCAGGAAGGGAAGAGGGAGGGAGGGAGGCAGACAGGGAGTGAGGAGAGAGGGAGGCAGACAGTGATGGAGGGAGGAGGAAGGTAACAGGGATGGAGGTAGGGAGGGAAGAAGGGAGACAGTGAGGGGCAGGCAGGGTGGGGGCAGGGAGAAAAGGAGGGGGGAAGAGGGAGGCACAGTGAAAAGAATTGTTGCTCATGCTTTTAACCACTGGTTTTCCTGTCCTAAATTGATTATTTACATGGAAGATTATTGTGGCGTAAAACATCAAATAAATAAACAACTATTCATGTCAGTTTCAGACTCACCAACTGTCATCCCCATGCTTCCCGGGCGTCCATCGTAAGTTCCGCTCTTACCATACTCACTCACCCAATCATGCATACTCTAGACTGGGACAGTCTCTCTTTGAATATTATTAACTGTACTTTACCTCAAACAATGAGGACTGCCTCTGTGGTCTAGTGGTAGAGTGTCCGCCCGGAGAGCGGAAGGTCCGGGGTTTGACCCCCGGCCGGTCATACCAAAAGACGTTAAAAGATGGTACTTGTTGTTACCCAGCGTGGCACTCATTATTAAGGGCAAAAAGAAAGACTGGTCGGCTCGGACTCAGTATACTGTGTCTGAATATTCATGTTAAACTGCGGCATGGTTTATCAGTGGGCTGGCACTGCAAAATCAGCATCAGCCCGGACTAGTACAAGCAGCCACACACACACATTCATGCATGCATGTCGCTATATAAGTGCAATAATCTTGGACGCACATTTTGCCCCATTTCACTCACCTCAAGCAATAAAACAATTAAACTGAAGCAAAACCTTAAACAGAGTGCATGGATGCGTACCCAATTTTTCACAGACACCTTACATGTCAGCTGTACCATGGTCCAAGTGACTTGGGTATTATGTGCACCCGCCACTTTTCAAAATCATGGATCCATTCTGGCTGCAATCTCATTAAAATCAGATCTTTTGCTTGTAAGCAGTAGTGAGCACTGAAATCTGATTTTAATGAGATCGCACAAACTTTGAATGCATTTGGAACACATCAGTGATGGTAGATATAAAGAACTTTGTAAAATTATTATTTTATTTTTTTTTAGTTAAAAGACTGGTCTCAGTCTATATGCTAACTTGAGTGTGGTTTTTCCGCATCATGCCTACAATATGATAATTCAGTTTGTAGTAGAATGATTTTTCTTAATAATATTTATGAAAGAAATGGAAATTTTATACCTCGTGCTTAATCCGGTTACTTGTGAAATGATCAAAAGGCTGACAAGGTATAAAATATGGTGCTTTTTGGCCCACAGGCTCTGCTAAATTAAAAAAATGAGACAAACATGAGACAAAGTCGTCATGAAAGAAACAACAGCAACAATAATAACAATACCATCATCTCAAAGTTTTCAACTTTAAACTTTGCCTATTCCAGTTGGCCAAAAAGTGCCCTTATCCTACCTCATCATTTCCAGATTCACCATTTCATGGATACACTTGTTCCCATCAAGATTGTTACATTAAGTGAGTGAGTTGGGTTTAACGCTGCTTTGAACAGTATTCAAGTTTATCATGGCCTGTCAGCTTGGGAGGAAAGCCTGAAGTGATGCAAGTCTCAGATTTTAACCACTTTCGTGAAACCCACAAGCAAGGCTAGGGTGCTGACAAAACAGCTAGAAACATAATTTTGGCAAAACCAGGATTCGAACCAAGGATCATAGGTTTCTGGCGTGCCCAAGGGAAGCAACTTTGTACAAAAATTTGTGGTGCCTTAGACGACTGGGCAACCTGTGCCCCCAGCTACATCGAATATCACTTGACCTGTGACCAATAGTTTGGGGAATCATGTCAGGCCGAAGAGATACATAGCACCTTGGGCAAGTGACTTGGTTTCAAAATGTGCCTCTGTTCACCTAGCAGTGAATGGGTACCCGGTAGGTTGAGATGGTAATGTGACTGTTAACCATCTAGCACCTCACAGGCACCTATGGTTGTATACTCCCCAGGGAGACGAGAATGAAACCTGAATGCGCACTGATCCTTTTACCAGTTTCAGTTTGCCTTATGACGACGATTCCATCTTGAACCCCGGGAGATCGGAGGCCAGTGAAGGCAGTATCATGGCGAGCGAAAATAGCGTTCCTGCTGACCTTGTCAAGGATTACATGTCTAAAGTTAGTGGGTTATCATCAATCTCATTAAAATCAGTTCTTAGTTCTTGCTGCCGCTAAACAAAGATTTGAGGACATCCCATTAGGGTTCACATCAGAACGACCTTTCATCCAACCAATCAGTGCGTCGCTTACCAGATCATGAAAGTGACAGTCGGAATGTGATTTCTAATCATGCAATCTCGAAAATTTTAACATGGGGTATTCCGAACAATAGTTACAGGTTTAACGACTCAATCCTTACAATCTAGACCATCTATTAGTCATTCCAGAATGTTTTTTTGTTCAGGTTTCAAATTTGTAATCAAGAATTTGTCAAAATATGCTTGAAGCGTAGTCGCCAATTTGAAATTTGTGCCGTAAAGCATGAGAAAGCTGTCTTCTGATTGGTCATTCCATTGGTTGGTCAAAGTTCGCTCATGGGATGTCCTCAGATCTTTGTTTAGCGGTAGCGAGAACTAAGATCTGATTTTAGTGAGATTGGGGTTATCATAAACATACCTCGTCTCATATTTAGAGATAGGTCTGTAGGGAGCTGAATTCAGCTGTAGACTAGTTAATGTGTAAAGGACAACGCCATTTTGGTAAGGGATGTACATAAGCTCCTTCTATCGTAACACATTTCATGTTATTTAAACACAATTTTTACCTGTTTTGTGTGTCCCCCACTCTACAGCTTGAAATAAATGTGTTTATAAGTAATTTGTAATTATTGCTTATCAAAGATAATAAAAAATACTTTTTTGTTGAAATGTAGACCCAATGTTACTATATTAGTACGTCACTCTATTAGTAGCATCAAACAAACATGGCTGATAGGGTCCCATTAAAATGCATCTGTACCAACTCTGAAATATTGGTATGAAAATTATCAGACATGTTCAAATACTATCGGACCATGTGATCTATCGGATCGTCATTCAGGCGATGTTTCTGACAGGTCACGATCTGAAAAATACTATCATGAAAGTGTATCCCGTGGATAAGCCAACCCCTTTCTACAGAATCTTTTTTCTGGTCCTCAAAATTCGGCTTATACGCGGTCATATACGGTAGTTGAAAATCACTCTTTTGGAACTCAGGCATGACAAAGTACATCTGAATGTCCCAATGGCATGGCTAATTTCAGGAGGAAATCTAACTGTCAGCTAGTCCTTGATCCAGTCTTTGTCTATGTCTTGTCTTGCTCAAATGCTTCCTGATAACCTTTCCATCACATTTAGTCCTTTTGTGTAAGTTTAGTGTTGTTATGTACCTATCCTCATATTACCCGACCCTACCCGGGTACCCACTGTTGGTGGAAACTGGACTTTTTTTTAGCCAGTTCACTCTCTTGCCTCGGGAAGATGTTTCAACATCAGCCATGGTCTGTTGTAAATTCTTAATTAGTCTGACAATCCAACAATTATTGAATTTTTCAGTTGCATCAAAAGATGACTCCTGATGAATTGCACAATTTTGCTGAACTTCTGAGAAGTTTGTACAGTGACATGCCTGTTGGAACATTTTGTGAGCACGTGCTACAGCTGTATGGCCAAGACAGAAAACCTCTACTGGCAGGTGGGTGTTTACATGCTTCCTTCTCCTCATCCTTGACTATAGTGGGGCACGGGTGGCCCAGTCTTCTAAGGCTCCGCGATTAGCTGTGCAGAGTTGCGTCCCTTGGGCACGCCAGAAACCTATGATTGTGGGTTCGAATCCTGGTTCGCCCCAATTATGTTTCTAGGTTTGTCAGCACCATACCCGTGCTCGTGGGTTTCACCGAAGTGGTAAACATCTGAGACCCGCATCACTTCGGGCTTTCCTCGCCCATTAAGCTGACATGCCCTGAACTGTAGTATATTCGTGGAGTTCTAGATAATTGTTGTCATTAAGGCTTAAAAAAATAAAATAATTGGTTCTTAGGCAATGGCTTTTTAAAAAATATAGAGCAGGCGGGCGGTGGTTGTTATTTTTGGTTGTTAAGCTTGGAAAGGGACTCCCTACATAGATAAAATCCTTGATACAGAATACTAGAATACAGTATTTGACTACCGTTGGACTACCAGTGTGTACATATGACACACATACAATGAATTGTGTGTTTGAGACATGGAATATTAAAGGATTTTTTGTTTGTTTTGAAAATGGATATAAAAACAAAATCTGCGGCAGACTTTATGATGATGGGGGCGTGCCTGAGAACCAAGACTATTATTTATTAAGCCTAAACTATATATCATGTTACTAACCACGGATCCTTTTGGATAATCCGCTATGCAGACTTACACGATATGCACACCAGCTTTTGCGTTTATATCTCCATAAACGAGAGAATTATTCCATTTTTAATAAATAATGTCATTAGAGTGGAACTGTACATAATTTGTATTTAAGCAGAAAGATGAATGAGACATTTTTTAGCCTGCTTTCAATGAAACGCAGCATCCAAATTATGAAGATGCTGATTGTTAAATCAGCATGTCCGTCTGTCCATCCGTGTCCAAAAACCAATAAATATTTCTTGTTGAAACTTGAAATCAGTCAAGTTGGGAACTGGTGCCTTTTGATGATTTGGGATTTTTATACTTTTTATTCTCATTTTTTAATTTTCATTTTTTTCCTTTCAAAATTTCATGACAAGTTGGACTTGGGTAGTGCTCGTTTCCGGAGCAGAACTCCAAAACTGTTGAACTGCGAACGCTTTAACCACTATAGGCTACCCGACCGCCCCTATTTCTGGATGAACCTTGCTATACAGATCAGTCTAGTGGTGAATAGGTGCCTTTTGATGATTTGGAATTTTGAAAAATACTGAACAGCATCATGTTTTTTTTCACTGAACTGAAGGTATCCAATTGCAGTGAACCAAAAGTGGGTATAAGTAGCCAAACTTCATTTTCAAATTGCACCAGACTGGTGTCATCTCCTGATGACTCTTGTCTGTTAATGATTTACAGGATTTTGGAAACACTTCTTTCATATTTCAAGGAATATTTGTTTTTTAGAATTAAGCCCATTCATCCCGTCGGAGGGCTACAGTCATTTCCTTGACTTTCTCCGGAAGAACGGCATCCTCTTTTCTGAGACGGGGACCGTATCCAGCACCATGAGCAACCCAAGAAAGTACATGTAATATTCACAGTATAATTAACAAGCTTTCAGGAATTACCGATTATTTGTCCCAGGTCACGTCCCCCGTGAAGATCTGAGTTAGAATTAGTCTTAAGTAACCCATGCTTGCCGTAAAAGGCGACTATGCTTGTCTTAAGATGCGACTAACGGGATCCAGTGGTCAGGCCTGCTGACTTGGTTGATGCATGTCATGGTGTCCCAATTGCGTAGATTGATGCATTGAGCATTGCTTGATGCTCATGACGTCAATCACTGGATTCGATGGACTCAATTATTTATAGACGGCCGTCATGTAGTTGATATGTTGCTGAGTGCGGCGTAAACAACTGACAAACAATAACTGATGCAGTTGAGCAACTGAAGCCCTGAGCAGTTTATCATCAATACTGGATTGTCTTAATCTCATTAAAATCAGATCTAAGTTCAAAATTATAATTGAGAACTGTGTCAACATATTTTTCAAGCGTAGTCTGAAATGGAAGTCGCCAGGTTAAGACGAGTGCCGTGAAGCTTGAGAAAGCTGCTTTCTCGTTGGCTGATATCGACTTCTTGTTAATCGTTTCAGTGATGGGTCAAAGTTAGCGTAAGGTCACTCTGACGTGACCCGTAATGGGATGTCCTGACAGATCTTTGTTGAGTGGCAACGAGAACTTAGATCTGATTCTAATGAGATTGCCATAAAATTTGCACATTTAGTCCAAAGGAGGTCGTGTCAGGTGAACCCTGAGTGACCTTCATACATCCCAAGGTGTGGGTTCTTGAACCAATCAGATGTCAGATTTAAAAAATTACCACTGGTAACATCTTAGAATCTGTTTAACAGATTCTACTAAAATAAATTATTCATTTAATTCACAAAGAGGTCAATGGCCAAGCACAGGACTAAACTGGTCTGATTGAATATGCTGGAGGGATTAAGGGAAATTTGGGGCTGAAAATTGATTAAGAATATGTTGTCTACCAGAATAAGGTGAAAGGTTTGAAGTTCAAGGTCACATATTCAGGAGTTTTACCTGATTATGAAAATACCAAACTTATAAATGTAAAACAAGTTAAGCCAGCATGGGAAAAAATTCAAATTGCCTGGTCATGATGTTTTTTAAGTTGACTTAAAGCCTAACATATCCGTTTCAGCAGACGGTCAGTCAGCGAGTTGTCAACAACAAGCACCATCACTAACAGTTACGGTGAAGATGTGGAACAGATTCTTACTATGGTTACAGATCAAATAGCTCTTCTTGATACCAGTGATACCAACTCCTTTATAGAAGAACATACGGATTGAGGGAGTCTGGTGTGCTTGTGTGTGTTCTTGGAGCAACGGACGCCTCCGTGGTCTAGTGGATAGAGCGTCTGCCTGGAGAGCTGATGGTTGAGGGTTCGATCCCTGACTGTGTCAAACCTAAAGACATTAAAAAACAGTACTTGTTGTTACCCTGGTGATAAAACAAGGACTGGTCAGCTTAGTAAAATCTGTTTGATTGGGGTTTCCATGTTAAACTGTGGCATAGTACCTCAGTGGGCTTGAACTATAAAACCAGTATTAGTCTGGACTAGTACAAGAACACACATACACACATGCATGCTATTTTAGTGCAATAATCTTGAAAGTGACGTTAAATCCCATTTAACTTTACCTAACCTCACCCCACAAAGCGATGTAGTAGGGCTGGCTAAAAAGATTGATAATCAGAATTATCATTGATGTAAAGAAATTTCAACGATAACAATATGAAAATTGTCATCGATAATATCTTACATAATCTATTGTGATGAAGTAAGTTTTTAATTTACCGAAGCAGACTTGTTATGTCCATTGCCAAAGACAGAAAGCAACTGATTTTGTTATATCTGAAATGTCCACAAAATGATCCATGCTTTTATGTGTCACCACTAACCAGTGACTTGAAATATGTTGTTTTGTCTCTGAGCTTTTTGCATATTTGCCCAAAGTTGCTTCTCCGATAGTTATTGATAATTGATCCATATTTAGTTAATGAGTAGCGATCACTAAGATCTATATCGTTAGCCAGCCCTAGCTACGACTGTCGTAAGTCCATGTAAACGTACAATAGCCATTACGATTGTCAGGGTACTTGGATCACTTTGGGAAACAGGGTACTAGTGAGCAAAACGTTTTCATACACATGGACTCAAATGAATCAGAACAGATAATTTTCTGTAATTTTCTGTAGACAACATGTGAAAATCAAAGCGTACATGATTTATTCTTTACCAGTTGCTCACTATTCAACCACCACACACACATATTGGCAGTGACTTGTTAAGATTCCGGGGTAGAATAGGTCTTCAGCAACCCGTGCTTGCCGTAAAATGCGACTATGCTTGCTGTAAGAGGCGACTGACGGGATCGGGTGGTCAGGCTTGCTGACTTGGTTGATGCATGTCATCGATCCCAATTGTGTGGATCTATGCTCATGATATCATCACTGGATTGTCTGGTCCAAACTCGATTATTTACAGACTGCCATCACATAGCTGGAATATTGCTGAGTGTGGCGTTAAACAACAAACCAACCAACCATACTGGCAGTACATATTATCATGTCTACAGGATAGTTCCGTACTTCATCATATTTACCTGGTAGGTTCTCTTTTAATTGACCGCCTCCATGGTCTAGTGGTAGAGCTTCCGCCCAGAGAGCGGAAGGTCCGGGGTTCAATCCCCAGCTGTTTCATATCAAAAGATGTTAAAAGATGGTACTTGTTGTTACCCTGTCTGGCGCTCGGCATTAAGGGGCTAAAACAAGAACTGGTCGGCTTGGAGTCAGTATACTGTGTCTGAGTGGGGTATTCATGTTAAACTGCAGCATGTTATCTCAGTGGGCTAGCACTATAAATCGGCATCAGTCCGGACTAGTACAAGCAGCCACACACACGTGCATGCACATCGCTATATCAGTGCAATAATCTTGGGGGCGACGTTAAACCCAATTTCGCCTCACCTCACCTTATTTGATTGCCTTGCAAAGTCTAAGCAGAAGAAAAACCTTAAAATCACCAATACCATGTTCACTGTATTAAGCACCCTGCTCCAATAAGCAACACCTGACCAACTCCTAAACCAGAGTGTAAGTAATTGTTCATAAGCATCCCCTTCTGAGGCCGAAACTTTACTTGACTATTCTAGTATCAAAAACGGTTCAGTTTCATTGACATTTGAACAAAGTTTTTTAATGACAGCTTAATCTCTGACAACTAATGTTACTAGCTTGGTATGGTTTTAATACACACCCTTTTCGTCAATTTTCTAGCAACCAGGGTGCTTATTATGGTGAATACGGTACTGAATAATCTCGCACCACCAGTTATCAACGTATACATTGATATCAACATTCCTGAAGTTTTTTACTTCATTACAATTATTTGACCTACTTTTATTTTCTATTGTTTGGATACTTTATTAGATTTTGTAATGGATTCATAAATTATTTTTTTAATAATTTTGTATATATTGAACATATTGTTATTACTGATGTGTGTTAACATGCTTATTGTTTTTGCTGCTACGTAGGCGTCATCAGATTTTCACTCAGATAGGAGGGCATAACCTATGATTGTGGGTTCGAATCCCAGTTCGCCCCGATTATTATCCCCCGCCGCGCGAAAGCGCGAAGCGGGGGATATAGTATTCACGACCGTCCGTACGTCCGTCCGTACGTCCCACCTGTTTGTTGCCGCGATATCTCAAGGACTAAACACTGGATTGTCTTCATATTTGGAACTATGGTGTATATACAGACTCCGCAGACACCAGTCGGTTTTGGTGACCTTGATCCCATTTTCAAGGTCACAGCAGACAAATCTGCTTTTAGAGTTGGAAAACGGTGTTGCCGCGATATCTCAAGAACTAAACACTGGATTGTCTTCATATTTGGAACTATGGTGTATATACAGACTCCGCAGACACCAGTCGGTTTTGGTGACCTTGATCCCATTTTCAAGGTCACAGCAGACAAATCTGCTTTTAGAGTTGGAAAACGGTGTTGCCGCGATATCTCAAGAACTAAACACTGGATTGTCTTCATATTTGGAACTATGGTGTATATACAGACACCGCAGACACCAGTCGGTTTTGGTGACCTTGACCCCATGTTCAAGGTCACAGCAGGCAAATCTGCTTTTGGAGTTGGAAAACGGTGTTGCCGCGATATCTCAAGAACTAAACACTGGATTGTCTTCATATTTGGAACTATAGTGTATATACAGACTCCGCAGACACCAGTCGGTTTTGGTGACCTTGATCCCATTTTCAAGGTCACAGCAGGCAAATCTGCTTTTAGAGTTGGAAAACGGTGTTGCCGCGATATCTCAAGAACTAAACCTCTCGATTGTCTTCATATTTGGAACTATGGTGTATATACAGACACCGCAGACACCAGTCGGTTTTGGTGACCTTGACCCCATTTTCAAGGTCACAGCAGGCAAATCTGCTTTTGGAGTTAGAAAACGGTGTTGCCGCGATATCTCAAGAACTAATCGCTGGATTGTCTTCATATTTGGAACTATAGTGTATATACAGACACCGCATACACCTGTCAGATTTGGTGACCTTGACCCCATTTTCAAGGTCACAGCAGGCAAATCTGTTTTTGGAGTTGGAAAACGGTGTTGCCACAATATCTCAAGAACTAATCGCTGGATTGTCTTCATATTTGGTTCTATGGTGTATATGGCGGGGGATATTTCGTCACTCTGTGACAAATACTTGTGTTTCTAGGTTTGTCAGCACCATACCCGTGCTCGTGGGTTTCACCAAAGTGGTAACTGTCTAAGACCTGCATCACTTTGGGCTTTCCTCCCACATTAAGCTGACTTGCCGTGATATAACTAAATACTGTTAAAAGCCGCATTAAACCCAACTCACTCACTCACTCACTCACTCAGATAGGTATTGTGTCGAAGGAAAAGATCTGATTTTAATAAGATTGTTACTGCTTGCTTTCAAATTTGTTTATCTAGCACCTAAAAACGTAAGCTATATTCATGTATATTTGCATGTCTAACTGCCTAAGCAGTACACAAATACACAGTATACAAAATGGCCAAAAATTGTTTTCCACCCTTGACTTTTCGACCTCGGTGAACCATAAACTGTATTTTGCATTCTCTGTACCAACAGACAAATTTTTGTTTTATTTGCTCAAACACAGGTGCTCATTATGTTATGGACAACTTGAAAATGCCAGCTCCTACTAAACATAATGAAAAAGTAGGAGTTGTCATGTGTTTGTTTATTGTTGACATTTTTATCCAGTTGTTGTTGTTGTTGTTCAATCCATAATTACAAATAAATGTGTTAAAAAAGTGAATATGAATGCTTAATAAAAATGGATACTTTTCAGTTTGTTTCTAGCTTTCTTTTGTTTGAGAGGAAACACAATCCACGTTTTTTCCCATTTTGTCCTGATCAAATTAGGCTTAAAAAAATAAAAGAATTGGTTCTCAGGCAATATTTTTTGAAAATATAGTGCGGGCGGGCGGTGTCTTTTTTTTTGGGAGGGGGGGGGGGGGGGTGTCCAAACTAGTATGTAACCAAAAAACAGTTGTGTAACCAAATAAACAATCAACCTTGGAAAGGGCCTTCCTACATAAATATATTCCTTCATAGTAAAATACTGGAATACAGTATTTGACCACCATTGGACTTGAAATATTTGAGGATTTTTAATTTTGTTTTTTGAAAATGGAAATAAAAACGAAACGTGCGGCAAACTTAATGATGATGTGGGCAGTGCCTGAGAACCACGTCTATTTTTTTTTTTAGCCTTACAGAGCAGAGAATCACAAGGACCTTGCATTCACCATCATGCAGACAACACTGAACTCCAAGCTAAATGTTAATTTTTAACATATACTACTCAAAAGAAGTTAAAGTGCACGTTAAGTCAACATAGATTTGCAGATTTTAATACTTTAGGGCATCCTTAATCACAAATGCTTATGTAATCTTGTTTATATCTGTCTATCCATCCAACTTTCCTACACTGTAAGCCATGCTTGTGACCTATGAACCCATGCATCCTTTATTTAAATTGGGTGGTCAAAGGTCACTCAGGGTTCACCTGATACAGCCATCTACAGAGGTGTCCTCAGATCTTAACACAGAGGTAGTCCTGATATGTGTACACATCAAAATGAATGAAATATTTTAAAAAAGCAAAAGGAACCATTTAAGCAATGTATATGTGCAGTTTCATGGAAAAATGTTGAATGGTTTGCAAGTTATGGCCTGGAAATGAACCCTACCCTCGTTTGAGACTAAGTCGAAATAAAAAATTGAAAATTCTGATTGTTTTTTAAATAATTCAAAATAGCAAAAGGCACCAGTTAAGCTGATGAGCATGCAACATCAGCGATTGCAGTCGGTGGCAAGAAGGAAGAAATTGATATTCTAATATAAACATGCAAGTGTATTTTGTGATAATATGTAATGTTTCTCAATGAAGGTAGTGAGTGAGTGAGTGAGTTGGGTTTAACTCCACTTTTAGCAGTAATCCAGTTATATCATGGCATGTCAGCTTAATGTGGGAAGAAAGCCCGAAGTGATGCAGGTCTCAGACGTTTACCACTTCGGTGAAACCCACAAGCACGGGTATGGTGCTGACAAACCTAGAAACATAATCGGGCGAACCGGGATTCGAACCCATAATCATAAGTTTCTGGCATGACCAAGGGACACAACTCTGCGCAGCAAATTGCAGCACCTTAGACGATTGGGACCCCTCTGCCCTATCTATCAATAAGGAGGTTTTGGTCCTTGAGTGTTATTTAGAAGTTGGAAGGCATTCCGGAGGTATTCCTATAATACAAGTCACCGCCTCCATGGTCAAGTGGATAAAGCGTCCGCCTGAAGTGTTGAATTGGTGGTTTGGATCTCCTGGCTGCACCATATCAAGACGTTAAATAATGGTACTTGCTGTTACCCTGCCTGACTCTTATTAAAGTGATAAAACAAAGACGACTCGGAGTAGTATCGTGTGTCTGAGTGGAGTATCCCCTACACGGTACCTCTGTGGGCAAGCATTATAAAACAGGCATTAGCCCAGACTAGTTCATGCAGCCACACACACTCGCATACATGTATGTCGCCATACAAGTGACATTACAACCCATTCACCATTTTTAACTTTTTGGTACACATCAATCTATATATATAGGATATATGTATCCACAGGTGTATTCAACCTCTTTCATGTGAAAACAGAAATCTCTAAGTTTTTCATCCAGGTCTAGCATTAATAAATATCTAAAACCGATGTAATGCCCATCTTTTTTCTCAAATAAATATCTGTTTTGCTGTTTGAATTAAAAAAGAAGAGGAGAAAGTAAAGTTTTAACTGGTTCCACTATTGCTACACGCCATTAACTTTTGAAGCATTCAAACAGATAGACAGGAGCCCAGTCAATACGAAGAACTCTCCTGAAACACGGGAACGAAAGTATCCAAAATGGCGTCGAATTCACATGGCCAAACATCGACAGAGGACACAAGTAAGCCCAACGACCAAAAAAAGTTTGAAGGAACAAAAGATGATGATTATGGGTTTTATTTCTACCCAGAGAGGGGCGTGCCAGAGGAAAAACCCTCCTTTTGGAAAGGCATTTGGCAAGGACGAACATCGGGCCAGAAACTGAAATGCGAAACCAACGTAGCCTGGTGTATTGAAAATCGTGAGTGAGAAAACACAGCAGAAAGTTCTTGTAACATTAACGAACAATCAGCTTTACTTGATGTGCTGACACTAAATATATCAGAAATCAAAAGCCATATCTGTGACTGTCGGTGAAAATAGTTTCATCATGACCATCGCACGCCCAAGGGTATCATCAAAGGGAGACAACTCTCTTGTCAGTAATCGCCATAGACATGATAAAGTTTATAAACAGAAAGCGCCTCGGTATCACAGGACTTTTCAGCGAAATTGATGCATATTCATTGACCAAACCACCCTTGGTGGGCCATGAATATGCATAATTTTCGCTAAAATTCGGATCAAGCCATTCAATAGTTGCATCGATTTACCTTCACAAGTATTGATATTATGATAAGGAATTGTGAGGATAACAATTACAAGAAAGTCACAAAATGTTTCTTCATTGTCTGTCATTTCATCTTTGTCTTTGGATAATCCAAAGGAGATTGAGTCACTAACATTTGTAAACATTGTAAAAATATCAGCATGATCAAGATTATACAAATTGTCATTTTAAGATATTTCTTTTCATCTTGCACACACACGTTTATGCAACATGTACAAGTCAGACTATTGAACATCATATTTGCAAAAACTTTTGCAGACCCCATGGTCAAGTTAATGATGAGAGCCCTGAAAAGCCATGGCTGGTGAGATACCTTTTTATTTTCACTATGTTAATGCTTCCAAGACACCCTACACAATGAATAGGGGTTTTTCATTTGAACATGGAGGCCAGAGCTCCCAAGACCCCATAGTTAAATTCATACATGAGTTAATGAAATGGTATGAAATAGTAAAAATGAATATCAGGATCAGTGCCAAAGACTTAAGAGTCTACTAGCCCAAACAAGGCTCTAACCATGCTAACAACATTTGTAGTAGATTTATGTGTTATCTTTTATGTGGACTACTGTTAGCTGACCATGCTGACGTTACAGAAGTTTACTAGACTCAGGCTTCATGCCAGTGGCTAAAGTCACAGATTGTATTTATATAGTATTAAGGGCCCATGTTTCCTGACTGTCATTGTGAATCCATTGCTTTACATATTTTGTGATGTACTTGTGAAATTGCTGAAAATGTCATGAAGCAATATTCCCTGAATCACACCAGTTCACCCCAGTGAAGTTTCTTCAGTGTTTCGGTGTTTGTGTTACAGTGCAGTGGATCTGACTCGCCATGTCTCCTGTGAAAAGTGCCGCGAGCGAGTCAATGGAGGATTTGATCCAACCACAAACCAAGTAGGTAATGAGGATAGACCCCGAAATTGGGAATTGGGATTTGTTTAATTTGTGGGGCTATGAAGGTTTGAAGATAAATATCCAACCGTTTTCAATTCTAGTATTTTAAATAATTTATTTATATTGATAGTAACAGTTTACTTATATCTGATCGGGGGACTGAAAAAACACTTCCAGTTTTTTCATATTTCACATTTCAACTTTTGGGAGTGGGACGTGAAAACAAGTTTAAAAGTAGGCTGGCTTTCCTTTGATGCAGTTGTTTGTTGTTACAGGTGGTTGTGTGTCAGAACAATGCCACCAAGAGAAGCATCTGCTGTAATGTCCTGGCTCACGAGTTCATCCACGCCTTTGATGCTTGCAGAGCGAAAGTCGACTTTGAAAATCTCCGTCATCTAGCCTGCTCTGAGGTACTGCTACACTGTGGCTAGGGTTGTACTGACTCAATGCAGCTCGGTGATGGAGTCCACTGTAGATTTGCCCCCATGTTCCCGAGGCAAGAGAGTTAACTGGCTATAAAAGTCCAGTTTCCACCCTTGCCGAAGTAGGCTGGTATTATGGAGTTACATATTGGCTGGACTAACGAGTCTATGCATAGTCCAATCAAAATCGCGGAACGATATTGAAATCCGGTTCGTAAACTGTTGTGTAGATTTCGGTCGATTGCAGGATTTGCAAAGCATGTACACTCCCAACTCATTGTCAACAGATATTTTCCAAATCTTTTCATTTTTTTAAATGAAGGTGCTCGCGCAGTTTGATGCACTTCAAGATGTAAGTCCCGCTTTATCACAATATAGAACTTGATTACCGATCAGATCGTCTTGACAGGGCGCCAACATTTTGTTTGAAGCAAATGCAAGTGATACGAGAGGTGGAATCTGATTGGTCCGTGGGAGAGGCTTAGAAGGGACATGACTCGTAATAACCACTGGTGGCGCTACGATCGAGCCCAGGAATTCCAACCTAAACTCCCTTGCCTCGGGAAGATGATTTGCCCCTTGAGGATGCCTGGTTAGAATTGCTCCTCAGCAACCTATTCTGGTCGTGAAAGGTGACTCAACAAATCGGGTGGTCAGACTCGGTGGCATATATTGGTGCTCACAGTATTGATCACTGGATTGTCTGGTCCAGACTTGACTATTTACAGACCACCGAGTGCAACGTTTAACCACTAATAAACACTAGAATTGGGCAGACATGGAAGCTGGCTGGGTAGTTGTGTTTATGAATCATTTGTTATCGTGGGTATAAGCATGTTTATAGAAGTATAGATAACTAAGAACCAGGTAAAATGAGAATTGGGTTGTTCTATGTGTGACCTGGCTGATGATTGGGATTGTTGCTCATGCTTTTAATCACTGGTTTTGTTGATCCAGATTTGATACTTGATTGTTTACACAGACCACCATCATAATGCCTCACTCACTCATGTTAACACAGACGTTAATTTCCAAGAAGTTTACTCTAGTGTGCACAATTATCGTTCAGTGTAATATCTCCTAGCAGGTGCCAGGTCAGGGTTACAGGGCCATTTGATAGTTTGAGACTGGTGAAACTCTACTAGGTCGAGTTGTTTTCTCCCTAGTCTAGTTATTTGTACTCCTCTTAAACGGGGACTGCTTTTAAGAGTTTGTTGAAATTTGACTACCGCTGATAGTGATTTTATTGAATTACTACCATAGAAAGATTATTGCGATGAGATTGTTCTTCCATGGATTTCTTTCAAATGGCCTTGGGGAATTCTTTTGGCACACATGAAAATGTCAAGGTCACAAGATAGATAAAACTTTCTAAACTTGGTATATATACCCTCTCTAGGATGGGCCCTGATTTGAAAAGATTATGGTCAAGGTTAGTCAAAGGTCAAGGTCAGCCCCTTGTAAAACATGATTTTAACATTGTCAATTTCTGAGGTATGGTGACTTCTCTACAGCCATGAAACTTTACATTGGCATGTATCTTACAAATCCTACAACATGTAATGGTGCTATCTATCAAAGGCCAAGGTCGTCTTTGAGGATATTGTTAAACATGGTTGTATCCTTCCTTGCCAGTTACTCCTGCTCTTTAGTTTGTTCAATCCTGAGACTTGGGTAATTGTTGGATCTTATGAAGTTATCTTGAAGTCAAGGTCTGGAAGTAGTTTTTTTGACTGGAAGTACATTAAGTCTTTATGCTTGGAGGAAATGGGGTTGATCTGTTGTTGCAAGTAAATGGACAAACTTCTAGTTTTACAAGAACCACTCATCCAGAATGAGCTGTGGACTAGTTTTGATATGACCAGTTATGTTTGAACCATGATTAGTTGCTATAGTGCTCATTTTGACTAGAACCAATTTCAACCCTCATGGCCATGAACTCTTTTGAGGGTTCACATTTTTAGGAGGTGATTAAATACTGTTCATGTAGGATATGATTTGTTTTGGCGACTGAGAAGTGAAGATGAGGACATATTTATACATCCTCTATCTCCAGGGCTCGCATTTAGGTAAACCTGACAGGTATACTAACCCCGGGATCCATTCCTGTTGTTCTTGTGATCGCAAATTACCCGCCATTGATTTTCCTCAAGTACGGCTAATTTGAGATCGTGAGAACCACGAGAATGGTTTGGGGTTAGTATAGGTTTATCGAAATGTGAGCCCTGGAGATATAGAGGATGCCATTTGTATCGCCAGGTTGTTAGAACAAATGCTTGTCTCTGTGCCAGATTCGTGCTGCCAACATCATGCACTGTTCCTTCATGGCGGCCGTGTCTTCCGGAGATGCATCCCCAGTGAACATCAAGCAAAGACATCAGGTTTGTACTCCAAACATGACAAGAAGTCATGCATTCATGTTAGTATTTTGCAGTTTTCTTTTTATTCAGTTTTGGGTTAGAATTGGTCCCTAGCAACCTATCTTTGTCATAAGAAGCGAGGTACTGGATCGGTGACTTGGTTGTTTGCGTGTCAACGAACCCTGACAGCATGGATTTTTCCACAATATCAATCACTGGATTGTTTTAATATTAATAATGGGATTTGGGGTTAGCATTGTGGCATAAAAGTTAAGCAATAAAAACACACACACATTCAGCGATAGAAATTGGCACTAGTCCTATAGCCCTTTGCCAAACTGCACAATAGTGGAGGTATCATAAGGACTCGTAGAAATTTGCTATTTTTCAGGATTTTTGCTATATGTTTTCGTTGTGAGGTCTAGTGGACTAAAATGTTTAGTTTCTGATGCTGACATTAACATGTATTTATCCATATGGTAAGAATCTTGATATAATAACAACAAATTTAAACATGTTAAATGGTTTTGATATTATCTTCTTGTCACCGACACTTGATGAAGTTAGTACACTTAGTCAAGCCCAGATAATCTGACTTATTACCTATTTAGGTAACCAGCAAAATCAGTTTGTTATTAATAATTTGTAATGCACATTAAACACAGAGGCGACTAACTGGATCGGGTGGTCAAACTCTATGACCTGCATCTGCATGGCAATGTACCCAGATGGCATGGGTCGTTACTCATAATATCAATCACAGAACTGTTTGCCTAGTTCGGATACATCTTAGGAATATATGTTTGAAACTACTGAAAATACATTCATTTTAGAATAAATAAGTGACTTATTCATAATCTGATATAAAAGCTTAAAAATAAAAATATTTTCAGTGAAACCCTGTTTCCAGTGAAATGAAATTTTTGTGTAAATGTTTAATTGTTATGGAGTAAAAGAATAGTGTTTTTACTAAAGGGTTTGGTTGTGCAAGTCTTCCTTGCAAGGACCTCCCTTCTCCTAGCCTATGATTGTTGGAACCTATGCTTAAATATGAGGTGACTAACAGGATTGGGTGGTCAGGCTCGCTGACTTTGTTAATGCATGTCATCGATCCCAATTGTGTAGATCGATGCACATGATGTCAATCACTGGATTGTCTGGTCTAGATTTGTTTATTTACAGACTGCCGGAATATTGCTGAATGTGGTGTTAAACTGAAAATAATGATTGTGTATTGTAGGAGTGTGTCAAGTCAAAAGCCATCATGTCTGTGTTGATGGTGAGGAATGTGACCCATGAGAAGGCCAGCCAAGTAGTGGACAGTGTGTTTGACAAGTGTTACAAAGACTTGGAGCCAGTTGGGAGGCGGCCACGGAAGGGGTCGCGGGATCCGGACCGAGCCCTTATTGAAGGAGCGTATTATGGTTACACGGGATAGCAGGCATCTGGGATAGGATTTTATGTGTGCTTCAGTTGCCCTAGTGGACCGTGTATGCATGTACTTGATGTATGTAAGGGCCGAACTTGACCAGTGACAGGTCAGGTTCCTCTGCTGAACTGCGGACAACCGGTTCTTGGTATGTGGAGCATTAAATCTGTATTAGCTTTTGCCAGTGTTTCCATGGTTAAAATGTCTACCAAGTGAGGCTTATTCTTGGACTTCTATGTTGGTCACATGTATAACTTCCAACTGTTGGCCCAGATAATATGTGTAGTGTTGTTTGTCACTGACACAGATTCAGTATCACTTTGCAGAGGCGACAAAGCTGTGATATTGCTGACTTTGCATAAATAAATATTCACTCACTCACCAGTGACAATGGCTACCGCTGGCAAAATTAAACACATGAATAAATATGTGAGTGAGTGAGTTTGGTTTTACGCCGCTTTTAGCAATATTCCAACAATATCACGGCGGGGGACACCAGAAATGGGCTTCACACACTGTACCCAGGTCGGGATTCGAACCTGGTTCTTTGGCGTGACGATCGAACGCTTTAACCACTAGGCTACCCGACCGCCCCGAATAAATATGTAAATGTATAAGACGGTCTATAAGAGATGTATGGATTTGCTAATGCAACTGTGAAATGATACGTTCATATGCCGACTTTGAACATTGTGATAGTACTTGTTATTCGGAAAAGTGCACAAATATTTAGTATCGTCCATTTTCTTTCAGGCTGAACTAGTGTATCACATTCTGTAGCATATGCTTTGTACTCCACAAGGACGTTAGTACCAAAGCAAGAAGATTAAGCATTCACACATTAAGATAATATATTTATGACCACATTTTATTATGAAATAAACAGACAAATTACAAAATCAAGGTGTGTTTATTACTGAACCCGCAGTAATGGTACAAATGTGTAAATGTCATATATATCACAAGCATGGATGTCAAAACAATATGAATGCTGATTTGATTTCATGTAACCATGGTAACAGTGTTGCAGACACTGATCCTGATAAGACACTTGTGCAAGATGAGATGAGTGGCAAATTACAGATCCAAAGAAATCTCACAGTAGTGCTTCTTGCACCATCTTGAAAGCAGCCTATATAATCAAGTTTAATATATGCTACTCAAAAGTTCAAGAACACAATGTTTTCATACGACCATAGTTAATGTAGAATGTTAAGGCTGTATCTATCATAATGGGATTTTGACAAACTGGATAATCGAGGATGAACTTTATCTATCTGCATCTTCAGTTCCCTTCTTTTATTGATGACTAGGCTTTTAAATAAAGGTGTGAGTAAGTTGGATTTAACACCACTGTGAACAGTATTTCAGTTATATCATGGCGTGTCAGCTTAATGTGGGAGGAAAGCCAAAAGTGATGCAGGTCTCAGACGTTTACCACTTTGGTGAAACCCACGAGCACGGGTATGGTGCTGACAAACCTAGAACAATCAAGGCTAACTGGGATTCGAACCCACAATCATAGGTTTCTGACATGCCCAAGGGACACAACTCTGCACAGCAAATTGCAGCACCTCAGACGACTGGGCCACTTCAAATAAAGGAGAAAAGTGGCAGTTGTGTACATGACAAATAATCCCCTGGATTGGCCAGCAATCTAGGCACACACAAAGTTCACACATGTTTCTAAACAATCACTTAATTAACTCGTCTTTACCAAGGACGGAGAAACATGGTGCATAGATTTCCAACTGTTAAATACAATCTTCATTCATTGTTATGTATTATTGATATAAAGCATGATACAAAAGTCTAGCAGTTCACTAAAATAACCACAGCTTTCAACATGATTATAAAGTGGCACCATTTGTTTCTGAAATAAATTGTGAAGAAATATTTAACTTCAATCGCCCGGATTCCACAAAAAATCCTTACTATAACAGATGGAATGCTTGATTTAATGGCACATCAATCCACTGAAATAATGTTGCAACAATATTTTTGTTCTCATTGATTATCAAATATGATTATGATCATAAATACATATTTTGCTGTTAGAGATGCTGTGGAATTTGTATGGAACATGAACAAGATTCCAAATGATAAAGATGTTTGATACATGCATGTATTACACAAGTCACATCTGATATGTAAAACTGAAAGATGAGTATTTGTATTCATAACCGTGTGGAGATTGCTGGAACCAGCTGATAAAATGTCGACATATAGACAAGGGAATAGGGACCTCTATGTGGGGCTGTATCGTAGACTCTAAACTAAGTGCCTTTGGCAGGCATATTGAGGAACAATTATGATTTTAATCAAAATCAGATTTTTTAAAGTTCAAATGTTCTTAAATTCAGAGGTATTGTAACATTGCATCTTATGCAACAATGTAAAACTGAGCATTAATGCCTCTTTATTTGTGGAAGTACAAGTTCCCTGACAAAGTTATAACATTAGTAATAACGAAATTAACATAAAGGATTTTTTTCATTTAAATTTGGGAATTTTTACTGACAGTTGCTGCAGACTTGAAGCCGAATATTGGCCTCGGGGCAGATCTAGACAAATCCCTGCTGTGGTCATGATGGTCAAGACTAGATACTACAATGAGGAAGGCTAATAAGGAGATGCATCGATGCACTGGTGCATCACCCTATGAAGTACCGTATTCACCGCACTAAGCGCCCTGCTCCAACAAGCACCCGTTGACCAACTCCTAGATAAATCTTTATAAACGCACTCTACTTGGACAGAAAATTTACTTGACAGTCTGTATTGTCTTCTGGATTTTTGTCTCTTTTTACAGTGAGTGAGTGAGTAAGTATGGTTTTACGCCACTATTAGCAATATTCCAGCGATATCATGGCGGGTACTCTTTTTACAGAAAAGATTTTGAACAAAGTGTGTTCCCTTCCGCTCAATCTCTCAAAACAAAATTTACCCCCCTCCCAAGCGCTTCATATGGCGAATACAGTATGTATACTTTTAACAGATTAACGTGATTATCTGCACACTTAATGCTGTACGTATTGGTACTGATCAAAACATCCACTAAAGCCGTTAAAATATCTGACGTAACATTTGACGTAAAAAAAATATTTTGGAAAATAATTGCTTTGTTTACCTTTGAAATGTCTAAATTAAAATACATTCACATGACATCTAGTATTGTGACGCTTATTGTATTGATAACAGAGTGTCACAATACACAGTGTATCCTGGGTATATCAGCTCTGCCAGTAACAGTGACACCAGCGGCACTTACTGTGGAGCAGCACCAGATGGAGTGGTCAGGAATCACCATTTTAAATTACCGGTACTTATAATTATTTGATTGGCATTTCTTAGAAGCTAGGTAGACACAATTTATGGTCTATGCTCTTTTATTACTTAACCTACTCATGTCAATCTCTCCTGTATGCAAATTGTCACGGTCAATCCTCACCTACTATTTATAATTCCTTACCATTAATCAGTGTTGCTTGACAATAAGGACATAAAAAAACGTTGCTATCACAGTATATTAAGAAGTTGTTATCCATAAATTGGGCCTGCTTTGTGAAAAATAATTTAACATCTTGTTTTGCAAAACTTACATTGCTGGTTGATTTCAAATTGGTCAGGTTGATAAAAATGTGCTACCTATTGAGCCGAGTTGGTTTTTCTTCCAGCAGAAATATTTCTCATACTTTGCTCTGAGTAGATCTCTGAATGTATTTGGCGTTGTTTTTAACACTTTGCCACTTCTTGGGATGCAGTTTGAAGTAAACCAGAGTCCCGATGAGGATGACGACAATGACAATACAGGCAATTGCTATCCCGACGACCATCCCGATGTTGCTGGTACTGCGTGCCACGAAGACTCCCCCTCCCTGGGCCTGGAACTTGGCCATGTTGCCGTCAATACTGGCATCCACTCGCGTCCATGTCGCGAAGTTGTTGGCATTGGACCTGTAGACGACGACGTCCGAGCTGCCGCTGTCAACCTTCAGCTCAATGGTGAATGTTTTGCTGTCACTTGCGATCTGGCTTTGTGGATACACCACCAGGAAGTTGCTGACGTAGTCACTGCCGAGCTGAAACATTACGGAAAATATAGCTCTGAAATTTCATCCAAACTGCCTGAATGCTGGGATAGAGTTTTGCATTTGACATGTGGTTTTAAATATGTCATCTCAACCCAAACCCTTGGCTATGCCGAGGGAGGACAGTAACAACACTTGTGGCAAAGGTTAAACCACCCTGTAACACCTGTGACAATGGTTAAACCACCCTGTAACACCTGTGACAATGGCTAAACCACCCTGTAACAACACCTGTGTAAACCACCCTGTAACACCTGTGACAATGGTTAAACCACCCTGTAACACCTGTGACAATGGCTAAACCACCCTGTTACACCTGTGGCAATGGTTAAACCACCCTGTAACAACACCTGTGTAAACCACCCTGTAACACCTGTGACAATGGTTAAACCACCCTGTAACACCTGTGACAATGGTTAAACCACCCTGTTACACCTGTGGCAATGGTTAAACCACCCTGTAACAACACCTGTGTAAACCACCCTGTAACACCTGTGACAATGGTTAAACCACCCTGTAACACCTGTGACAATGGTTAAACCACCCTGTAACACCTGTGACAATGGTTAAACCACCCTGTAACAACACCTGTGTAAACCACCCTGTAACACCTGTGACAATGGTTAAACCACCCTGTAACACCTGTGGCAATGGTTAAACCACCCTGTAACACCTGTGACAATGGTTAAACCACCCTGTAACACCTGTGACAATGGTCAAACCCTGTAACACCTGTGGCAATGGTTAAAGCACCTTGTAACAACACCTGTGACAATGGCTAAACCACCCTGTTACAACACCTGTGGCAAAGGTTAAAGCACCCTGTAACACCTGTGACAATGGTTAAACCACCCTGTAACACCTGTGACAATGGCTAAACCACCCTGTTACACCTGTGGCAATGGTTAAACCACCCTGTAACAACACCTGTGTAAACCACCCTGTAACACCTGTGACAATGGTTAAACCACCCTGTAACACCTGTGACAATGGTTAAACCACCCTGTTACACCTGTGGCAATGGTTAAACCACCCTGTAACAACACCTGTGTAAACCACCCTGTAACACCTGTGACAATGGTTAAACCACCCTGTTACACCTGTGGCAATGGTTAAACCACCCTGTAACAACACCTGTGTAAACCACCCTGTAACACCTGTGACAATGGTTAAACCACCCTGTAACACCTGTGACAATGGTCAAACCCTGTAACACCTGTGGCAATGGTTAAAGCACCTTGTAACAACACCTAAGGCAATGGTTAAACCACCCTGTAATAACACCTGTGGCAATGGTTAAACCACCCTGTAACAACACCTGTGTAAACCACCCTGTAACACCTGTGACAATGGTTAAACCACCCTGTAACACCTGTGACAATGGTTAAACCACCCTGTAACACCTGTGGCAAAGGTTAAACCACCCTGTAACAACACCTGTGGCAATGGTTAAACCACCCTGTAACACCTGTGGCAAAGGTTAAACCACCCTGTAACAACACCTGTGGCAATGGTTAAACCAACCTGTAACAACACCTGTGGCAATGGTTAAACCAACCTGTAACAACACCTGTGGCAATGGTTAAACCACCCTGTAACAACACCTGTGGCAATGGTTAAACCACCCTGTAACACCTGTGGCAATGGTTAAACCACCCTGTAACACCTGTGGCAAAGGTTAAACCACCCTGTAACAACACCTGTGGCAATGGTTAAACCAACCTGTAACAACACCTGTGGCAATGGTTAAACCACCCTGTAACAACACCTGTGGCAATGGTTAAACCACCCTGTAACAACACCTGTGTAAACCACCCTGTTACATCACCTGTGGCAATGGTTAAACCACCCTGTAACAACACCTGTGGCAATGGTTAAACCAACCTGTAACAACACCTGTGGCAATGGTTAAACCAACCTGTAACAACACCTGTGGCAATGGTTAAACCACCCTGTAACAACACCTGTGGCAATGGTTAAACCAACCTGTAACAACACCTGTGGCAATGGTTAAACCAACCTGTAACAACACCTGTGGCAATGGTTAAACCACCCTGTAACAACACCTGTGGCAATGGTTAAACCACCCTGTAACACCTGTGGCAAAGGTTAAACCACCCTGTAACAACACCTGTGGCAATGGTTAAACCACCCTGTAACAACACCTGTGGCAATGGTTAAAGCACCTTGTAACAACACCTAAGGCAATGGTTAAAGCACCCTGTAACAACACCTGTGGCAATGGTTAAACCGCCCTGTAACAGCACCTGTGGCAATGGTTAAAGGACCTTGTAACAGCACCTAAGGCAATGGTTAAACCGCCCTGTAACAGCACCTGTGGCAATGGTTAAACCACCCTGTAACAACACCTGTGGCAATGGTTAAAGCACCTTGTAACAACACCTAAGGCAATGGTTAAAGCACCCTGTAACAACACCTGTGGCAATGGTTAATCCGCCTTGTAACAGCACCTAAGGCAATGGTTAAACCATCCTGTAACAACACCTGTGGCAATGGTTAAACCATCCTGTAACAACACCTGAGGCAATGATTAAACCACCCTTTAACAACACCTGTGGCAATGGTTAAACCATCCTGTAACAACACCTATGGCAATGGTTAAACCATCCTGTAACACCTGTGGCAATGGTTAAACCATCATGTAACAACACCTGTGTAAACCACCCTGTAACAACACCTGTGGCAATGGTTAAACCATCCTGTAACACCTGTGGCAATGGTTAAACCATCATGTAACAATACCTGTGTAAACCACCCTGTAACAACACCTGTGGCAATGGTTAAACCATCCTGTAACACCTGTGGCAATGGTTAAACCATCCTGTAACAACACCTATGGCAATGGTGGTGAAAGCACCTCTCTGTATTTAAACCATGGTGTCTACTCACATTCATGGTCTGGTGTGCTGCCTGCATCTGCCTGTCTCCCTCCTCTCGACTCCATTCCTCAAGTCTCAGTTTCTGTAGTCTGTCAAAGGCTCCTTGACTCACTTCAACCTTGGCATTGCTGTAACAAGGGGAGATAATCCACAATGAAACACTAAGAAGGGAGGATTTGTGATTGTTCTCAAAGCATTTAACAAAGTGTCTTCTCATTAGTTCCTCCTCAAGCCATTCTTTAACCTAACCCTCTTGCAGGCAGGTGTGAAAGGTATTAGCACCTGTACCTAAACGTCATTTAAAGAATGAAGAAGTTAACATACCGGTGACATCACTAGAACACGTAGTGACATCTACCCACTTGGAAGGGTGACATCACTATGACACCTACCAACTAGGCACAATGACATCACTAGAACACCTAATGAATCACTCTGACACCCTAATGACACCTACCCACTAGGCAGGGTGACACCACTAGAACACATAGTGACACCTACCCACTCGACAGGGTGACATCACTATGACATCTAATGACACCTACCCACGAGACAAGGTGAAATCACTATGACACCTAATGACATCTACCCACTAGGCAGGTTGACATCACTGTGACACCCACACAAGGGACAAGGTGACATCACTAGAACACCTTGTGACACTAGGCAGGGTGAAATCACTAGAACACCTAATGATACCTACCCACTCGACAGGGTGACATCACTAGAACACCTAATGACACCTACCCACTCGACAGGGTTACATCACTATGACACCTAATGACACCTACCCACTCAACAGGGTGACACCACTACGACACCTCATGACACCTACCCACTAGGCAGGGTGACACCACTACGACACCTCATGACACCTACCCACTAGGCAGGGTGACACCACTACGACACCTACCCACTCAACAGGGTGACACCACTATGACACCTCATGACACCTACCCACTAGGCAGGGTGACACCACTACAACACCTAATGACACCTACCCACTAGGCAGGGTGACACCACTACGACACCTCATGACACCTACCCACTAGGCAGGGTGACACCACTACGACACCTCATGACACCTACCCACTAGGCAGGGTGACACCACTACGACACCTAATGACACCTACCCACTAGGCAGGGTGACACTGCCGCCCATGCTGCCGATGGCCTCGTATCTCACTGGGTAGGGGTACACCATGATGCGGGCCTTCTGGTCCCTGTTGGAGAAGTCGTTGTTCCTCGTGGACATGAAGTGGTAAGTTCCTAGCTGAGTTATCTGCCTGGGGTCAAGGTTGAAGTATGTACCTGCGTCATCCAGCTGTGACATTTCACCCCCGAACTGACCTACAAAAGGCAACACACTGTTGACAACATTTACTCATCTGTGTTCGTCTTGTGAGAAACAATTAGTCACATGGTCTGAGTATTTAGTAAGAAAGGTCATGATATCAGAGATGAACAAGAATATATGCAAATGTAGATTACAAGTTTAATGGTAACAATCAACATGACTATTTCATGACAGGCCAGGGTCAAAAGCAATATACCCCCAAATAACTACTATACATTATTATACATACCATTTACTGCATAACTATACATAAAGGATGGCTGAGAAATGCGCAAATTAGGTTGCCATGGCACCCATGTCTAGATCAGAATTCCAAATTCATTGGGGACACTATTACTAGGTGAAAACTGACATAAAAAGATAAACGTGAACAACGAATGGAAATCGAGCCAATACATAAGGCTTAAAAAAATTAAAAGAATTGGATCTCAGGCAATGGTTTTTTAAAATATAGTACGGGCAGGTGGTGTCTTTTGGTCTTTTGTTTTTTTTTTGGGGGGGGGGGCTTGGAATATTTAAGGATTTTTATTTTTTTTCTTCAAAATGGTTATAAAAACGAAATGTGCGGCAAACTTTATGATGATGTGGACAGTGCCTGAGAACAAGACTATTATTTTTTAAGCCTAAGCCAAATAGATTCTTCAATTTAGATGATCAGTCACAAAGGCCAGTAACCCTTCCACACAAGCACAACACAATGGAGCAAAATGAGTCATGTTGTACAAACAGGCGGAAAAACATTTTCAACAAATGCAAAGTTGTCTGGAAATGTCAAGATTTCTGCAAAGTTTCTGTTTTGAGATTAACCTTAACTGATGCCATTTTCACTTATTTCTGGTTAAACGACAACATTCAAAATGACCTGCAAAGCACAAGTAACCAGCCACTGGGATAACAAATTTATATGAAGAAATACTCAAAAATGGTCCGCAACTCATAACATTTTCAAAATCCTCACAGTAACAGCAAACCTATTAGAACGACATGCGTTCAAGGTTTCATCAAGAAATACATGAGTTAGTAGTGGTGGGAGGATACACGATGCATCGGTGGAGCACGATATTTTACTTTATTTGTTTTACAGTTGCACACTATTATAGTAAAGAATATTGATTCAAACCCTTAAATGTTTACTTTAATGGCTGTTACACCAATCACTAATTAGTAGTGAAAAACTAAATATTTTCATCCACTGACACTGCCAACTGTAAATCGTCAGTGTGCCAGGTATATTTGACTATCCTGTCTGCAAAAAGGAAGGCTTACGCACCTCAGCTAAGAGCACATACAAGTATCGTGATACGTATCGGATCGTGAGCAAGGTATCGTGATACATAACGGATCGCACCGTTGGTCTATTGTCCCAGCCCTATGTGTTAGCGAGATTATATGATTAAGCACAAAAACCTACCTGTGGTAAGAAGAGCAAGCTTTTCTACATCATTTCTTCCCAGTCCCAGGAAGGTATCATTTGTCACGTGTTCAGGGTAATTAACGCCAAAATGTCCCCGTTTCACGCCAGGTCCAAAGGAGGCTCCACTGCCTTCTGGGTATTTCTTTGCAGACAGAAGAACGATGTTGTTGCGGTCAGTGCCAGCCAGACCGTTTCCATCGTTGCCACGGTTGTTGGTGTTGGAACCAGTCCATCTGAGAAATCAAAGAACAGGCTAAAATCTGTCGCAGAGTTGTAGCCATTAATGTTAAAAAGTTCATCACAAATCACAAAGTCGAAGTCTCTATCATGTTAAAATAAAGATAGGATGTGGCATATTTGATGTTGCAAGGCAATATTTTCTTACTGTTTAGCTTACATAATCAACAGATGAAAGCCACAATCAGAAAATAGTTTTAATTTGTTTTTATTTGACTGCTCCATCTTTGATGATTTAGAAAAATAACAAGAAACAACACCAAAACTCAAACAAAATGAAGTAACTGTCAACTTTGAAATTAATAATTGATCAAATGCATTGTATACAGTCAGAACATTCAACATCAGCAACAAACTTCTTACTGGAAGTGCACATATTCCCCTGTCCCCATCTCCAGGGTGTTTGGTACAAAGTCGTATTCCACAGAAGGGTACACCTGCACAATGTTGCCACGCTTGCCGCGTACGTTCAAGTTGTGGATGGTGCTTGTGCTGTCAATGTGGTCTGGACGAGGGCGTATAGCAAATGTGTGAGACCTGAAAATTAACATCATTAGCACAATTAAGTCATCATCTTCCTAGTCATACAAACTTCTACAGAGTTATCACTTCAGTATTTCCTAAATAACTAAGTTTTTTAATGTTTCAATACACGATACAGCTAGAAATTTAAATCTCTTATTTATAACAATAAAAAATCCAGCACAATCTTCATTTATTCATAAGGCTTATAGGGGCAGAGGGGTAGCCTAGTGATGAAAAGGGATGGTGGGGTAGCCTAGTGGTTAAAGCGGTCGCTCGTCAAGCCGAAGACCCGGGTTCGATTCCCGACATGGGTACAATTTGTAAAGCCCATTTCTGGTGTCCCCCGCCGTGATATTGCTGAAATATTGCCAAAATCGGCGTAAAACCATGCTCACTCACTCACTCACTTGTGATGAAAGTGTTTGCTCAAGTGAGTGAGTATGTTTTTACGCCGCTTTTAGCAATATTCCAGCAATATCACGGAAGGTGTTTGCTCCACATGCAGAAGGCCTGGGTTCGATTCCCCACATGGTTACAATGAGTGAAGCCCATTTCTGGTGTCCCCTGTTGGAATATTGCTAAAATCGGCGTAACAATACTCAGTCCAGTCACTCATAAGGCCTGAGACATACAGACCTTGTTTTTATACATATGGTGAGGTGACATGGGGTGTAATGGCACATTCAGAATTACTGCACTTACATAGAGATGCCGAATATCCAACACAGTAAACTGACGCCAAGCCGACCAGTTCTTGTTTTAGACCCTTAATGCCGAGCACCAGACAGGGCAACAACAAGTACCATCTTTTAACATCTTTTGGCATGACACGACAGGGGATCGAACCCCAGACCTTCCTCTCTCTAGGCAGAAGATGTTCCACTAGACCACGAAGGCGGTTGTATTTACGCATACAAGTTACTTAGTACATTAGAATACTGTACCAGTGACATCTATTATTTAGGAATATGATCATTTATGAGAATGAATCAAATGATTGATCTGTGTGTCACATTTAGTAACAATATGACTCTGGTCACCATAAATTCCTACAAGATTGTGCATGGTGCAGCGTAAACCAATAAACTAACTGACTCACCAACATAACATTGTAAATGGACTTGGAGGCCTTTCTCCAATATACATTCATGTTATTGCTACACAATGTTAATTATTTCCAGTTTGAACTGACAGAATAGCTCTTACATTGACAGTTTGCAACTCACCTATCTTGAAACACCCGACCATACTGGGCAGTGTTGATGGCCAGCTGAAGGCTGAAGTCAGCATCGTCGAACAGCTTCACCTCGGGGTTATTTTTAAACTTGTAACCTCTTGTTCCAGCGGCTTCCTCGGTAGAGAAGCCATACTTGTCGGCCATTTCGATTTTGGTTGGGTTTCCATTCTGACTAGAATTTGTGTTCCAGCCATCGTAGTCGTTGGTTGAGACGTTGTATCGGATCCTCATGACACACTTCTCGTGGCTGATGTTCGGGACTGTCCAGTTGTAAAGTAGGGGGTGACCGCCAATGCCGTTTCCCAGGTGATTATCCCGAGAGAAGTCTGTCTCCCGACAGTCAGGGGGAGGTAGTCCATGTGAAGGAAATTCCTTCCACTGGCCCTTGACTCCATTGGTCTCAAGTTGCTGGGAATGAAGTATGATATATTTAAATATGCACTAACGTTGACAGGACTCATGGACAGGATTCATGAACAGGTTAAGTATAATCAGGAACTGCAGTGTTAAAAGTTGAACATGAAAGTTGAGAAGTGATCATCCTAAATTAATTAGGGTTGCATTCCATAATGCAAACATTCCACTACGCCTATCGTAGGCCTGTTTTAAAGTATTGGAGTTGCCATTATTGCTAAGATTGGTTTATGGAACATGCAGGGCCCAGGATATTACATTCCATTCTTTTATGCCAAAAATGCCAACAAAGATTAGATTTAAGTCCAGTGTAGTTGGAATCAATGCTAAAAATAGCCGTCCAATCAAAATACCCTGTTAATTCCTGATTGAAACAAGCATCGATATCATCTACTCTTGTTTCATGCCTTCTCCAATTCAACTGGGAACGACTGATAGCATAACGACTTTGCTCCCACTTGATACTCAGATAAACATTTTTCCAGCTCATTCATTAATAACATTCTTTTGATATAAGCAAACATATTGATGGCTCGCTCACATAAACCCATTCACTTTAATGTAGACCTATGCCAAACTCTCCCCAAAAAGTTGGATTGGCTATTGATTCATGTTCAAGACTCTGTGCTTAGTTTGTGACAAGCAAGATAGATATGGTGATGTCACTTCCGAAACAAAACTACAGTGGCAGATGGGTCCAGGGTATGGATCATAATAGGACGGAGATAAAATACCCAGGATAATAGAGGATGGGACATTGTCATATCCTTACTGTGCAAAAACAAAACTTTAGGAGGTCCCTCATTACTTATACTCAATCGCAAACTTCAAAGGCCCCAGGGCGGTTGGGTAGCCCAGTGGTTAAAGTGTTCAATCGCCACGCCGAAGACCCGGGTTCGATTCCCAACATAGGTACAATGTGTGAAGCCCATTTCTGGTGTCCCCTGCTGTGATATTGCTGGAATATTGCTAAAAGCAGGGTAAAACCATACTCACTCACTCACTGAAGGGAGCCCTTTAATTTCCAACTGCTGGTCCTCGGCCAGTGACAAGAAGAAATAACAGAAATCCCGCTATTCCATAACTGACCAGGCGATTGTGTATATGCAACATTCAATAACATTCTGAATACACTGTACCATCATGCCTGGAATGCTACATGAATCCTAGAAGAGTAATGAGCATCTGGGCATATGTCGTGTATCTTGACTGCTGTGGGAGAAAAGCAGCTGGGCGTCCCAATGCATCAATGACACTCTCGGCACTGATGGCTAAAGATAATCTACTGCTGAGGCCTGACCCTCGGTGCACAGTCTCTACCTTTGTACATATTGCCTGTTTTTGTCCGAGACTAGCTGTCCTTACTGGACAATAGATTGTTAAATCTATTCTCATATCGAGTGAAATTATGATAATTTCCAATCTCATTAAAATCAGATCAACCTTTCACGAATTTTGACCGACCAATGAAATGACTGACAAGAAATCAACATTAGCCAATCAGAAGGCAGCTTTTTCGGGCTTTACGACACTAATTTCAAACTGGCCACTAAGCTTCGAAACATATTTTGACGTATTCTTGATTAAAAAAAATAAAACTGATAAGAAGAACATTCTGGAATGGCTTATATATGGCCTAGATTGTATGGATATAATCATAAAACCCGTAACTGCCGTTCGGAATACCCCGTGTTAAATACTTTGTGGTTGCATGATAAGAAAACACATTCCGACTGTCACTGTCAGGATCTGGTAAGCGACGCTATGATTGGTTGGATGAAAGGTCGTTCGAGAACTAAGATCTGATTTTAATGAGATTGGATAATTTCTATCATGTACACTGATGTGCACAACTACAAAGTCACTGTTTTTCAATGTCTGAACAGCAATACAAGACAAGTGTCACTCATGGATTCCCTACCTACATGACAAGCACAACATGCCTTGGTCGGAGACTTACCTCGCAGTCTTCCTTGTTGTTGGGTATAGCGGTGGTGCTGTCGTTGAGGAGGACGCAGGCCCAGCGAGACTTGACGTTCTCACTCTGGGCTCGGTAGTACAGGCAGCGCTGGGCATCATTAGTCATCACTGCGATGTCCTGGGGAGACCACAGACCAAACAATGACCATTTGATACTCTGCATGTGTGTGCACGTGTGTGTGCACGTGTGTGTGCGTGTGTGTGTGTGCGTGCGAGTGTGCAGGGTGTGTGTGCGTAGGGTGTGTGTGCGTGTGTGTGAGTGCGCATGTGTGTGCACGTGTGTGCATGTGTGTGTGCGTGTGTGCAGGGTGTGTGTAGGGGTGGGATGTTTGTCCTTAGGTTCTACAAAATGAAAATATATTGTTCAATGGACATCCAGGATGGTCTGAAAAATAATGTGTGGTGGATGTTTGGCTGTATATTTTTAAGTGCTGGCAATATTCAACAATATTCCTGTAATAATGGGAGCCTGGACTTCATGATCGACATTACGACTGCCATCATGAGCTTCAATTTACCCAATTGGGAAAGGATGACATGCATCAACCAAGCCTGATGACTCAATCAATTTGGTCCCTCTGGCAACAAGCATAGGTTATGGGGACCAATTCTAACCCGGAATCCAACAGTGTTATAATGTCACAGGCCTTTTACAAGAAAGTATTTAACAAGAAGACGTACCATATCTTTAGAAGACTGTAGTAAATATAATAGCAAAGTCTTAAGGTGTAATGTGGATACTAAGTTCTAGTGGTTCAAATATAAAGTTATACACCACTCCCTACCTACTACAAGAAGATTATTCAAAATAGGACATGCAGACATAATACATGCAACCTTTGTGACAGAGCCATAGAAACGATTCAACACTTATTTTGGGATTGCAGCAAAGTAAAAATGATCTGGAACTTTGGCTCAAATTAAATTAAGTGAATAAGGACATTTTGCTTGCATATCAATTCAGAAATAATGACCAATTAAATATAATAACTATTATTTCTAAAAATCTTATTTTTCATGAAGAGATACAAGGAATATTTATTCGATTGTTCCAGATATTCCAGATCTCCAAATGTTCCTCACTTATGAGTGGGAATCCATATAAATTTTGGTTATCTTTTCATACACTCTTTTTGTAACAAGGAAGTTGTAGCAACAAAAATTATTTTTTTAACAAATACAAAAAAATGAAGAAAAAAAATTAATTAGGAATACAAGTTGCATTTTGTATGCATGAAAAATGCATTTTTCAATGTTATTGTTATTCCAAGAGACAGCTGTTGTGCATTGTCAATTTATCAATACAAAGTACCATCAGCAGGAATAAACTGTGGCTAACAAACCTGGCTACGAGTACTGTAACTCTTCCCCTACAACAGCTGTCAGTGAGTCAGTAAGTAGGAGTCTTAGGGTGTATTGATAATACACAGCTGCCCAGAGCAATCAATCTGGACCAGAAATAATCTGTCGAAGTAAATTGGACCCATGATCCGCCATGTGGAGCTTACTGGGAATCAATGGCACACATCAGCCGGCTGAGTGCAGAGTTACTGAAGAGTGGTGGTCATCCAAGTACTGTCCATACCCAGCTGCCATTATGCCCACCCAATCCCCACTTTAGCCCATGACAAGAACACCAGTGAGGACCAGGGTTAGAATTGGTCTTCAGCAACCCATGCTCGTTGTAAGAGGGGACTAACGAGATCAGTTGGTCAGGGTCGCTGACTTGGTTGATGCATCTCATCAATTCCCAATTGCGTAGATTGATGCTCATGATGTCAATCACTGGACTGCCTGGTCAAGACATGAAAATTTACAAACCGCCATCATATAGCTGTGATAATGCTGAGTGAGGCATTAAACAATAAACAAACAAACAAATCAATGGGGGATCTACTCTACTCTGAATCGGTACCTTTTGTGGGGAACCTACTACTCATTCCAATGCCCAGTCAGCCAAGATCAACATGCATTGCGACCACCTGATCCTCATTTTAGTCAGCTCTCATGACATGCATAATGGAATAGGGTCCTACACTGCCCCTGAACCCCACAAGGTAAGAACCCACAAGGACAACAAGTGGTCAGCTGTCTACCCTCAATCCTTAAACCCCACAAGGACAACACGTGGGTCAGCTGTCTACCCTCAATCCTTAAACCCCACAAGGACAACACGTGGGTCAGCTGTCTACCCTCAATCCTTAAACCCCACAAGGTAAGAACCCCACAAGGACAACAAGTGGTCAGCTGTCTACCCTCAATCCTTAAACCCCACAAGGACAACAGGTGGACCAGCTGTCTACACTCTGCCTCTGTACCCCACAAGGACAACAGGTGGACCAGCTGTCTAACCTCAATCCTTAAACCCCACAAGGTAAGAACCCCACAAGGACAACAAGTGGTCAGCTGTCTACCCTCAATCCTTAAACCCCACAAGGACAACAGGTTGACCAGCTGTCTACCCTCAATCCTTAAACCCCACAAGGTAAGAACCCCACAAGGACAACAAGTGGTCAGCTGTCTACCCTCAATCCTTAAACCCCACAAGGACAACAGGTGGACCAGCTGTCTACCCTCAATCCTTAAACCCCACAAGGTAAGAACCCCACAAGGACAACACGTGGTCCAGCTGCCTACCTTCCAGGGTGTTGGGTGCCAGTATGGGTAGTAATCTCTCTCCTCAGGACACTCGTACCCATACCTGGTTCCCGCTGGATTCTGTCTTGTGTTCCGAGCAAACTGACGATTCCTGTTGTTTAGATTCTGGAACAAAGCCAACATGAATCTGAAATACAGTGTACGATAACATCAACACAAACAGTTCCTAATATTTGTACAAGATAAAAAGATGGAGATCTATTTCCTACATAAGAATGTTGAGGTACTGGAAAGACGGATACGGAGGCATGTATTGCCATTGATGTTACTTCTAATGCTATTGTAGTACTAGACTTCAGATAAGCTGAGAGTCAGTTATGTTTTCAGTCAGTTGAAACCTACCTGGTCGGCAACAAAGAGGCCTTTATTTCGTTGTCGCCGTTTACAGTGGTTGTAGTAGTTGTAGTCTTCGTGCATGCCATAAGTGCGGTCGCTGTTGCAGTCATTGTTGAGACACTGGGCATGAGTTTCAGGAATTGTTCTACAGAAAAACAAAGTATTTTAAAATTCTGAGAGCAGTAGCAATGAATGCAAACAATTGTCTCATATATAAAGGTTTAGAATAATATTTTAAAAGACATTGAGCATTTTGCATTTTCTTAGCAATTTCAAAAGAAATAGAATTTGTTGATGGTAATCATGAAAATAAGTTTCTATGTCTATAGAGCGATCCCTTTCAACAGTAGACCATCTCCAGGGTCTAGTACGCAGGCAGAGAGCAGAAGGTTCAGGGTTCGATCCCTGGTTGCGGCATACCTATAGACATACAAAAAGGATACTTGTTGTTACCCTGTCTGGCACTCGGCATTAACGGGCTAAAACAAGGACTGGTCAGCTCGGAGTCAGTATACTGTGTCTGAGTGGGGTATTCATGATAAACTGCAGCATGGAATCTCAGTGGGCTAGCACCATAAAATCAACATTATTCTGGACCAGTACAAGCATGCAGTACATGCACGTCGCTATATAAGTGCAATAATCTTGGATGCGCCGTTAAAACCCCATTTCACCTCAAACTTTTCGACAGTAAGAAAAAAAATTTGAAAAATAAATTTAGTTAATAAAAAACTGACTATGTTGAACTAATCTATAAAATAAATATCTTATTATAACATGATTTTAAAAAAGTTATTTATTGACATGGGGTAGATTCTATTATTATTTACTTCCATATAAAGTGACAACACAAGAAGCATCACAAGAATGTTTTTCATGCTTACATCATGAATGATCAAACATGTTATGGTCACTGTCTCTTTTCCCTTCTCAATGAAGATATTTTCCACTTGCAAATTACTGTTTCTGATTCATTAGACTAATGACTAATATGTAGGGGTTTATTTAGGAGCCCTAACTAAGTGCCCCTGGCAGGCAATTAGGGAAAAAAATATTTCGTTAAAATTGGGTTATTCAAAAGTTTTTATTTTCCAAAATTCAGAGCTATATTAAAATTCAATTTCAACACTGCATTCAACACAATAATGGTAAACTAAGCATAAAAGCATCTTCGTCTATACTGATCCTGTCATCAGTGAAATACAAGTCACCTTACGCCATAACATTAGTCATAAATATAGAATGAATTGGGACATGTTGAATTCCAATTTGGTGTTTTGCTGCAGACTCAGGGCCGATGCTCAGGCCTAGACTAATCCCTGATGTGTCAAGTGTTTATCAACTTTATGCTTGTAACAATAAACAATCCAAGAACTATGTGAAACACTTCACCACTTTGTGGTACACATGCATAATGACTGCAACAACATCCTTCTTAACCATCTACACAATTACAGGCTCAGATTGTCACACTCTCCTACACTCTCCTCCTTCATCCAATCAGTGTTGTAACAAGTACATATATACTGCTAAGAACCTGAGTTAATCCCAAATTGTAAAACAAACTCATCTGCCTTAAACCAAAGTTAATGATTCCTAACAATTGTTCAATAATCACAACAGAGAGGTGATTAACAAGACTGTTAATCTGTTTAGCAATCCCTCTACAGCATTTCAATAATCCACTTCAGCACACAAACATCCTCATCTCTCTTCACGAATCATTCTAACGCCTAATCTGATTGGCTAGGCAAAGGGTAAGCATATGTGTGGTACATTCTTGAATCTCATTGGTTAATTGTTTTACTTTAATGAAATGTTAAATATACAAAACAAAGAAATTTACTAAGTAAGAGTAGAAGATGAAATTCAATGTTATAATCACATGTATGTGTCTCAGCCTTGATCAAATTTTTGGAGATGTCTCAAAGGCAACACTGTTTGCTGGGTGATCTTCAAGATTTTTTTGCATAGATATATAAGAAGGTGGAAGGCGTAGAATATCAAATATAAGTTAACTTTGCACGAAGTGACAACAAGACTCCACGACTGACAAGATGGAATGCTGGTCTACTATTGTTCAAGCCGAGGAATGGGTTAAAGAAGTTGAGTTACGATCCTTGGAATCAGACAACGATGACCGTTTCCTCAATGAAGAACCCATCGTGCCCGAACCTGACCTTGACTCTGTCAGGCTGCGCAACATTGCGGACTCCATCTACGACTCCGATGAAGCTGGAGCACCGGGAATGACGGAGGAGGAGTGCGTGAAGACCGAGATGCTCCAGGCGTTGCTCTTCATCCTACCTGCAGATGCTATACTCCAACTAAGTCACATCATCCCTGAGGTGTACATCAACGACGACTGCAGGGGCAAGAGGCCTCGGACCAAGCTCTCTTGTGCAACACCGCCAGCCCCACCTCGGGCTGTTCCAGATGTGTGTGAGTTTAGGTGTCGGATGAGGACAGTGCGGGAATATATTCTGTTCACAAGCAAGCTTAAAGCAGTGCAGTGCGACACTATTGCATGTTTCCATATTGATGAACTTCTGTTGAACTTGATATCGGAGGTCCCCCTGCAAGCAGAGACAGTCCCATGCGAGTGTAAAGACAGGGTGTGGGACAGCGACAGTTCTGAAGCGGAGTATATTCAGGAACTCATGTCGTCATGCTCAGAGGAACATAACACAGTGAGGCTGATTTATGAAGAGGAAAATCTTGAGTCTGACATCTGCCGACCTCAACCACGGCACGATCAGTTCCAGCATCGCGGATTGCAAGAAACAGAGGACAGCTGTCACTGTGCCATGTGTGTGGGGCGCCGGGAACTGGACAACAGACCGGGCGCCCATCCCGAGGTGGACCTACACACTGTGTGGCAGGCCTTCTATGATGTTCAGATCTTTCTGGAGGAATACGCCTCCTTCAAAGACTTATCTTACCTCTGCTATGTCGAACAGAGGCTGTGTCGTATCACTCAGTACAGCATAATGGAGTGGTTCTCGGAGAACGGACTCCACAGTTACAGCGACTTCTTCTGGTGTCCGTGTTCTGAGATGTGCTTGGACAGTGAGTGAGTCTGGTTTTATGCCGCTTTCCAGCAATATCACGACAGAAATGGGCTTCACACAGTGTACCCATGTAGGGAACTGAATACAGGCCTTTGGCATCATGAGCAAACACCTTAACCATTAAGCTACTCCACCGCCCCCATGGACACATTAACTATAGTAACAGGAAAAAGCTAGTAATGTTTAAGTTTTTTGGAGTAGTATATTTTGTGATCTCACAACTCAACACAGACTGTACTATTGTGATCCTTCCCTTACTGGTCTTCTGGGTATAGACATAAGAGGGACATACCTGTCTTGACATTCACCATGTTTCCAAAAGAGCTCTTTTTAATATCACTTTGTATGTTAAGTTAATGTGTGTATTATTGTGTATTATGTATGTGACTATGTGTGTGTTAAGTTGTATATGTTAATAATTTATTCAATTCAAATAAATATGAATGTGATAATGTATGTTTTAAGTTTTGTATGTTAGTAATAAATTATTCAATTCAAATAAATATGTATGTGTTAACGTGTGTGTTAAGTTTTGTTAATAATAAGTTATTCAATTCAACCAAATAAATATTTGGGTTTATTAAAAGGCTATATATACAGTGAGCACATACGGTGATGCTATACTAGCAGGGCACAGCTACATTAAAATGTCTGTCATTGTTGATAAAGTTAAATCCTCAGGAACAATGCTGGTCAATCGCCAATCCTAGCGAAATGATTGCCACTTACATATATACTGAACAAATGGGTTAGGGAGTAGGAGTGGTAACACAATATATGATCCTTAACTTGTTTTGCACAGTATAAACTGATGACATTTCCTTATATGTGTTAATATTTACATGAACACACGGTACTGTTATGCAACAATTTGAACATGATGTGTATATGGTGCAAATATTATTTATCATTCTTCCTGATGTAAGTGAGTTTTTTAAGCATCAAGCATAAATGAGGCAAGGACAATCAGGCCTGATTTCTGTAAGCACTAAGCAGATTTAATATAACTCATGTAGGTGGTCTAATAAATTATGATAAAACAAGATAAGAATATTGTTTGATTTGATCTGTTTGATTGGCATTTATTTTTTGAAGTTTGTAAGTAACCATCTTCCTTGGGCAAGGGAGTTAACTGACTCTAAAAGTTTCCTAACTAGGCAAAAATTTCTGGACTCGATCGTAGCACCACCATGGAGTCATGTCCCTAATGACCCTCCTATCAGATTCCACCTCTCACATCACTTGCATTTGCATCAAACAAAATGGTGGCACCCAATCAAGACTATATGATCAACATCCAAGATCAATAATGTAATAAAACGGATATTATCTCGCCAAGTGCATCAAGTCACGTGAGCACCTTGATTAAAAGCATGAAAATCTTTGGAAAATAACTGTCAATGCCGAGATCCTGTAGTGACCGAAATCTGCATGTTGAAATCCATGTTGTTTATATCCGGATGTCGACTTCGTTATGTGAATGTGATTGGACTATGCATAGACTCAGTAATCCAGCCAACTCCATAATTCCAGCCTTGTTTGGCAAGGGTGGAAACCAGACTTTTTACAGTCAGTTAACTCCATTGCCTCGGGAAGATGGTAAGTAACAGGAATGGCAAGATATTTTAAGGATTACATCTACTATGATGTTTCAATATAGATAGTATAAAGGTCTACACCGGAACGTCGCAACATAATAGAATAAAGAAGTTGTCATCAATAAAATTTCTTGCCTTTACTGTTAAACCACCTGGTAATTGCAACTATGGATTGGCAACTATAGAGTGACACCTTGTTACAAAGAACATCTGGTAATTGCAATCATGTATTGGCAACACATAGTGACACCTTGTTACAAAGAACACCTGGTATTTGTGAGTAATTAAAACAAAACATGCTCACAGATTCATGAAGCACCATAATGTTCACATAACTGTCAAGGTAATGCTCACTGGAGCAACAAACATTATTCTCTGTGATTTCCTGCATTTCACAGCATTTACACACTTGGCACCACATGAATATATAATCAATCTCATTAAAATCCGATCTAAGTTCTCGCTATCGCTAAACAAAGATCTGAGGACATCCCATTACGGGTCACGTCAGAACGACCTTTCATCGGACCAATCAAAGCGTCGCTTACCCGATCATGAAAGTGACAATCAGAATGTGTTTTCTGATCATGCAACCTCGAAAACGTTAACACAGGGTATTCCGAATGAGAGTTACGGCTCGTATGACCGATTCTGTCAAAATTATCGTCTATCTCTCGTTTGCGTGGGATAAACATTTGAACGGAATATACAAGACATTCCGGAATGTTATTTTGCTCAGTTTTCAAAATTTTAATCGAGGACTGTGCCAACATATTTTTCAAGCTAAGTCTGAAATGGAATTTACCCGGTTGAAACGAGTGCTGTAAAGCTCGAGAAAGCAGCTTTCTAATTGGCTGATATCGACTTCTTGTTAGTTGTTTCGGTGGAAGGTCAAGGTTCGCGAAAGGGCGTTCTGACGTGACCCATAATGGGATGTCCTCAGATCTTTGTTTAGCGATAGCGAGAACTTAGATCTGATTTTAGTGAGATTGATATATAATCTACCACATTCCAGGTTTGAAGGCTTACTTGGTAGTGGCGCCATCCCGGACGGCGTCCCCGCACATGTACTGCAGGATGATCTCGCAGTGACTGTTGGCATCATGGCAGGAGTGCTGGTTGGTCCTGAATGTACAGTACAGGGCATGTTAATACACTTGTAACCAAAACAACTCATGCTTACATATGTAATCATTAATGAACTAATTAGTGCTACCCTTGTTTGTTTTGTCTCGTTTGTTCTTAATTCCTTTAGAACAAAATGTAATTGAGACAGAGTTTGGAGTGAGTGAGTGAATATTGTTTAGCAATAATCCAGCAATGTCACAGCAGAAATGGGTCTCACACATTGTACCCATGTGTGGAACGAACCCGAGGCCTTCGGTGTGACGAGTAAATGCTTTAACCACTAGGGCTACCCCCCCCCCCCCCCCCCCCCCCCCCCACAAGAGATTTTAGAAGGAGGAATTGTCAACAATGGATCATTGGATTGCACTAATGCTATGTTCACAATGAAAAATGTTTAAAAAATCACACAGAACTCAACCGTGGCAAGGGAAAGATTTACATGACATGCATTTTTGAGACAGACTTCCAAAACCTCATACCAAATGTTACTAAGCATTTGTAGGGTTAAGGCATATATAAATGAACTACATTATGGCATGTGTCCACTAAGCTCTGGTAACATACTATTTCCCAAACAACCAGTCAGCTATGTGTAAGTGTGCACAGTGCTTCAGGTGATGTACAGGGCCACGTCTCACCATTCTATTGGCAGCAAAGACCCCTGATAGTAGAAGAGGGAGCCCACGTTGTACCCCCCTCGGGCGTTGTTCTGAGAGTTAAACATCCTGAAACACAATGTTTATCATGTACAACAGTTTGTTTGTTTGTTTTTTAATGGCCGGTTGTAAATAATCGAGTATAATACATTCGGGATACGATGACATGCATCAATCAAGTCAGCGAGCCTGACCACCCGAACACCTTTAGTTGTCTCTTACGACAAGCATAGTCACCTTTTACGGCAAGCATGGTTTCTGAAGACCTATTCCACCCCGGATCTTCACAGGTCTGAACAACAGTCATAATCATCCCCAACAGTCATCATCATGAACAATGGTTTATTATCTTTTGTATCAAGTCTGGACCAGACAATCCAGTGATCAATATTGTACGATGACATAAAATCAAGCCAGTCATTGAGCCTGGCCACCTAATCCATTTGGTTGCCTCTTACAACCTCCATAGGTTGCTGGGGACTTCTTCTAACCAGGAATCCCAACAGAGTGTATAGAAATGAACAACTACAAGTATGTGTGAGTAGTTACGCTACCATCAAGTCACTGACTTGATATAATGATATATGATAAGTCATTTGCTATTTCAGCTGGCAATTGGCCAAATGACCAGCAGTTCAATCAATGCACAATGTTAAGTCGACCAATAGCTCAGCAGGATGAGGCGTACAGTGACATACACCAGTAAATGTCTTGGTTTGCTACATATTTAGTGTGTTTAGGGACCAGGTCAAAAGTTCAAGTCCTAAAAAAATTAAAACCGTAAGGTTTGAGACATTCCCCCATCCCCACTAAAAACTTCACTCAGAAAATGTTAAATTCCTGTGTTTAGTGGCCTCTTTTGTCACACATTCTTGTTTTTTCACCTGCTTTTTCAGAATGTTTATCAACTTACTAGGTGTTGGGAAAACCAGAGACCAGATATATCCGTATATGGTCTCTGGAAAAACATTTGTAGGGTTTTTATAGATCAAATCTGCCATTCCATATAACCCTACCTCTGGGAAATACTGGATGTATAAGAAACAACTCCTAACAGTATATGATTATTAAGAATAACAATAGGAAAAAAAAAAGAATATAAAGAGTCTTTGCTTAGTTTACTTACTACATAAAACATTGAGAAATCAAGAAAGTTCCTTTTGTCAGATGGAAAACTTGCAGGGCCATTAAGCCGCCACCCCAAAACCTGAGGAATTAAGATTTTTATCCGACATGAAACTTTTGAACTGGTCCCTTAGTGAGAGGTTATTTTTACCCATGAGTCATCTAGGAGCTAATCGTAAACATCAAACCAACATAAAACTTCATACATTTCATTGCTTCAAGTTATTACCTATACATAAGCATACTGAATAATACACCACCGGCTGTATAACCCTCGGGCATACAGCTCATCCGATCAATAGAGATTATTATATGAGCATGTGTATCATACTGATTTCACGAAACAAGTGTCAGAATTCACGTATTTCCCCTGAGTGAAAGCAAGGGTAATACATGAATTCTTATAAGGGTTTCGTAAGATCAGTATGACTCACATTTGAGTGTAACAATTTCTTTATTACCCATTATTTCTTAATCTTTTTTAGCTCCCCTTTAGAAAATAAACTGATCACGGCCGCCGTCTTAGAAAGCCACAAATGTTGCATGACCTTACGTCACAAAACAATTTGAATGACATCAACAATAGCATCTGGATGACGTTAACAATACACTGGTGTGAGTGAAAGTGATAGTTGCACTAACCACTGCTAACTGCACATGATTTTTATGATCACGGTTATTTCTAATCCTATGGGAAATGAAGTTGATAAAGAAATAAACTGTTTTTTTACCAGGTACATCGTGTACTGTCATAAAGACAGGAGGTATGTTTTATTGTTTTATTTCTATACAAGACCAGTAAGGCCACAATAAATTATGAGATTTTCATGCACATCTATAAGAATGTGATGCATTGTATTATTTTGTAAGCAAACTGACTAAGGAACAGGTGTCAACTAACTACCATTCTTTGGTTGCTTGTTATTTATTCAAGTAATAAAGCCTCAGTCTTACCTATTTTCATAGAGTAACCATGGTAACCAAGACATATGCTTTTTGAAACATACTGAGGTTTATCATCCAAAACTGGCTCCCACAGGAGATATCGCTTCGGTGAGATCAAGCGATATCTCCTTTGTAGATATCACTGCAATGAAATTTCATCACAATGCTTTGCAGACCATTGTGTGATTGTTACCATGGCGTCACAATCAAATGACATCACTAATGGCTACTGAAGCTGTTGGGAGTACTTTTTACACTAAGACATTGGACATGCTGGATATTACTGTCTACAAACTGAAAAAGTTGGAAGAATGATGTTGGATGATAAATAAAATCTCACCCTTGTGTCTTTCGATATCAAATATATCAACACTCATTGATATTTGATATCAAAAGACACTCGGGTGAGATTCTCTATATACACTACCCATAAGAAGTTAAGGACAACCAGATTGGTTCAAGTGAAGCACGGCAGATAAACAAGACTCCACACAGAGATTCAGAGCAGGGTTGGTCTAACAGTGAGTGAGTTTGGTTTAACGCTGCTTTTAATAGTATTCCAGTTATATCACGGCGTGTCAGCTTAATGTGGGAGGAAAGCCCGAAGTGATGCAGGTCTCAGACGTTTACCACTTCGGTGAAACCCACGAGCACGGGTATGGTGCTGACAAACCTAGAAACATAATCGGGGCGAGCCGGCACTCGAACCCACAATCATAGGTTTTTGGCGTGCCCAAGGGACGCAACTCTGCACAGCAAGTCGTGGCGCCTCAGACGACTGGGCCACCCGTGCCCCCGGTTGGTCTAAAATGCAGAGGGGGTGATCTCATGGAACAGCACAGCCTGACAAGGGGGAGAGAGCTACTGGTACTCAATGATCCTTAACTTCTTTTCAGTAGTATCAAAAACATACAACTATACATCATTTGGTGACACTTTTTCACCAAATTATTTGTTTTTGTTTTAAGAGCACCCCTAATTTTTTTTTTTTTTTTGCAGTAAACTACGTATATAATGAGCATGCTTATAACGAACTGACGGATATAATGAAATGTGTTGTGATCCCGTCCATTTGTGGTATATTTGCTACTTAAAATATATGCTTATAACGAACTACGGTTATAACAAACTAAAATTAGTGGTCTCTTTGAGTTTGTTATAGCCGTAGTTTACTGTATGTGCACCCCTTCCCTCTCAAAATTATCTATATCCGCACTTGCAACAAACATGTAATTTCCTGTTATAAACTTTATATTCAATTTAAACAGTAGTCATGATAATGTAATACAAACCTTTTTTCATTTGTCCTGGGCCGAGTAGCTTCATCCAGCCGATTGTTGCTGCCCCTGAAAGAGTGATCATGATCGTGAGTGAGTGAGTGAGTATGGTTTTACGCCACTTTTAGCAATATTACAGCAATATCACAGCGGGGGACACAAGAAATGGGCTTCACACATTGTACCCATGTCGGGAATTGAACCCGGGTCTTCAGTGTGACGAGCAAACTATTTAACACTAGGCTACCCCACCGCCCCAGTGATCATGATAGGGTCAAAAGGAAACTACATGTACTTTTTTTAGTATTGAGAGAGCGAGTGAATACTACTTTGAATGAGGGTGCCAACCCCCCACCTCTACATGCTCTAAGCATCGGGCATACCACGTAATTTGTCTTCCAATTTAAGAACTTGTGAGTCATATCAGTGTACACAGCTGGCTGGTAAAGTAACTTTAAGACTGGATTTTCACAGAATGCATGACCATGTATATTCATTAGCTTGGGATTTAATATTTTATTGATTTGTCACTCTTTGCAAGAAAAAAAGACGAAAACTATATTTTACCAATGAAATATTGGCATCAGCTTAACAGACAAACATTTCATGGCATCCAGTGTACTGCACTGCGGAGCCCAGAATACAACTTCACAGGGCTGGGCATCCGGCATACAAAAAGGGGATAGGCACCCCCTTGAATATTATTTTAGTTATATAGCAGTGTGCTACCTGAATGTAGGAGGAAAGCCCGAAATGATGCATTTTGTTGATATTTACCACTTTGGTTCTGGTGCTGACAAACCAAGAATCATTATCAGGGCAAATCTGGGATTTAAACCCACAGGATGCGAGCATACCCAAGGGATGCAGCTCTCCTCAAAGATACAGAGAAATATAACAAGTCAATGAAAACTTCTGCCAAACATACCAAAAGTACCTTCACGCCTATTCTCATTCCCTTGCATCCATGGATCTTTCATGCATGCTGAAACAATGTGACTTATGTGCTGTCTCGACACTAAACTTGACTGTCAAGCATCTGCTCTCCAAAAATGTATTTGATGACCAAGATGAACAATGAAGCTGAATACTTTTCGTATTATTAAGCTAGATCAAATACTTTCTTGTGATATCAGTCCAATTTTGAAAAATTAATATAATAATTGAAGACATATCCTTTCTCGAACGTCTTTACAGAAATATTGTCTCCTGAAAACCTTTCATTCCATGTTCATGGTTTGTAGGAAATAAATCTCAAATAATCCTGGACTGTACCACAATTGTATTGATCTCCCCCTCCTCCTCACCTTTTGTGTAATAAATTTTTAATGACCCTCGAGCACCCCTCCCCCATTATTGATTATACACGAAACATTTTTCACCATGGTTGAAAATGTATGACCAGTGCCTATATAACGTTATAATTAATATAAATAATATTTGAAAAAATCCACACATATAGTTGTGATAAATTGTCTCCCACCTCTTATGCTTTCAGTTTTTCAGACCTAGCAGAATGTAATAAATCGAAATCTGAGTCAATCTTGAAAGGTGTTTTAAATTAATTGGTCCCAATAAATAAATTCATTAATTAGTTACAAAAATCGTCATACTTCACATAAAATAAACAAACATGGGGCACGGACGTGTTAATTATTGTTACTGTCAAATTGTTTAGAACATTGTATTTCACGCCTGTGCTACTATTGTGCTTATTGCCCAGCCTTGACATTCAATACAACAGCAGTTACCTCCCCTACACTAATCCAGCCTTTCACTGTGTATGATTTAACTACATTACCGTCAAAACATTGGTTTCAACAACAAACAGTGATCATCGTACTTACCGGAGGTTGTGGAGATAAATATCAGCCTCAGCGCTTGAAATAATGAAAATTATTCCACTCAAAATATTTAGAAACAGTGACATTTTGCCGTTCTGTTTCGCTGCCACTCCTTGTAAAGCAGCGTTGTTTATCCGTATCCGTTCCTTATTACGTACATGCGAGTGAATCACCTGGCACGTGATTTTACAAGTCATTTCCATATTTACTTGCGCGTATTACAAAATAGTACCACCGATTTTAGCAATTTGATACCCTATTTAAAAACTAACACGAATAAATAAGCAAAGTTTATGGATATATAATGTTATGAACGTTTTTGAAAATGTTGTTCACACATGACATTGCTTACTTCGAGTTTTATTTAAATTAGGATGTAGTGATATATATTGGACTGCACAAACTGTGAGAGTTACCCGCCCTTGGTGTAAATAGTGAACGGGCTATCGACGTGAAGGTAAGAATTTACCGAAATACCCCCGGCTCTTTTACACCCAGGAAGCCGAAATATATTTATGAATTATGGTTGTACGTCGAGATGAAAGTAGTGATGACTATGTCATGTGTGTTGTTCAACCAGATTCCTCATATCTATTGACGACTGCTATTATATATGTACTACAATGAGTCTGTCAGCGTGTAGTCCTGTAACTTTACGGTATATATCGTAGTATCTATATGGTATTTATGTGGTCATATCACACCACGTTATTGTGATTGTTATAACTTCTGTCAGTTTGTTGGAGATCATTTTCATAATCAGTTTCATGAATTGATTCTTAAATATTAAAACTTGTACTCATTGTTTGAAACTACATGAACTAAGGGACTAGTAATTTATTATGATGTCGGGGGGGGGGGGGGGGGGGGGGGGGGGGGGGGTTGGGTGAGTTTGGTCTTAGGACTGTATCATATCTTGATGGCTCCCCCACCCCTATTTTATTTAACATTTTGTCAAGCCCTGCATATAATTTATATGCCCCATCCCCCCCCCCCCCCAAAAAAAAAAATATATAAATAAATAAAAAATAAATAATTAAAAAATTACCAGTCCCTCAATAATGTTCAAATTTACTTACTATTTTGTATTTGAAAAATTAAACTCAGTCAGATCCGCCCCACTCCCACCCACATATGGTTTGATTTTCAAGTATTACACAATATTCATGATTATTAACAATTCTTTGTTTAGTATATTTCATAATCATAAGATTCATGCATAATGTGAATTCCTGATATTACAGCTAAAGGTGATCTGTAAACAAATCAGATTAAAACTCTCAAGTTCTAAAATATTTCTTTCAGGATGGCCTCAGGGTTACTTGTGTGGATGAGCAATATTGTTTGTTTTTTAGGAGATGGCGAGACTGTACCTTATCCTGGTCCTTGTTAGTCAAACCTGCGGGGACATCTACCTCCACAACATGAGAGGCTCCAACAACAGGCTCGGGGAGAACTCCGCGACGAGAACCAATGCCAACAGAATGTTCAATTCTCAGGTAAGCAGTTAAGGTTGAAAAGACCCGTGAAGATCTGGGGTAGGATAGGTCTTCAGCAACCCATGCTTGCCGTAGAAGGTGACTATGCTTGTCGTAAAAGGTGACTAATGGGATGGGGTGGTCAGACTGGCTGACTTGGTTGATGCATGTCATTGATCCCAATTGCGTGGATCGATGCTCATGATGTCAATCACTGGGTTGTCTGGTCCAGACTGGATTGTTTAGAGACTGCAGTCATATTGCTGGAATATTGTTGAGTGCGGCGTTAAAAAACAAACCAAACCAAGACCAAGGTAGAAAAGAGCTCAGACAAAAATAGAATATTTGTTGGACCTTCCTATTTCAGCCCAACCAAAAATAAGTTAGGTCGGTAGGTAGGTATTTCGTATGTATTCTTTTTCACTTTTTCTTTTAAAAATGTAATTTGCAGTTTCATAGTAAAAGCTTGCTTTCAACTGACAGTTAAGTGTTGCCATATTGAAGATAATGACTGGTTTATCGGTAGGGAATCGCAACAAATTTACACTAGCTGCATAAATAGGTGCCAGGTGTTAGGATCTACACTGAAACGCTGCGCACAAATTATAATAAAGAAGTTGTTCATCCATGGAACTTGTCTTACTTCATCACACCAATTTCTAAATGCCACTTAAAGAAGTTACTTTCAGGTTGTTTGTTTAAGGCCGCACTCAGCAATATTCTAGCTATATGATGGCAGTCTGTAAATAATCAAATCTGGATCAGACAATCCAGTGATTGACAGCATGAGCATCAGTCTACGCAATTGGGATATGATGACATGCATCAACCAAGTCAGCGAGCCTGACCACCTGATCCCGTTAGTCGCCTCTTACGACAAGCATAGTCACCTTTAGGAAAAAGTACCGGCAGTTTTCTTGGTTCTAGCATCATTCTGACAATGTTATGTCCATATTAGAATTATGGACAAAAGTCTCTGAATTCTGACAGAAACTAAACACTTTATTCAGTTTTAGAAAAATAACTTTGTGTGATTGCCCAACATTTCTAAATTCCCAATCAGTTAGAAAATACATGTTGGAGTGCAGAAATTACCACTTGACAAAATGTCAAGTGAGTGTACTGTTCCTGGTAATTAGATTTTTGTACACCGGTTGACATTTGTACAGATTGGTAAGATGGGATGCAAGGCACAGCTGCTGGTACGGCAATTATTTCAGATATGTGCGAAGTCAGGTCTGTTACCAGCAGCTTTGAAAAAACCCTGAAAAAACCCACAACAAACCTATAATGAACTGTTTGAATTCTACAAGATGTATCTTTTAGAGATGTACTACATTGTATGTACCAGAATTAAGTAGGGTTTTGTTTTTGTTTTGTTTTAAGGGAAATTTAAGTTTATTTGGTGATGAAATACTGTATTTGTGAATTTTATCTGAAAAAAAATAATTGATATCTCACTCAAGTGAAATAGCACTACCGGAACTACTTTCAGTCTGCCTCACTGTCACTGTGTATAAATATTGAAAAGATCAGTAAGAAAACGGACACTGTGTATAAATATTGAAAAGATCAGTAAGAAAACGGACACTGTGTATAAATATTGAAAAGATCAGTAAGAAAACGGACACTGTGTATAAATATTGAAAAGATCAGTAAGAAAACGGACACTGTGTATAAATATTGAAAAGATCAGTAAGAAAAGGGTTTTATCTTGACCTACAATACAAGGGGCCCAGAGGACTCCCAGATACCACTTTCAAGGATCCTTACAGGAAATAAAGGGTCTTGAAGTCATGAAATGGTGTAGTGTACAGTATTGTAAAATTTAATAATTATATGAATTACAAGAACTTTATATTTCTTGTCAAGAATTTGGTGCAATAAATATTATTGTGCGTCCCTCTGGATGCAATATTTATTCTTCTCTCCGTCCATTCTGTACTCTTTTTTACACACTTTTCTGCGTCATGTAAAACCCTGAAAATACATAATAAAGAGGACTTTTTTATTTTCTGATAAAACATGGTGCGATGGGGTAGTTTTGTGGTTAAAGCGTCTGCTTGTCACACTGAAGTCCCAGATTTGATTTCCCACATAGGTACAACATGTGAAGCCCGATTTTGGTCTCATTCGCTGTGATACATGGAATAATGCTTAAAGTGGTGGAAGACCATACTCACTCACTTGTGTAAAATGTAACACGTTTTTTCATCTTGTGACCTGACAAAGACCTGACTGCATCACTTTTGAAAATATCTTTTTCTGGTTACTCAATGAGACAAACTTAACACTTATTTGACAAGAAAATGTAAGTCCTCTACTTGTACAACTTAGGTATATATTCACTGATATTTGGACTAATATAAGTAATAACATCAATACCCAAAGAGTATACATGTATATCTTCTTTTCTACTAAATCTATTCTGCAGACAGGTTTTTGATAATCATAATAATCATGATGACTGTACACACATTAAAAAAATGAATGCCAAACAAGTTCATAAATCAAAATATAAAAACATATTTACTCAGAATATCATTTGATAAACATTCTTCATTTTAACAAAACATTATAAAATTTATGTCTATTTTTGCATTAGTGTGTAAAAATTGGTTGTTTTGCCAGGCTTTAGATGATTATAAACCTGTGTATAAGTATGATCACAGTTTTACACTCAGACCACAAAAATGGAGGTCCAGGGGACCCCCTTTAATAAATTTCAAGGGTCTTTTCAGGAAATATTAGGGGCAGTCAGGTAGCCTAGTGGTTAAAGCGTTCGCTCGTCACGCCAAAAACTCGGGTTCGATTCCCGACATGGGTACAAAATGTGAAGCCCATTTCTGGTGTCTCCGCCGTGATATTGCTGGAATATTGCTGTAATATTGCTAAAAGCGACGTAAGATCAAACTCACTCACTCACTTACAGGAAATATTAGGGTCCTGTAAAGTAATGAAAAGTAATAGTGTGCTGTGCTGTTAGATTTGATAATTACTTCAATTACAGGACCTTTAGGTATATTTCTTGTCAAGCATTTGGTACAATGAATATTACCATGCGTCCCTTGGAATGCAATATATTTTTCTACACTCATTCTATACAGTTGTGTGTACTGGACGCACATTTCTGTGTTGTTTAAAACCCTGAGTACTATGACCTGAACACAGTGGTATCATTTTTACATAGCTCAATTATATTGTTCCCATACCGACTTTCACCTGAACGGTGTAGTTCAAGTAATAAGTTCTAAGAAGATTTCCAACATTCAAAGCAGCACTACGAGTACTTAGTCACACCTGTAGAAACGACCGTATGTGTCACCCCATGACTGACCCAATAGTCACGCTCCCCGATACACCTGGGTACATTATGTACATTATCAACAGGTAGATATGGCCGTTATATGTCTATCCTGCCTGCTCCTTTGACAGGCTGATATTGTGTGCAGTGGCTGTTAAACAGGGTCATTGTCGTGAACTACCTAGGTGACAACACGCGGCCACACTTGAGTGGCATTAGCTTCAGGGTATGTGGGCTTGGCTATAATGACATTGTGCCATTGTCATATATAAAAAGTAACGTAATACAAGAACCGTGACGAATTGCTTAACTCACTGTGATAGGAAATTTGACATTTGACAATGCTTCATTCTCCATGTGGTATTTTCCATAAATTTACGAAGTATGCGTTATGAAAATGATACACAAGGAGTTAAATTTGATTTCAGGGATCGTGTGGTAGTGAACACACTACCAATCGTCGATAAAACTAAAACTTTTTCGGTAATAGTTTCTTTGGAAATTATGTACACCTTCACTGCTGTTTTCTGAAACAAACAAAATCTGTAATATACACAATACAAATATTACAAGAAGATATGGAGTGTCAAGTAAATGTTTGGTCTTAATAGGGGGTACTTAAATTCTCTTATACTTAAGAATACTTTATAAAGATGTTTGACGTCGAATTTCTTCAGTGAAGATTGCCATGTGTGATGTCATGTATCTCAGTAATAAATGAATTGAAGCTTTTGAATTGTATTTTTGTGTTTTGAAGATGCTGCATTAAAATCTCATTAAAATCAGATCTTAGTTCTCTCTATCGCTAAACAAAGATCTGATGACATCCCATTACTGGTCATGTCAGAACGACCTTTCATGCAACCAATCAGAGCGTCGCTTACCAGATCATGAAAGTGACACACGGAATGTGTTTTCTAATCATGCAACCTCGAAATATTTAACAGAGGGTATTCCGAATGACAGCTACAGGTTTTATGATTATATCCATACAATCTAGACCATCCATAAGCCATTCCAGAATGTTCTTTTCATCAGTTTTAAATTTTTTTATCGAGAATACATCAAAATATGTTTCAAAGCGTAGTCGCCAGTTTGAAACTAGTGTCGTAAAACTCGAGAAAGCTGCCTTCTGATTGGCTATTATGTCAATTTCTTGTCAGTCATTTCATTGGTCGGTTAAAGTTCGCGAAAGGTCGTTCTGACGTGAACCCTAATGGGATGTCCTCCGAAATTTACTATCTTTCAACTTTTTTTTCTCACCAAAATAATATTCTAATAAGAGCCCCCTATTTCTAATTTTGAGAGCACCCTGGGCGCTTATTACATCAAATACAGTATGTTAAGTTAATATTGATTCTATTCAATATGTTAACTAATTTATTTTATTGTGATATCCTAGTGATAAATATATTAAACGAAGAATAACAACAACATAGAGTACAATATTTTCAACAACATATACTCTGTCGAAATATCTTGTGAGCATCCTGGTTGAGTAAGTTTACTTCATGTTGCCATGACAACAGCAGCCCTAACTTGTAAGATGTTGACCTGGAAACAGTTTTCCTTGTGCTCATGATGCTGTCTACTTGTTCTTTCAATTTAACAAGTTCCTGTTGAGAACTGCCATCTGTACTGCACAGCTTAGCGCAGTAGGCAAGTCGATGTTTTGAAATACCGGGGCATTTTCTAAAAGAGACAAACTTTGTGCTGACATGAATTGTCTTGGTTGGGACGGGTATTTTGGGTTAGTTGGGTAATGTGTGGAACCCGGGTACCGACATGACTACCCGGACCTGTGATTGATCATGTGATGAAGTGTTTAGTGACCAAAAAGTTCTCTATACCTCCATGGTTACACTACAAGTCACTAATTCTTCTTACTTTTACATGTTTCAGTAAAGATACAGTTTAAGTCACCTTCAGTGTATGCATGATCATATTGTTTTATTCATGTATCTAAATATTTTTTGCAAGGAATCAGGTAAAACAATTCCCAATCTGACATTTTATACCCTACTCGGGGACCTTTATGTAATAGGGGATCAGGTAATTTTGGACTCTACCCCAGCCCAACATATACTCTCACTCACTGAAAGCCCAACCAATATCAGCCTTGGGCAAATCTTGTTTTTATTCATGTTAGGATAGGGGTGTATTGGTATATTTGGAGAGAAAGGAAGAAGTTTATATCACCTTGTTTGAACCATGAGAACCATTATGAATAACAGTAAGTGAGTGAGTATGACTTTAAACCGCTTTTAGCAATATTCCAGCAATATCACGGCGGGGAATGCCAGAAATGGGCTTCACACATTGTACCTATGTCAGGAATCGAACCCAGGTCTTAAGCATGATGAGCGAACGCTTTAACCACTAGGCTACCTGACCACCCCGAAATAAACAGTGACTTTTGGTCATCAAGAGGTGATAATTGTGATGAAAAGAAATGACTACTGAATGTATTTGAAAAAAGTAGGTCAAGTTAAGTGCAAGGTCAAATGTAAAATCAAGGGAGACAACTCCAATACAAAATTAATTAGACCTCCAGGTGCAAATAGGCCTCATCTTGGCCCAAGTTTGCCCAATATTCCAAATACTGCTCATCATACGTTTTATTAATGCTTATTCAAGTTGTCTTAGGAAATGAACAATCATGATGTTTATAATAGGTTGCAGCCTTTCTATTTAAGACTAGTCCAGAGAATTAATGGAAATCTTTCACTAGTACTCAGAGTTTATACTCGAGACAAAAATGTTTCGTATGTTTACTTTTTCTATCAGTTTTATTCAGTTCTAACCTGTAGCCAAACTGAAGCCTTGAGAACTGGTTCAGAAGGGTAGCCCTCAAATACTACTGGTCATAGAGGACTGCCACCATTGTATGTTTACTGTCCACAGCACAAGCTTATAAGTCTCGGGCTAGCGGATGTGTGGGAATGCTGGGGTTATATATGAAATCAGTTTGCCAAGTGTGGTGTGGTGTAATGTGGTGTGTGTGGTCAACGTGTGTGGTGTGTGTGGTCAGTGTGGTGTGGTGTGTGTTGAGGTGAGTGTGATAGGCGTGACAGTGACGTGATCAACGGGTGGTGTGTGTGTGGTCAGTGTAGTGTGGTGTGGTGTGGTGTGGTGTGCAGTTAGACTATAAAATATAACATGTTATCCACTTGAGTTTTTTAATCCAGTGCTGACTGTCATAATCATTCCATATTTTAGAGCATATTTTTTAATACCATATCGAGCATTCAAATTGTAATATGAAGAAAAATTATTCTTTTCCTCATCATTAGGTTGACATACAGTGCACCTTGACAGGGAAAATAGTTACATATTCATTCCTTGTCTGTAACAAAAGGCCTCCCTTTCCCCCAAATGACATACATAGTTCAGGGTGCAGAGCTACAGATAAGCTGTTTTGCATAAAATACTCAAAATAAATCACCAATGCCTGATTAATGTTGAATTGCTTCCGTACAAATATACTTGCAGAACTTTCAGAACCCAACAGCATAACAACAATATGTTTATTTACCCAATGTATCCTCTACAGCTTGCGTATATCTTAACTCATCTTTGTTGACTGACAGAAAGCACTCTGATGCAGACCTGTGAAGATCCGGGGTAGAATAGGTCTTCAGCAACCCATGCTTGCCGTGAAAGGCGACTATGCTTGTTGTAAAAGCGACTAACGGGATCGGGTGGTCAGGCTCGCTGACTTGGTTGATGCATGTCATCGGTCCTAATTGCGTGGATCGATGCTCATGATGTCAATCACTAGGTTGTCTGGTCCAGACTGGATGATTTACAGACCGCCGTCATATAGCTGGAATATTGCTGAGTGCGGCGTTAAACAACAAACAAACAAACAGTGACTAATGCACAAAAGTGCTGAGTCCCGCTTACTGCCACTGACACACTGTTGTGAGTTTAGGCGACAGCCAGTGTTCATTTCAGCAACTGGGAAAGTGGGGCCCAATGATCCCTAGTCGTTGGGGACATTTGATGAAACCAGGGGACACACAAATATTTTTTTTTTTAAAAACCATGAAGACTATTGTTACTACCATGAGTGAGTGAGTATGGTTTTACGCCGCTTTTAGCAATATTCCAGCAATATCACTGCGGGGGACACCAGAAATGGTCTTCACACATTGTACCCATGTCGGGAATCGAACCCGGGTCTTCGGCATGACGAGAGAATGCTTAAACCACTAGGCTACCCGACCGCCCCGTTACTACCATGACACAATAGAGCATGACCATGAGACTAAAACTTAGGCTATGAAAATATTTCTCGAAAATAATTGTAATGTATTTTTAAAAAAAACCCATTTCCTCTGTAGTTTTCATGTGGAATCAAGGAAATTAGACTTGGTTTAGTTTGATCTAGACTTGCCTAGGCTTTTAGCATGTTTCGTGAAAAAAAATAAAAAAATATATATATATATATATTAATCAGGAATACATGACCACAGAAGAGAAACATTTCTAGCTTCTGTCACAATGACTGTGCTCATATCCTGGTAGATGCTCCACAGAAACTGCGACATTTGACAAACATCGTGACTAGTTAAATTATGCAGTAAACACCAGTGATATCAACATGACCACTTGGAACTGACACCAGAGTCGTGACCCCTGAATGTGACATAACCGACCTACAATTACACTATCGGTGTCTTCTTACGACCCTCTGTATTGTCATGGCTGCTTAACAGGGCAACTATTCGGTAAATGCGTCATGTTGTGCCCTGTTTAAACTGGCTGTACGATCGTTACTGTGATTAACATTACTCGGCTAATCAGTATTCATGCTAGTCATCAGCATGATTAGAAGGTGTCGTATCATTATTTGAATTTCCAATGTGTAACTTGACTAAAGTGATGATGCTTTAATTACTAAGGGAAGTATTTCAATTGTATCATCATCATCATCATCATCATCTTCATCATCATCATCATCATCACCATCATCATCATCATCATTATCATTATCATAATCATAATCATCATCACCATCATCATCATCATTTTATGTAAAGAACAAAATATGGAAAGGTTCAATTTTGGCCAAAGCGATCTGTATAATTTAAAAAGTTAGCAACACTTTTAAACGTATTATAATGTTTATACTATTGAAAACTAGTTTTGTTCATTCCAACACTTTTTTGACTTATAACAACACAAAAGGGATCAATAAGTCTAAATTGTACTGAAAACGCTGATTTGGTTTGTTTTTTAGGAGCAATTTTTAAATATTTGATCAGTTTTGGACCCAAACTTGTTTTCGTAGGAGATGCAGATATTATCATAACATATATTGTCACACAAGATTCATTGGTCACAGATAGAAAGTCACCTGAGCCTGGAAAAATCAGGTATTTGTTTCTGCCTCATTATGGCTATATGTATGTACCTGATGTTGTCAGAAGCCCAAAACTGCTAAGTAAGAGACCACCTCCGTGGTCTTGTGGTAGAGCATCCGCCCTGAGAGTGGAAAGTCCGGGGTTCGATCCCCGGCCGCGTCATACAAAAAGACGTTAAAAGATTGCACTTGTCGTTACCCTGTCTGGTGCTCAGCATTAAGGGGCTAAAACAAGGACTGGTCGGCTCGGAGTCAGTATACTGTGTCTGAGTGTGGTATTCATGTTAAACTGCGGCATGGTATCTCAGTAGGCTAGCACTATAAATCGGCATCAGTCCGGACTAGTACAAGCAGCCACACACACACACACCCCCAAGTGCATGCACGTCGCTATATAAGTGCAGTAATCTTGGATGCAACGTTAAATCCAATTTCACCTCACCTCACCGCTAATGTAAGAAATAATAAGGGCTACGAAAGGAGTGACCAACCACATGAACAGATTTCAAAGTATTCTATGACTTCTAATTTGACCTTTTCAGTGGGTAAAAATTGGCTCTTATCATACCCCTTCCTTTAAAAGTGAAATAAATCTTTTTACTTTTAGTTCCAGGGCTAGACTCACATCTAGTCTCTGAAATGAAATATTTTATAGAGAAAAAAACACAGTTGTTAAATTAAATTTATGCTGAACTTCACCCATATTATAACACCCAAAAACAACGTTCAGTGCCCGGCCCGACTTAACCATAATCCTGTCCATGCTTTCTGCACAGAAGTAACTTGGCATAAAACATCCGTAAAACGCAAAGCTAAATTGACATGGCCTGGAGTAGTCTGTCATACACACCCTAAAACAAATACTAGTATATCCAAAACAGCCCATGCAAGTCTATAACATTTGGCAAGTCTAGATTACTGCAGTATCAGAAAATGAAGAAAGTCTCTGGGTTCCTTTTATTATATTTTATGACTATAGAATATGAGATTCAAAATGTGATTTTGAAGATGTTTGAGTATTCAAGTATGTGTGTTTCACATAATAATTAAGATTAATAAATTGATAATATATACTAATTAAAGATACATGTTTATGAAAGTTGTTGTGTGATATTTGTATTTATTTGTTATTTTTGTTACAGAACAACAACCGAGGAGGCTACAATGTGGGTGATGCAACAGACACGCCCCATGGCACTGATGAAGGCAAACAGTACCGCATGGTAAGTCCGGAGAGAGCTGACATGGAGACTCTCACCATTGTTATCAAGTAAAATGACATAAGTTGATAAGCATGTCAGGGGCACGGGTTGCCCAGTCATCTAAGGCGCAGCGATTCGCTGTGTAGAGTTGCGTCCCTTGGGCACGCCAGAAACCTACGATTGTGGGTTCGAATCCCGGTTCGCCCCAATTATGTTTCTAGGTTTGTCAGCACCATACCCATGCTCGTGGGTTTCACTGAAGTGGTAAACGTCTGAGACCTGCATCACTTCGGGCTTTCCTCCCACATTAAGCTGACACGCCGCGATATAACTGGAATAATGTTAAAAGTGGCGTTAAAACCCAACTCACTGACTCATGGATAAGCTTGTCAAAGCCCTGAAGCTATGTCTCATCCACCTGTGTTAGGCCAGCACAAAACGCAAGCAGAGTTGCCTGCCCCTGCCCCCTGCCAGGATCCAAATTTCGAATCACTCTGACTATGATCTTTTTCTATTTTTTTCAAAGAAAGAACATTCTCTCAGGTTTTGTGCACAAAAATTAATTATGCATTCGTAGAGGATTCTTAAAAAAGTTTGCACATCGATTTTTTTATTCATACCTCAGTGATACTGATACTGTGTGACGCCAGTGTTTGTGCAGTGACTGTGGAAGACGTCGGTTTTGTTTTGTTGCTGGTTTGCTTTATACCGTAAAAGGGCACAGAAATGTTACTAGGCCTGATAACTTCATGCCGATACAAGTGAACAGAAAGGGAATTCACTCGACAAGTTATTTGGATTCGCCAACATTTCATCATGGTGAAAGTAGTCCGCTTTCATGGGCGTGGCATAATTTTTTTCACTCATTGAGGATGGACGCAATAACACATAACCATTTTGGCTGATCAGACTGCAGAAATTTCAATGAATGCAACAAAAATTTAATTACCGTATTTGACGAAATAAGCGCCCAGGGTGCTCTCAAAATTAGAAAAAGGGGGCTCTTATTAGAATATAATTTTGGTGAAAGAGTTGAAAGATTGTAAATTTCGTGGTTTATGCGGACAGCCTGAAATGATACAAAAGAAAAGTCTGAGCTTATTATACACGACAGATGAATTTTTACAGAATTTAATTGCCGTAATTAAGGGTTCATATAACACACGAGTGCGTATTATACACGAATAAATATATCTTGTGTACATAGATCAATTGGAAGGATGCTAATTGGGATTGTTCACTAGCCAATATATCAGCAAATATTGCCGTGGGCGCTTTTTACTTTGAATACGGTATCAACAAATATAAGTACAAAATGTCGCATCTGATATGTAGTTGCCAACAGCAGTTTGTGGTTTAAGGTTAATTCAGCCCGTCTATACAAGCAGACTGTCAGGGAGGTTATTGATGTGTTAGTCGTGTTAGTTAGCAACTGTTTGTGACTCTCCTTGGCACCAGGAAGTAAGCTGGTAGCCAATGGTGCTGTGACCTTTGCGTAGCTTCCTGTCTGACAAGCGTGGAGTTGAAGTAGCATGAGCCACTGACCGCGTTAATACATGGCCGGGATATACGCAATTTGTGTCCCAGACACCGACAGTTTCGCGGTTCACTTGCCACTTTGATACCATGGTTACGAGTTGGTACTGTAAGAGAATAAAGAGCTTCTTAAGGCAGTCTGTGGTTTTTCTTTCTGTAAAATGCTGTATTTTGTTTGTCATCAAAGGTCGCCGACTGTAATTTGACATGTTTTTAACTTTCTTGTCACTTATCTTTTTGTGAAATCTAGCTTTAGTTTTGATCTAGCTTTAGTTGTAAACTTTTGAATTTTTAACCAGATTTAAGCCGGACAAATATTTATTTTATTTACAGAATTTCTAGTCAATATAACATAGGTAAGAAGAGTTCTCAGGGCTGATCTGGCTGAATTTAAAAAATATATATATAATAAAAGCATCATTTTTAATAATGTATTAATTATTAAAAAATAAATAATGTTTTATCTTTAAAAAAATTAAGGTATTGGTAGACATGGTAGACTAGTCTGGTCTGACCAGAATAAAGAGGATAGGGGACAATGTCCTGCAAACATGTTGTTGTTTATTTTCACTCATGTAACAAGAGGTAATGTCCTACTGCTTTTCAAGACAATGTGAGAGATGAGATCACCCCTTTATCCCTGATGACGAGTGTCGAGTGGGTCTGTATACACACACGACCAACTTCCACACCATATATGGTCATTGTTCATCTGTAACACATTCATAGGCTTGTATGGGATTCTGGAAAAGTTTCAAGAGTGCACCCATGTGTGAAACATGATTTATATACAATATGTCTGTACTTGTCACCCCTGCATATATACAGTAGTATTGTGCATGTTGTGTGTGTTCATTGTGATTTATCTAATAATAGTGTTTTTATGTAGCAATATTATCTTTCTGTACTGGTACGACATTTAGCATAACAGTGTGTTGTGTATAAGCTCCTGTCACTGTGAGTTATCGGTATATAGGTTATGTTGAAATGTCTTGGATTTTTATTATGTTTTGTGAAGTCTTGTGTGATCAGTGACCCGTGAAAATTTTTCATGAAGGAAGAGAAGGAAGCTTGTTGTGTTTATGGAATTTTAATTATGTATGTCAACATCACATGTCTACATAATCTGTGAGTCATTTCTAATAATATATTACAAGCAATGATTTGTGTGTCTTTGACAGGAACAGTATGTAATGTTTTAGGCAAGCAATATACTATTTTCTTGGCCAACATGCTTGAAATAAAGTTAACACAAAATGCCAAAATGTTAGATTTAAAATTTAATTTAGAATAGAAATTTAATATTTCATGGACAGTATTTCAGCTGAGAAGATCAGGATATTTTGAAAAAGCACATTGTTTAATTTATGAATGTGTCTTTTTGGTTCTGTAAAACAGGTTTATTAAAAGAAGTAAATGAATGGTCAGGATTAACTTAATCTTAGGCTTAAAAAAATAAAAGAATTGGTTCTCAGGCAATGGCTTTTGAAAATATAATGCGGGCGGTCGGGCAGTGTTTTTTTACTGGAATAAAGTATTTAACTACTGTTGGACTACCAGTGTGTGCATAATTCACGCATACAATGAGCTTTGATTTTATTTCACAACACAAAGACATTACTGTGAGCACACAAGGTAGAAGTAGTAAAACTTTAGGTAGAAAGAGTAAAACTGAGGTAGAAAGTAAAATTCAAGTTAGAAGGAGTAAGACTCTGGTAGAAAGTAAAATTCAAGTTAGAAGGAGTAAAACTCTGATAGAAAGCAAAACCCATGGTAGAAGGAGTAAAACCCAAGGTAGAAGGAGTAAAACCCATGGTAGAAGGAGTAAAACCCAAGGTAGAAGGAGTAAAACCCATGGTAGAAGGAGTAAAACTCAAGGTAGAAGGAGTCAAACTCAAGGTAGAAGGAGTCAAACTCAAGGTAGAAAGAATAAACCTCAAGGTAGAAGGAGTACAACTCAAGGTAGAAGGAGTCAAACTCAAGGTAGAAAGAGGTAATGTTCAGTCAGTCCAGGATGCTGCAGTTGATACAGTGTGTCTGGGTTGACCTGAGGGATCCCTCCCTGTCTGGCCGACACAGAATGCCAGTAATGTAGAGTCCCATGTATTGTCCGGGTCACACCCTGGTGCTACAGCCTCATTACGCAGGTGTAGGTGTGGTCAGGCCATGTTTGCACAATATCAGGGGACATATCACATCCGACCTGTGTCCTGCCTCACGTCACTCCAAATGTTAGGAGAGAAATGTGGGTTAGTTACCTTGCAGATTTTTTATTTATGTATGAAGGTTAAGACTGCTCGTTGTATGAGAGCTTGTTGCAAAGTCTGGCTTCAAAGTTTGAATAAATCCTAACAAGGTAGTGTTTCTTAGAGGAGATGTTTCAAGAGCCAACCAAAAGTTCATGACAATATTGGGGGGGGGGATTTTTGTTAGAGACAGAATTTTTTTCTAGTCACTGCTTTTTTCTCTCTTAAAAGAGAAGCAGACTCAGGACATCCAGTATGTATAGTAACCAATTCTTTTATACACCGAGTTAAAAAGGAATTCCAGCTTTTTCTGAAACAATTTACCGTATTTGACTTAATAAGCGCCCAGGGCGCTCTCAAATTTAGAAATTGGGAGCTCTTATTAGAATATTATTTTGGTGAAAATAACAGATTTGAACGATATATTTTGTAGTTTATGCTGACAGCCTGAAATGTTTATGTACAACAGATATATTTTTCCCGAATTTAATTGCCCATAATTAAAGGTGCATATAACACACGAGTGTGTATTATACGCGAATAAATAAGTCTTGTGTACATTGATCAATCTGAAGGGGTGCTAACTGGGATTTTTCACAAGCCAATATCTTAGCAAATATCGCCGTGGGTACTTATTAGAGTGGGGCGCTTATTACGTTGAATACGGAAGTTATTTTTTTAAAGGTGTAGCATAAAACATAAATTGATACATCTCAGCACATGCTTAGTCAAGGTTTTTGTGGTTATGATATTGATAGTTTTTACACAATAACTAACAGTTCCTGAGCTGATTGGGCAAAAAATGTTTGCTTTGAGGTTTGTAATTTGTAGTTTGTTGGAATGTGTAAAGGAATCATCCACTATTTTAGCATTTATATGGAGCTGTCACAATCGTGCATTGTCTCACATCTGTAAACCTTTGCTTTCAGACCTCTCACAGTTTTGTTTTAAATGTTTGTGTTGGCTAATTAGCTGGGGCTGACTACTCCGGGATGGAATTTTGCTCGCATTCTTGACTTAATTACTTGGTCCCTTTACAAAACATCTGACTTTGTTGTCAATGCAATAATATAAAACTAAGCATTTAAAACCTCTTCCTATTTATGATTCTGTTTTGAGTGAAATACCATTTTTTTCTACAAAGTCATGAAATTAGTTATTAGTTATATATACATGAATTGAGAAAAATTTAATTGTGAACTTGGAATTTTTAATGACATTTGTTGCATAGTTGGGGCCGAATATCTGTCTCTCTGCATGTCTTGATAAATCCCTGAAAAACATTCTTCTGCCGAAATATTTTTCAAGGATGTTTTGGGTCATTTTTAAAGTTATGAAAAGTAGCTAGCTTCATTCATCCATACATCACTTCCACTGCATAATGGAGGTGTATGTGAAGTTCTTGAAACATGAATATGTATAATTCAATATTTTAGTGTGTCCTCATCTTGAAGTTTAGGGGCAGTCGGGTAGCCTAGTGGTTAAAGCGTTCGCTCAATACGTTGAAGACCCGAGTTTGATTCCCGACATGGTTACAATGTGTGAAGCCCATTTCTGGTGTACCCCGCTGCGATATTGCTGGAATAGTGCTAAAAGCAGGGTAAAATCAACTCACTAGCTCTTGAAATTAAATGTTTTCCTTTGTTTTCCAGAAATATTTTCAAAGTGGCCCCGTGAAGACGTTACAGAACGGCGCTGGGGAAAGTAGGCTGGTGCTGGGATGGACCAATCAGCATGGGTGTGGAGGGAATGAGGACAACAGTCCCCAGAAACAGAACTGTGCCCTGATACTCCAGTACCTATGTCAGGACGACGTCGACACACCCACAGGTACAGGGTTGCTAGGGCAGGGGGTAGCCTTGTGGTTAGAGTGTTCGCTTGTCTCACTGAACTTGCAGTAGACTGGGTTCAATTCCCTCCATGGATACAGAAGGGAATTTTAAGTTTGTTTGTTTGTTTGTTGTTTAATGCCGCACTTAGCAATATTCCAGCTATTTGACGGCGGTCTGTAAATAATCAAATCTGGACGAGACAATCCAGTGATTGACACCATGAGCATTGATCCACACATTTGGGATATGATGACATGCATCAACCAAAGCAGCAAGCCTGACCACCCAATCCTGTTAGTCCCCTCTTACAAGGGTAATTGTCTTTTATGACAAGCATGGGTTGCTGAAGACTTATTCTAACTCATAACTTCACAGGTTGTGAATTTTATGTTCTTCGATAAACAAGGACTGGTCGACTTGAGTCAGTATACTGTGTCTGAGTGGGGTATCTATGTTAAACTGTGGCATGGTATCTCAGTGAGCTCGCACTTTGAAAACTGCATTAGCCCAGACTAGTACAAGCAGCCACACACACAAACACAGATACATGTGTATGCACATTGCTAAGTAAGTGCAGTCATCTTGAAAGTGATGTTAAACCCCATTTCATCTCACCCCTCCTCACCTTACTGGAACTAGCAATCTCAAATCTTTTGCCATTTCTGGCAAGGAGTGTTTACCCCAAATCCGATCCTATCATCACGATCATCTGATCATATAATGAAATGACCATTTACAGCGTTATGAGTTAACCAAGGTACTGGTTTACAATGGCTACTAGAGGTTTCCTGGTAGACTGTTTGAAAACCGGGATCCCCAGAACTTTGATTTCAAATATTATGGTTGTGACAAAGATTCCTTGACCGTCTACCAAATTTCGAATACAGATTCTAAATATACCATGTATATCTGTTACCATGGCAACTGTATCCTGCAGGTACTGCAGACACACTGAGGAACGGTGTTACTACGAAGACACAGGACTACAAGAAGCCTGACAGTCTGACCGAGTCCAAGTCCGATGCCCAGACTAGGAAGGATGACAACGTCAAGTCTGACCGCGGACTCCATGAATCCTGGGCCTGGTATGACAAGTGTTATCTTCGGGAACGGAACAAGGGTGAGTGCGATCGTCACTGTTGTAAAAAATGTTTGGGGATATTCTACCTTCAGTCTTTACTCCCTGAGATACAATATTGTTCAAATGATTTTATATGTTAATGTACAAATTGATATTTTGTTTAAGTAGGACGGCCCTGATGGGTTTTGCTGAGGCCACTTTTTTATTTTTCTTGGGTTGCGGATCCTCCGACCCTCAATTGCAAGAGAAAAACATGGAAATAAACAGAAATCAGCATATATTTGTGTCAAAATGATTGCACAGATTATTTTTATAAATAAAATAAAACATGTTTTTTTCCTTCCTCAAGGTTAACATTGTTATCGACATCAGATGTTGCTTTGTGATTTTTTTCGCATCACTCTTAAAAAATTGCTGCAAAAATATCATTTTAATCATTGAATTAGTCCCAAAATGTTTAGTTTTTACTAATTCTAGTCATAATTCTGACTCAACATATTGATGATTAAAATTAATTACCGTATTCGACGTAATAAGCGCCCAGGGCGCTCTCAAAATTACAAATAGGGGGCTCTTATTAGAATATCACTTTGGTGAAAAAAACAGAGTTGAAAGATAAATTTCTTGGTTTATGCTGACAGTCTGAACTGTTTATATACGACAGATACATTTTTCCAGAATTTAATTGCCCATAATTAAGGGTGCATGTAACACACGAGTGTGTATTATACACGAATAAATAAGTCTTGTGTACATTGATAAATCGGAAGGGGGGCTAATTGGGATTGTTCACTTGCCAATATATTTGCAAATATCGCCGTGGGCGCTTATTAGAGCGGGGCGCTTATTACGTCGAATACGGTAATAAATTATTGGAGATTTGGAATAAATAAATTAAGATAGAAAATACTTAAATATTGTCTGAGGCGAGGTTTTGGCTATCTGGGGTCCAGATAAGTGAGGTTCCACTGTATAGAGAAAGCAATCATGAATGTTGAGCTGACGTCTCGGTACAAGACTTAATGTGGTCTAAACTGCACTGTATTTTCTCATGGTCCAGGGCTGTTCAATGCCGACCAGAAACTGAAGACCAACAATGGCCTTGGCTACAGCAGTGCCACCTACACCCGCCAGAACCCTCAGGGAAATCGCTATGGTTACGAGTGTCCCGAGGAAAGAGATCATTTTCCCTACTGGCATCCAACACCCTGGAAGGATATTGCTGTCCTGGCGGAGAACGCCTCCATGTGCAGGTTTGTGGGACTTGGTGCTAGCTATACGCCTCTTCTTAGATAGAGGCTAAAAAAAATATATTCTTGGTTCTCAGGCACTGCCACATCATCAAAAAGGCTGCCGCACTTTTCGTTTTTATTACCATTTCCCCCCCCCCCCCCCCAAGGCCAATTTCATAACTGACAAGTTTCATAACAATTGATATGAAGGCTGAAGAGTACGTATCTCTTGCGACTAATGTTTGTTACATGGCGAGTTCATAGTGAGTTGACGTGATTTGCTGATCAGGTAATATACAATTTTTGCTGAAACTAGCGTAAACAAAATTGAATGAAATCTTGGAGAAAAGTAATATAATGGATTACAAACGTAAGTCCAGATACACAATGAACACTTTTACAGCAAGATAGTGTAATAGTAGGAGTAACTTGCGTACTTCAGTACGGATTTGAGACATAAACAAATGATAATATGGAGGAAAACAGTACTAGTATTGTTTATGAGGGCCATTTATGACCTTGTTGTCTCTCTGGCATATGACGTGGGGGGATATAGTCATCATCTGGTCTGTCTGTCTATCCATCCGTCTGTCTGTATTTCAAAGTGAAAGATCTTTCATCCAAACTTGGTACATGTATTAACCAGGGGCTGATGTGGTGCCTTTAGCTATTGTAGGGGGGGGGGGGGGGGGTTTGACATCTTTTGATGACTCGTGTTTTACATATTTGGCTGTTCAGAAGCAAAAGAGTTACCTCCCTTCCCCTATTAGCTTACCCAATCTGTACTTTGAATTTTTTTTTCATTTAAAAGTACAATGAGTTAACAAATTCTACTTGAAGTAACAAATCTCTTCTAAAAGATATATTTTTGTTCAAAGTATTTGAAAAAAGGAACTTTATGCTGACTCTTTAAGGCAAAACCTACGTGCAGTTGATCTGTCCTCTGAAGACTCCGGCAAGTGTCAGTTCTGTTGATGCTTTGTTCCAGCTACTACCAGAGTCACAGCTTCAACGTGCAGCCCAAGTCGGAGTGTGTGGAGATGTACCCAGACAACACGAGGCGGCACTTCTCCCGCTGGAACAATCAGGCCGAGTGTGTTGCTAATGGCGGACAGTGGGTGGAGCTACACAACTACCTGGAGAAGGCCCCACGTGAGTTGATGACGTAGAAGGGGACGCTCCAGAATCGGGAGTCTGTTTCGGGTCTATGTCTAGACTAGGGCTGGGATGGGTAACACGGGTACTCGGGTCAGGTGGGTACTGACTAGGACCCGTGTACCCACAGGACTACCTGGACCCGTGGTTAGTCAGTGATATATTGTTTAGTGAGAAAATGTCACTACAACAACTCTGCCAGGATCCCAGTATAACAACTCCTAATCGGACATTTTGAACACAACTTTTGACGCTACAGAGGGTATCCGGGTACCTGGGTAGACTCGTCTCAGCCCTAGTCTAGACATAGTGTTTGGAGACCTGTGTCTCATTCTGACTGTGACAGTGTGTAATCATGGTTATATGGGTGCACATCAACTGCTAGATTGATATGTTTTGCAAAATTTGAGTTTTGCAGTCAAGATTAGACTCTGTGGTGTGCTGGTTTTCTAATTTTTGACAACATGGCACTAGGTAGCTGCCATTTTCACCTGTTAACTCTTACCAAGACTTAAATATTCCTCATTGAACACTGAAATGTCTTTAACTCAGTCTGTGAATACAGTGTAAACAAATTAATTTGATTGGTTGCAGGGATGATGAGGTTCCTTCATACTATTTTCAGATCAGATGTAGAAAATTATTTCAGAAATGTACATTCACAGTTTTGACATCACAGTTAGTTATGCTATTCTTCCCAGAATTCACAAGTGAGTCCGCGTGTCGGAATGCTCGGTCAGCGGGACTGACGTACATCTGGGCGGTGCCATACGACGCCCAGCAGGTCACCGCAAAGCAGTGCCTTGTTCAGCTCAGTCGTCCTGATTGTTCAGAAGCCCCTTGGTCCAGGTGAGTCCAACATGATGATGATGATGATGATGTGCATGTTTGCATCTAGTACTTTGAAATATGAAATAAAATCAAAATTGCCATAAAGGCACTTGACAAGCTCATTGGACGGTTTCAGAATTTGTATTTATTTGGTGCACTAGAATTGACACCTACTTTACATACTGGTAAGTATTAATAAAGAGGTCTTGTGTAGAATGTTAACTGTATTATTAAGGAAGTATAATAGTGACACCCCTAATAGTAAACGATACTTATTTTCAGGTCTAATCACCTTGGTAACGGTGTTGACGGAGAGCCGCTGAACTACACGTGGGTGCTGCCACACTTCCCCTCAGGCAAAACAAAACGCTGCGTGTTTAGAATCAGGTAGGGAATGGTGACGTTTTGTGAGAATAATAATGAATATAGTTTACTTTTATTTGTCTCAATGCAAAGTTATAGAAAAAAATAGCAGCTTCTCAGCTGTCACCTTCATTAGTGAAGCATCCCTTCTTTACAAGATAAGGGGATGTGAGGTAGTTTTGTTTGTTTTGTTGTTTGTTGTTTTATGCCGCACTCAGCAATATTCCAGCTATATGATGGCGGTCTGTAAATAATCGAGTCTGGACCAGACAATCCAGTGATTGACATCATGAGCATCGATCCACGCAATTGGGATCGATGACATGCATCAACCAAGTCAATGAGCCTGACCATCCGATCCTGTTAGTCGCCTTTTACGACAAGCATCTATTCTACCTATTCTATCCCGGATCTGCATGGGTCGGATGGGAGGTAGTCTTGTAGTTAAAGCATTTGCTCGTCATACCAAAGACGTGGGTACAATGCGTGAAGCCCATTTCCCCTGCTGTTTTTTCCAGGAATAAAAAGCAGCAAAACCATATTCACTCATGAAGGTTTTTTATTGAATATTGAAATAAAACAAAAACTATTGACTCCAAGGTCGGAGTTCACAGTTTGTACATGGAGAGAGGCTGGGTTTCTATCGCTGTGATAGGTGATGTATAGATGTGTTGTGTGTTTCCAGGTACAACATTTCTACCGATGATTATGATCCCTATCACACAGACTCCAAATACAACGGAAATATGTAAGTACATCATTCCTGCAACTACGTTAACCTCTATTTCGTCATTGCCATAAATCATCACACTATAAAATCTGATAGATTTTCAACAGAAGTCTTCTTCAATGTCAGCTATCCATAATCAGTTGATAGGGAAATAGGGTAGTATTTTTGGAATTATTAACAATGATAACTATTGTTTGATGTTTCTGACAGTGCAATAGTTATCATGGTGCTACTTGCACCTGCTTGTCACACAGACAGCGTTGGTTCAGTTCCACACGAGATTGCATCAATGTTGCTGAAAGTGTTTTATGAATATATGTACTGTGGTCTTTTCTGCTGGTTCTTTGGTGTGTTTTTCTGGTTCTTTGGTGTGTTCAGCTGGTACTTGTCAAAAGTCAAAAGGAATGTGTGCATTGTCAAAAAGATATGTGAACTTTAGTGACGTGTAGTGTAACCACTGAGCTATAGTGAGTTTTTGTCATTAAACAATATATCATGTGACTAACCACGGGTCCGGGTAGTACTGTGGGTACCCGGGTCCTACTCAGGACCCACCCGATCCGAGTACCCGAGTTACCTGTCCTAGCCCAGGCTTGTTTTGTTGTTTTTCATCTGATCACTGATGTAGATAAGGTTTTGTGTTGATATTTTCTGTGTATGTCCTTTGATGTGTTTTTCTGATGTGTTGGACTGCCTTTGTGGTCTACTGTGGCGTCTGCCCAGACAACGAAAGATCGGTGGTTTCATCCAGTGGTGGATCCAGCATATTTAGAAGGGTGGTGTCCAAAATATCAAAATCTTCTCTCAGTCAATTTTACTTCCTACAACATTATTCATTTGGTTTTCAAAAGACGTTAAAGTATTATACTTGTTACCCTGCCTTGTGATCGGCATTAAGGGGATAAAACAGGAACTGATTGGCTCGAAGTCAGTATTCTGTGTCTTTCTGGGGTATTCATGTTAAACTGCAGCGTGGTATCTCAGTTGGCAAGCACTATAAAACTGGCATTAGTCCTGACTAGTATTAAAACCCTGCGCATGCATAATATTTACAGACCCCCATCAGATAGCTGCAATATTTCTGAGTGCAGCGTTAAGCAACCAACAAACATCAGAACAGAGCCAGTGGGTTCGAGTTCCAGAACCTGAAATTCCATAACCAGATGTTCCGTTTGTCCACTTCCACCTGCACTTTTCTCCTCTACTTTAAGGTCGCCAATTAAAGGAAATCCCTACGTAGATATCGGCGTTGGTCGCTCCTCACTCAGACTGAACATCAACACCAACCAGTACGGCCGGATCTTCCAGGACCGAAGTCACGTGTTCCTCCTCCGACCCCGGCCAGCGGGGATGCAGAACGACATCATACACAACCTGAACGTGCGCGGCAAGCGTGGCAACATCGTGCAGGTGTACCCAGCGGTGGAGTACGACTTTGTGCCCAACAACCTCTACGTGAAGACAGGAGAGCTCGTACACATACAGTGGACAGGTAGTAACCATAGTAACCATAGTAACCATAAAGTTGGACTAGGTTCTTAGTGGTCCTGGGAATTTTGAGTCAAGTCTTCAGTATCCACTTTTGTCAATATGATTAGATAGCCAATGGAACAATGGAAGCGCAGTGATGATTTACATGAGGTATATCTTACAAATAACTATTATTTGACCATGCTAAATGTGTAACAGCTACTTTGAGATGATCCCGTTATCCTTAATTCCATCTCTCAACTGCCAGATATTCATTGTTCCACTGGTCAGATGGTTTGAGTCCGATTGCCCTGGGGTCTTAAAGGGAGACTCTACAGTCTGAAGGGATTTATCCAGACTGGCTCAGAGGCCAATATTTAGCCCCAAATCTGTAGCAAATGTCAAATAGTTAAATAGTAATGATTAATGTTATGGCTTACACGTGAGTTGTGTAACACTGACCAATCTGATCAAAATACAATTTGTTTCAAAAGTACCTACCAAGGGTCACTTAGTTTGGAATCATGGATACATCTCTGTAACTCTCTGTAATATGAGGGTAATATTGACATGATTAATTGCCAGACTGTTTATCCCATTGAAGCAAGAGATAGATGATGTATAGCATTCGAAATCTGTTTTCAGCCTGTAACTATTGTTCAGAATGCCCTGGGGGCCACGGGTTGCCCAGTTGTCTAAAGCGCCGCGATTCTGTGCAGAGTTGTGTCCCTTGGGCACGCCAGAATCCTATGATTGTGGGTTGGATTCCAGGTTCACCCGATTATGTTTCTAGGTTTGTCAGCACCATACCCGTGCTCGTGGGTTTCACCGAAGTGGTAAACGTCTGAGACCTGCATCACTTCGGGCTTTCCTCCCACATTAAGCTGACAAGCCGCGATATAACTGGAATACTGTTAAAAGGCGGCGTTAAACCCAACTCACTCACTCACTCACTCACTTAGAATGCCCTGTGTTAACCTTTTCAAGGTTGCATTATGAGAAAACACATTTAAACTTTCCTGGTCAGATTATAGGTCTTTCTCTTGTGACCTGTAGTGGGCTCAGATCTTTGTGTAGCAGTAAGATCTGTTTGTAATGAGATTGTAGCAACTTTGACTGCATCACTTCCGGCTCTCTTCCTACTCAACTCACTCACTCACCCCAGCTGGTAATTGACCTGTACATGAAGATGACTAATGGTGCACGATATTGTATGATTGTGGCAGCAGAAAACACTATTGGTATTTCAACTGTTTAAGCTTAATGAAATATGATTTTAATATCAACCTTTCAGGATCCAACACTCATAAAAATGGACCAAATGGTGGCGATGGACAGACAGGTGACGATGGCGAGGGAAAGACAGGTATGCAGTTCTGTTCTACGTGATTGCCTCGTGGTCTAAATTGTAAACTGCTCTTTTCTTGAAGCAAATTTAAGCTAATGGAAGTTACTAAGCTCAATACAGTGGTTGATAATGCGAACAACAATCGCTCATGGCCGCAATTGAAGAAATTACACACAAATTCTGTTTGTGTGATCCAACACAGCGTACATTGTGATAGTCTGTACATTTATTCAACATTTTTACAGCGCATTTCTCAAGATACAATATATGAAGATAAATCTTAGTCAAAAGGGACTGAGCCGTCTCAAGCCATTAAAAAACATTCGCAAGAACCCTTTACCAGAACCAAATGTTCCACTTACATCACACAAAATGTACATCAGAATACAGTAGAGACTCCATACATAGGCAGGCAGTCAGGGCCCTGATTTCACAAACGACTATCGTAGCTCTGTTAGACTAAGGGAGTCCCAGGACTGTCGTAGGTTTATGTTTGACTATGGAAGTTATGATAGTCAAAGTGCTATGATCCTTTTGTGAAGTGGGGCCAACAGCACTCCTAGCAGTAATTTCTCAAGGCGCCATTTCAAATTTTAAGTAGCCACATTGATTTAGGCTCACAAAAAATAAAAAATTGAAAAATTGAAAAATTTCCATTTAAACTGTCAAAACCAACAACTATGAAACAAAGACAATTCATCACACAATTATTCTTCTCTACTGGTTTGGATGAGCCAGACTCCTTTCCATGTTATCATTGTTTTAGCAGTAACATTCACTCTGAGGTGCCACGATTCACTGTGTTACCTCCCTTAGACGTGCCAGGAACTGATCATCGTGGGTTTGAACCCAAGATTTGCCCTGAGGATGTTCTTAGATTTATTAGCACCATACCCGTGCTCGTGGGTTTCACCGAAGTAGTAAAAGTCTAAGACCTGCATCACTTCAGGCTTTCCTTCCACATCAAGCTGACATGCTGTGTTATAACTGGAATACTGTTCAAAGTGGCGTCAAACCCAACTCACTCACTCCATACACATCCTCTCACTGCTGCTTGTTTCTGTTTCAGCCACAGACAGGAACAACTTGGTGGAGATCTTTGACAGAAATGACAACTACCCTATCCCCTTTGAGAAGACCACCATGTGGTCCGGTGCAGAGATCAAGTGGATCTACCACGGGAAGACATCAGTGTCATCCAAGAACCTGGCCGTCAATATGGCCTCCGCCGGATACTACAGGTAACTCTCCTCTTCTTCTCTTCCTCCTTGGCTCTTACTCTTACTTGGGGACACAGGTGGCCCAGTAGACTAAGGTGCAGACTTGACTCTTGGTCATTTGGTCAGTAGCATTCTTTGATTGCTGGTTCAAATCCCAGATTAATCCTGAGTGTAATCCTTGGTCTGTCTGCACCAGATCTCCCCTAAGAGTTCATCAGAGAGGCAAATGTGGCTCATTCCTTTCATTCAATATTGAATACAGCTTGTCATCACATCCCAGTTGCATAGATCGAAGCTCATGATGTTGATCACTGGGTTGTCTGGTCCAGACTTGATTATTTACAGACCACTGTCATATAGCTGGAATATTGCTGAGTGCGGCATTAAACAACAAACAAACAAACAAACAAACATTAGTGTGTAACATGATAAGTAGTTTTAAAACACTGAGGCATGGATTCAGTTAATACCATGGTTGGTCATCATAGCGGGGTGGGTATTGCACCTATGAATCTGTGGTGGACTTCGTTAGTTCAAGCATGTTGTTAGGCAGATAGGATACTGCACAGAGAGCATAAAAAAGCCAATTACATAGGCTTTCAGCTGTTAACTAAGATTACCATGTGTCCTCGTGTGTCCTCCAGGTGTATCAAGACGGTTGATTGTTCCGAAGCTCCTCACCAAGACTACACTGTTGAGAGCCGAGACAAGCTACAGGACCAGCTGAACAATGCTCCAGCCTCGTACGAAGGAGCTGTGGTGAAGTTCAGACAAGGCACCTACCACTACATGTGTACCCGCAACAACAACTTCACCAACAGGAGCCAGAAAGGGACCATCATTGTATCATAGAAGCAGCTTTATCCATCCTCGTCCATCAAAGACTTTATTGGAGACATGTCACGGTTTACTTTGCTATGTTTACACTAAGTACTGCACACATAGAAAAAACAACTGATCTTTTGCCAATCTGAAATATAAGTTGGACAACTGCGAATATTTTTCAGAAAGAAGATTCCTCACAGAATCAAAGATTTTCTAACACAGATGAAGGCAGTATGTACAAGTACCAAGAACGTGCTTGTGTTTTAGAATTATGGTAATGATGTGAAATTCTGAGAGATGCCCTCATAATGTAATTTTTCAGTACTGTTTTTCTATCAGAAAACATACTTGTCCAAATTCCGATCATCAATATTCTCTGCGATTCTAATTGTTGCTTATCATGTGACACAGAACACACGATCCTTTCAAAATGGACAACTTGACTCCCATTCTCTGTCAGTATCCGGGGGTAATAATGGGGACGGGGTCTTTGTATACCTGGTACTTATCACGATGTCACCATGATATATGACTTTGTGGGTACCTGTTCATATCTAGGCCACTCCCTGAATTTGACAGTAGCCATTTTTTCTTTAAGTGTTTTTTGTCACATGACCACTAAATTGAGCAGAAAATCTAGTATTTTAACAATAAAGGCTGCTTTTTTATTTACTTGCTGAAGAAGGGGTATATCCCTAGTTCAGAAGTGAAGTATTGAATGCAAACCAGTTTGGGGACTGTTCTAAACATAATCTCGAGCAGTGTTTTCGTCACTATTTTACTTTCATTGTAAAGTAAGCCTCATGTTTTCTCACCATGTTTGAGTAGTGCTGTCAGAATTGTAGTCTTCATCTTAGGAGATTATTCTCCACATCCTTGCAATGTGTATGTATTTATATACGTATGGTACACTATATGTTATAATCACCCCGCCACATCCGAGTTTCCAGGAGTGACGGCTTCTAGCAATCAATACTACCGGTACTCAACATTTGCTAAGGACTGAAATAGTCGTATTTCGTCAAAGGTGTTGTCCTGAGCAAATGTTGAGTGGTATAATTGCATGATTATTTTGAACTAGGTGAAACTGAGTGAAAGAAATTTGAAAAGTACATAAGGAGAAGATATCTATGTGTTAACATACTGAAACGACACTTGAAGCTTTGAAACGAAATGGGTGTCTTACTGGAGGTAGGCCCTGAACATATTGAAATTTTTTTATTTAGTGTGTGATAAACGGTGGATGACCAAGCATTCCGTGGTAACACAATATCATTCCAATCCAGTTCATTTGTGACTCGTAAGGAAAGTGTCATCATGTCCCCCTCACAGAGTGTACAAACATCCCTTTCATAAAACCTTCTGTAAGAATTTACACATATGCTATTCACTAGAACACACTGATCATGAGTTCTACTCAAGGGTGAGATTATTAGACATATATGTTTACCAGCATATTGCGACTTATTATTATTTTGAGAAATATCACTTGAATTAACAATATTTAGTTTGTTTTGTTTAAACCAGTGACCTGTGAAAATCCGGGTTAGAATTGGTCTTCTGTAACCAATGCTAAGAGGATACTAATGGGATCGGGTGGTCAGACTCGCTTGATGCATGTCATCGTATCCCAATTGTGTGGATCGATGCTCATAATGTCAATCACTTGATTGTCTGGTCGAGACTCAATTATTTACAGACCGCTGTCATATTGAATATATTAAGTGAAAGAAAACCGGCGCATGTAACTTGTCAATCTCTCTTTCTATTAACAATGAAAGGTGTATCATCAGAAATAATGCGAGGTGTGCCAGTTATCAATAAAACTTAGTACACCAGTTACCTAAATTTCAAGTTGTGGATGATATTGGTTATAAGTATAATTCAGAGAGATAAACTGGGTTATTTTTTCCTCATGTGAAACAAGCCTTATGATCTTTTAAAAGGCTAATTATATGTTTCAGTTCTAGCCATATTCTCTGTAATGTATGCAATATTATGACTAGATCCTGTATATGCTAAACTAGATGCTGAAACTTAAGATATTTAAAAAAACTACTGTGATGTTTTTCATATTTATTTTGTTTTTTAAATGTTTGATTTTTTATGATTTTTAGATTAGTGTTTAGTTTAGCAGGTTCAATAGCTGTGACATGCATGCAGCAGGACTGCATATGGCATGAACAATTTGTCCACCTCTGTGTGCATTATGAAGGAACTGAGCTGAATTTCTTTAATATTAGGTGTATCCTGTTTGTATCTGTGTGGTACAAACTTTCTGTACCATGTGTTTGTTGCACAAGTGTAGTGTTTTTACAACCTGTCACACCTATTCATATATTTTGCTGCTGTTTCAGACAATGGCATGTCTTTTGATGATAGTTTCTGCCTTGTGTCTTGGTCACACCATCTTCCTGAGGCAAGTGTGTTAAGTTGTTAACTGACTGTAAAAGTCCAGTTTCCACCCTTGCTGAACTAGGCTGGTATTATGGAGTTACATTTTGGCTGCACTAACGAGTCTATACATAGTCCAATCAAAATCGCGCACCGAAATCGAAATCCGGTTCGTAAAGTGTCATGCATAGTTCGGTCGACTGCAGGATTTGCAAAGCATGTGCACCGCTAGCTCGTTGTCAACAAATATTTTCTATATCTTTTCATGTTTTGATCAAGGTGCTCACGTAATTTGATGCACTTCGCGATGTAAGACTCGTTTGATCACAATATAGATCTTGATTATCGATCTGATCATCTTGACTGGGCGCCACCGTTTTGTTTGAAGCAAATGTTAGTGATACGATAGGTTGAATCTGATTGGTCAATAGGAGAGGCATAGAAAGGACATTACTCGTAATAGCCACTGGTGGCGCTACGATCGAGCCCAGGAATTCCAGCCTAGTTCGGCAAGGGTGGAAACTGGACTTTTAAAGTCAGTTAACTCTCTTGCCTCGGGAAGATGTGGTCACACATGCTTTGTGATGTTTCTTATTAAAGTTGTACAAGTCTCTATGCAGTGTAAAATATACACTGCAGTCATTCACACCATGCATAATGAAAACGGGTTAATTTCTGAACAATTCCTTGATGTCTACAACATGTACAACAAACTATATAATAATAGCAGAAAAGATATTTCATATATATTACGAAAAAGAAGTTAATGACCACCCGAATTGCATGGTCCTTAACTTCTTTTGAGTAGTATATGTGATCTCTCCGAGCTGTTGGCTACAAAGGATGTAAGTGTAGAGAGTGCTCTCACAAAGAAATATTTCTGATTATCTTAAGGACATGAAATGCACGAAATGAAATATTTACGTTTATATGCAAGTGCCAAGAACGAGAGCTGTTATCAATAAAATAGCGTTGTTGCAGGCTAGTCAGGTCTGTGGAGTGGGACGTCCTATCAAGGATGTCTGCAGGTTTTGTGTTCAATGTGTCGTGAATCAGGAGTGCTTCGACATATTTTCAGTACATCTATCACTAAGATAAAGTAGTACAGTCGAGAATCTTATATGAGTCACATCATCAGTGATGTGGTGTTACAAATTAGACAAAAAGTCTCAATTGACGAGTGGTCATGTTTTGCTTAGTGAAAAAGAGAATGTTAGTAGCGAAATCAGACGTTTCTGCATTGTAACATCGTTTTCGATGCCATAGCACTGTAAGACGTCATCAATGGAACAAAGTTTCATGTTAGAAATTGTGGAAATAAATGTGAAAGTATTTATCCACTTGCTCCAAAAATTGGGCACTTGCCTTCAGATATTTTATGTCTAAGAAAGATTAATATACTATTAATGATACTTTAATGCAAACTATTAAAACAGTGAACGATTTCCCTATATGCCTTCAAAGTGTAGTGAACCGGTGAAGATGTGGGTTAGAAAAGGTCTTCGGCAACCCAAGCTTGCCATAAAAAGAGTCAATACTTGTTGTAAGAGGCGTTGATGCATCTCTTCATATCCCAATTGCGCAGATTGATGCTCATGATGTCAGTCACAGGATTGTCTGGTCCAGACTCCATTATTTACAGACTGCTGTCATATTGCTGGAATATTGCTGAGTGCGGTGTTAAACAACAAACAAAATCATAGTATAGTACGTATTTGGAACGGTAAATGATAATCATGCTTTGCTCAATAGAATGCACACGAGCCCCCTTCCTTTTTTATTTGGAAAAATTGTTATTTTTAACATTTATTTAATTTAATTTACCAGATATAAATAAAAATAATTACATGCACTGAACGGAGATCAGCAGACATCCTTAAATCGTCCAAGTGATTTGCCTGTTGGGGCTACTCTGGTTGTATTTGATATAACAAACTAAGTCAATTTCAGATGCCACATGATCAGTATACAGGGTATTATGTGTCCGTACTGCTCTGATAGATACGATGGACCCAGTTGCTACCATAGGATCGATTCGAGTCCAATATCGCGTAGATCAATAGAACCACAATCAAGTCACTCTAATGAGCGAGAGACACACTGTCCCATGTTAGAGATGTAGCTGTGGTAGTGAATGGGTATCTGGTGTTTGTCAGTGTACAGTTGGGATATTGTACCCTTGATAATCGATGACACAGTGCCAAGTGTTTGTATTAAGGCCTTCCCAGCATTGTTGTAACTGTGATGTAAGACCATGTGATTTTTCACACCAGGTTTCTCTTATGTCACCCCTTGTGAATGGTTACATCTGTGTAACAACTGTTTATACTTAAATACAGATATTTCTGCAATACTTGATAAGAACTTCGGTCAAACAGAATCAAAATCTGTATTTGATGTGGAATTTTGTTTGAATCTATAAGAACTTGACTTTTTTTTTCACTTTGATGGTGGGGAGATTTGTTGGCCATGATACTCATCGTTTAAATCATTCATTCCACATATCATGTTTTACAGTCTGCTGGTACAGACTAATGGATCACAAATAAACATTTACTAAATTGTCTTTTGTTTGTTCATGAAATCCAGTCTTAGTCTTGGAAGTTAAAAATGTGGCTGCATTGATGCCAAAGATGTTCCCAGTCTGTTTATGCAGAAGGAATATGAAGTGAGGTGAAATGGGGTTTAACATCTCATTGTATACCTGTCAGTAAACTGTGTTTAAGTATGTTTAAATATGGCATTATATCTCAACCAGCGAGCACCACTAAACCACCATTTATCCAGACTAGTACAGACACACTCTGAGAATCTGTTTCTCTCAATGGTACTGTTCCTGCTCAGCAGCCTGCCTCTCCAGTCCTGATGTTGCATCCTCGTCTTTGTCAGACCCAAGGAAGGAACAAAATAACGAAGCCGACAAAATGTGTACACAGTTATCAATATGTATTTACATGAAAACATTTTTACAATATATACAGTCAAGATGGATTATGGTTTAAAGCAGAGGAAACAAATAGTCTATGTCTCCAGAATCACGTGGTCAGCAGGGTAGAAGCCATACTGTTTGTTACGGCCGACAAGCCCAGTCCGGCACCACCCAAAGGACATGCCCCTCACATCCATTGGGAACTTTTGCTTGATGCGCATGCCTGCAAGAAACAAAAGTAACACCATAACCCAAGAGAACCACACAAGTATAAAAAAATACAAATATCATCCACATTTTTCCAGTAATCATTCGCTCTACTTCTGCTCACAAAGAGTAGGACCACTTAGGCTTAACCTCACACATGCAGCATTCATGCAAGGTCATCCATGTGCAACTATGGGCGCTCCTACATCCGACCCATGAGTGTTGCAGGCACTGCTGGGTGGGAACACTCACCTAGATTCAGCTGGAGGTGCTCAGGGTGGGTGGGCTTGAAGGGGCGGACAACTCGCACATAAACGTCCTCCATGTATTTAATGTCGTCCTCCACTGCAGCTGAAGAAAGACACGGGCATTTGATGAAGGTCTACATCTTCCAAAACATCCTATTAATTCAACTCTACCACATTGTTTGCACAAGCCACAGTTTCGGGCAACACAAAGCATTATCACAGAGAGGGATATAACGTAAGGCTCTATTTACCAGCAACAGTCTCATTGTTATTGATGTCACCGTCGTCACCATTCTTGGTCCTAGACTTAGAGATCCAGCATCTGCGCCTGTGAACTGGCTGGCCAATGGCTGACATGACTTCTTGTGCCAGGCAGTTCTCCTCAGTCAGGCCTTTCTTCAGATCTCGTCTAATGACCACATCAGATGCTCGGATAAACGAGGTTGGAATTTTCTCCAAGAAGCCAAATTTCTGATGCCAACCCTGAACATCCGGGAAGATATATTTCCGTGAGGTCACATCACAGGTGGCATTGACAATGTCATCGACAGCTATGTCGTCCTATCATTTTTCAAACAAAACAGAGGATAGCTAACAAAGCTATGCAAAGGGAATACAGCTGACCTTAAGAATAGCTTAAAATATAATCAGAAAGCATAGAACTGCGTATAACACACTGATGCGACGATTGCAGCTCTCTTATAAACGAGAGAGAGAGAGAGAGAGAGAGAGAGAGAGAGCATCAGAACTTCAGAACAATACACCGTGACACAGTTAAGCCAATGCTACTGCTGTACCTGTCAGCGTTGTCAGACGAGCACGTCTTGACAACAAAGTCTCTGAGACTGGAGACCAAGGACTCCAACTGACTCTTCTGCAGGGCACATGCTTCTTGACATGCATGGTCAGAGGTCTGGGTGGGCGGAGAGAGGGGACAAACAAAACAGGGAATTGATAGAGAAATGACAGAAGGAAAAACAAAAAGTAACAGGAGAATGACAGAAACATGCACGAAAACAGATGAGGGCAAGATATCGAAAGACAGACATGAACAAGAGCGGATATTTGTGTTTTGCATGTCATTGTGTAGTTTTGGGTTTGTTTGTGTCGGTAAGGGGAAGAGTTAACTTAAAAAGAGAAAGAAGGTTAATCAAGATTAAGATAAAGAGTTCTAACACAGAGGAACCAAACACAAGAATGGGTAGGAATGGCAGGAGACACAGAAGTAAGCTCCCCTATTTTCAAATGCACACCTTTCTCAGCTTGTTCACAAGCTCACTCTCCTCCTTCAATAGCCGTTCGTAATGGATTCTGTGGGTCCTCTTCTTCTGGTCGTATTTAAACAGCTTGGACTCCAGAGTCCGAACTTTCTTCTCTACCATGCTGGGCCGGGATCTCTTACACTTCACTCCCACCTTCTCCAGCTCAGCCTTCAACTCGCTTATTCTCCGTTCATAATTGTGAGAGGCAGTCATGGCCATTATTCCGTTCTGCCAAGAAGGAGAAAACATCCAACTTGTTGTATTCTACTTTGATGAACATACGATTATGTGTATGGCATTGAGAATACAAAACAAATTATGATTAACGCTTCATCCTGAAGGCAGTCGCCACAACAACTCACCTCCTTCACGTCCTGGAGATGTTTGAGGCACACCCTGTGTCTCTCAGTCAGGGACAGAAGTTCCCGGCTCAGGTCCTTGTGCTCAGATGACACGCCTCTCCTGTTAGTAGACGTCAGTCTGAAAACATAACCACCAACAACCATGAATACCCTACTGTCCATTTTATAAATCATTCACTCAAAACGAGACAGTCAGAAGTCACACGGGAGTACCATCGACAGATGCAATAAGTTTTCTCACTTTTTTAGAGATCGGATGGATCCGTTCTGGCCGGTAAGATCACGTGACACGGTGAGAATATGGTTAGCCTCCTGTTCGGACGATTTCAGGTAGCAGTCCAGAAGATGACGAATCTCATAACTCTCGGAACATGCTAAAAACCAAAAACGCAAAAGTATTAGCCAAAACGCGATGCAGACATTCAACAAAGTCGATAACAGACCAAAATGATAGCTAAAAGCAACAATACAGGAACTTTAAAGTCAAAGGGTTAATCTAAATAAGTAATCGCATGCTTACCGTCTTGACTGACAGTGTCAAGCTTGCCTTTACAATCTTCACACCAGCTGAGCAGCCTCTCGGCGTACGAATGATTGATGTCGATCCGGGAAGTGATTAGTTCAAACCAGAAACGAGAAGGGTTGATGCTGTAAACAGACAGTAACAACTCTTTGTAAACTGGCAAAAGACAGGGGAAATTTAGCCTAAAGTAGCGCGAATTGTGGTCCTCAGGATTGGCATGTTTTGGGGCGAAAATGTATTATATGACCTCGTGCCACACTATGATATTGTCGGCGATTTCCAATATACTTAATACTGTCTGAAAACGGGAACGGCATGGGGCAATTTTGTTTGAGGGATCGCTGATATTGGCATATGCACTTCGGTATACCCTTTGAAATCAGGGTCCAAAATGGCGACCTAGCAACGAGAACGTCCGTTACATTTAATTTGGAGATTCCATCACGCTACGTGCAATATAAGAATATAAAAAAATCTACTTACAGTTCCCCCTCGTTCTGAAGATGATGGAAATCTGGAAGGTGAATCTCATTCATGCTTGTAAAAAAAGGAAAAAGACAATTTTGGCAGAGCTATCAGACTTGACCAAATGTAAATCTGGTTGCTACGCAAGCAATGGCGGCGTTGCCATTATGACGTCACAGAGGCGATTCCGTCACATCTCGGTAAAGTCCGTCATTGCAGGCTGAGCTCGACTAGCGTAAATTTTGTCGTCTGGTAGAATGTGGGGAATTAACGAAGATAGATCAATATCCCGACTGCGAGCTGGGTGGCGTGCATGAGTGAGTAGGGTTTTACACCGCTTTTAGCAATATTCCAGCAATATCACGGCGGGGGACACCAGGAATTGGCTTCACACATTGTACTCCTGTCGAGAATCGAACCCGGGTCTTCAGCGTGACGAGCGAAGGCTTTAACCACTAGGCTATCCCACTACCCATGAGATACTGCATGAGATACTCAGAGTAGCATTCTTGATGGTTGCCCATTTTTTCAGTCAAATTTCATGTGTGCAAGTATCTGGACCCCCCCCCCCCCCCCCCCCCCCCCCCCCCACCAAGTTCACGTATTTGTTAGTACTGTACGATATTGTCGATGACATTGTGTTATATACACATGTACCATTAAAAGGATTATGTCCTCAAATATATGACAAAATTACAACCATGGGTAGATATCCCGTCTGCGAGAAGGGGTCGGGAGATACTAAAAGTCTCAATTCTTTATGGTTGCCGACTATATCAGTCAATTTTCAAGTGTCTGAAACCTATATGTTCAGCTATTTATAACTGATGTACGATTTTGTCGATGATGTCGTGCTATACATCATTAAAAAGATTATATCCTCAAGTATATGACAAAATTACAACCATAGATAGATATCCCGTCTGCGAGGAGGGGGGCGGGAGATACTAAAAGTCGCAATTCTTGCAAGATGGTTGCCGATTTTGCGTGTTAAATTTTATGGTGGAAGTTTTTGACCCTTGGTGTTCCGCGATCTGTAAGTCCTGTAGGGCTTGTCAGCGATATCCGGTCATATATCATTAAAAACACTACATCTTGTAGGATGTGGAAAAATTAAGATGAAAACTAAACATCCATTCTCTGAGGAGGGACGCGGGATATACTAAAAGCCGCAATTCTTTACAGTTGCCGACTTTTAGTCCAATTTCATGGTGGAAGTATGACCTTTAATGTTCCGCGATTTTATAAGTCATGTAAGATATTTTCAGTGATATCCCGTCATATATCAATAAATGCGCTATACCTTGCAGTATGTGAAAAAATTAAGCTGAAAACCAAACATCCATTCTGTAAGGAGGGACACGGGAGATACTAAAAGCCGCAAATGTTGATTGTTTCCGAATGTAGCCGATCCTGCATACATTTGTGCAACGCTTGGTAATACTCTCGGAACTCTTTACAGAATTGAATAAGATATCAAAATAACAGCAACAGCGTCTAAGTAATTAGGTAAACTATATGTGAATACCCAAATATCCTTTCTGTGAGAGAGGCGGGACATATTAAAAGTCCCATTTCAAGATGGTTTTGGATTTGCAATTTCGACACAGTAATGTTTTCTCGATTGTTCTTTATTACAATAATTCGTCATCCTTATTGAATCAGAAACCAATGTAAAGACGACACGTTCTGATTTAATATCTCTATAGGCATGTCCAGGATCGACGTGGCCGGCGAGCCTCGTACCGTCTGCTACTGAAATAGTCCCTTGATCGAGGAAGATGTGCCCCATCACTGCTCTTCTGAACTACTGCGTCTGTCCCTCCCTGCACTCAGGGGTGACGCAAGTGGACCCAGCTACCCCCAGCTACAGCCCACCTCCCCACCTTCACTGTTGAGGGGAACAACTTAAAAGGTACATCAACCCACCCGACCTGCTCGACTCGGCCTAATGCTGTCCACCCGACCCCCACGGCCACGTGCATTTTACGACCGCTTCCCTGTGTTTTCACCTATGACCCCCAAGATCAAATGAAGTAGAACACTGGCCTCAGACCACAATTATTTTCCTTCTTTGCTATCTACAATGACATAACAGCCCACCCTAATTAATATCGGTTGTGGGCTGTTCTCCTGTTGCATGCTGACCGACCTGTCACTTGTCACTTATAACGCAACGTATCGGCCTGGCTACTCCAGTCAAATTTGGCAGTAACCACTGTCAACAATGTTCACCGGATATTTCGAGCCGAAACACACATAGTGGTTTTCAACTTGGGGTCAAGTCATGGGAAGCTGGAATCAATACCTTGCAAAGGCTGTGGCTAACGAAAGATTTGCGACAAACAACAATGTCTAATCTTACATTTAAGCTATCCCAAGTCACACTAAAAACATTGGCACGGACTGATCAGCCCATTTAAACAAGGCACTATATTATCTTAATTTCCTTCCGGTTCATGGTAAACCTCAGTGGGGTGGGAGGTAACTGTGCTCTGAGGCCCACTCATCATCCAAGATGGATATTCTCAGCCTGCCTCTACAGTTCTGATGTTGCCTCCTCGTCTATGTCAGACCCAAGGAAGGAACAAAATAACGAAGCCGACAAAATGTGTACACAGTTATCAATATGTATTTACATGAAAACATTTTTACAATATATACAGTCAAGATGGATTATGGTTTAAAGCAGAGGAAACAAATAGTCTATGTCTCCAGAATCACGTGGTCAGCAGGGTAGAAGCCATAGTGTTTGTTACGGCCGACAAGCCCACCCCGGCACCACCCAAAGGACATGCCCCTCACATCCATTGGGAACTTTTGCTTGATGCGCATGCCTGCAAGAAACAAAAGTAACACCATAACCCAAGAGAACCACACACATATACAAAAATACAAATATCATCAACATTTTTCCAGTAATCATTCGCTCTACTTCTGCTCACAAAGAGTAGGACCACTTAGGCTTAACCTCACACATGCAGCATCCATGCAAGGTCATCCATGTGCAACTATGGGCGCTCCTACATCCGACCCATGGGTGTTGCAGGCACTGCTGGGTGGGAACACTCACCTAGATTCAGCTGGAGGTGCTCAGGGTGGGTGGGCTTGAAGGGGCGGACAACTCGCACATAAACGTCCTCCATGTATTTAATGTCGTCCTCCACTGCAGCTGAAGAAAGACACGGGCATTTGATGAAGGTCTACATCTTCCAATACATCCTATTAATTGAACTCTACCACATTGTTTGCACAAGCCACAGTTTCGGGCAACACAAAGCATTATCACAGAGAGGGATATAACGTAAGGCTCTATTTACCACGGGAGGTGCCAGCAACAGTCTCGTTGTTATTGATGTCACCGTCGTCACCATTCTTGGTCCTAGACTTCGAGATCCAGCATCTGCGCCTGTGAACTGGCTGGCCCATGGCTGACATGACTTCTTGTGCCAGGCAGTTCTCCTCAGTCAGGCCTTTCTTCAGATCTCGTCTAATGACCACATCAGATGCTCGGATAAACGAGGTTGGAATTTTCTCCAAGAAGCCAAATTTCTGATGCCAACCCTGAACATCCGGGAAGACATATTTCCGTGAGGTCACATCACAGGTGGCATTGACAATGTCATCGACAGCTATGTCATCTATAGCTGACTTTAGGAAGTTGGTCCTGCAGCAACAGAAAATCCTATCATTTTTCAAACAAAACAGAGGATAGCTAACAAAGCTATGCAAAGGGAATACAGCTGACCTTAAGATTAACTTAAAATATAATCAGAAAGGATAAAACTGCGTATAACACACTGATGCGACGATTGTAGCTCTCTTATAAACGAGAGAGAAAGAGAGAGAGAGAGAGAGAGAGAGAGAGAGAGAGAGAGAGAGAGAGAGAGAGAGAGAGAGAGGGCATCAGAACTTCAGAACAATACACCGTGACACAGTTAAGCCAATGCTACTGCTGTACCTGTCAGCGTTGTCAGACGAGCACGTCTTGACAACAAAGTCTCTGAGACTGGAGACCAAGGACTCCAACTGACTCTTCTGCAGGGCACATGCTTCTTGACATGCATGGTCAGAGGTCTGGGTGGGCGGAGAGAGGGGACAAACAAAACAGGGAATTGATAGAGAAATGACAGAAGGAAAAACAAAAAGTAACAGGAGAATGACAGAAACATGCACGAAAACAGATGAGGGCAAGATATCGAAAGACAGACATGAACAAGAGCGGATATTTGTGTTTTGCATGTCATTGTGTAGTTTTGGGTTTGTTTGTGTCGGTAAGGGGAAGAGTTAACTTAAATAGAGAAAGAAGGTTAATCAAGATTAAGATAAAGAGTTCTAACACAGAGGAACCAAACACAAGAATGGGTAGGAATGGCAGGAGACACAGAAGTAAGCTCCCCTATTTTCAAATGCACACCTTTCTCAGCTTGTTCACAAGCTCACTCTCCTCCTTCAATAGCCGTTCGTAATGGATTCTGTGGGTCCTCTTCTTCTGGTCGTATTTAAACAGCTTGGACTCCAGAGTCCGAACTTTCTTCTCTACCATGCTGGGCCGGGATCTCTTAGACTTCTCCCCCACCTTCTCCAGCTCAGCCTTCAACTCGCTTATTCTCCGTTCATAATTGTGAGAGGCAGTCATGGCCATTATTCCGTTCTGCCAAGAAGGAGAAAACATCCAACTTGTTGTATTTTACTTTGATGAACATACGATTATGTGTATGGCATTGAGAATACAAAACAAATTATGATTAACGCTTCATCCTGAAGGCAGTCGCCACAACAACTCACCTCCTTCACGTCCTGGAGATGTTTGAGGCACACCCTGTGTCTCTCAGTCAGGGACAGAAGTTCCCGGCTCAGGTCCTTGTGCTCAGATGACACGCCTCTCCTGTTAGTAGACGTCAGTCTGAAAACATAACCACCAACAACCATGAATACCTTACTGTCCATTTTATAAATCATTCACTCAAAACGAGACAGTCAGAAGTCACACGGGAGTACCATCGACAGATGCAATAAGTTTTCTCACTTTTTTAGAGATCGGATGGATCCGTTCTGGCCGGTAAGATCACGTGACACGGTGAGAATATGGTTAGCCTCCTGTTCGGACGATTTCAGGTAGCAGTCCAGAAGATGACGAATCTCATAACTCTCGGAACATGCTAAAAACCAAAAACGCAAAAGTATTAGCCAAAACGCGATGCAGACATTCAACAAAGTCGATAATAGACCAAAATGATAGCTAAAAGCAACATTACAGGAACTTTAAAGTCAAAGGGTTAATCGAAATAAGTAATCGCATGCTTACCGTCTTGACTGACAGTGTCAAGCTTGCCTTTACAATCTTCACACCAGCTGAGCAGCCTCTCGGCGTACGAATGATTGATGTCGATCCGGGAAGTGATTAGTTCAAACCAGAAACGAGAAGGG